GAGGGACACTGCACCGGCTCCTGATATGGCTCATGGTCGGCTTCGACAGCCGGAACCCCCATCTGATATTCCTGCTGGCCCTCGAGGAAGACGCGGTGGACGTAATATGCCTGGACAAGCACCTCCAATGCTCAGCTCAAGCAATGCTACCTTGCCCGCCCCGGAACGCCAGGCACCTACAGGCCCTGGCCGACAAAGTGGACGTGGACCACCCGAGCAACCTGTCACCCCACAAGCAGCAAGCTCAAGTACTGCACCGGGGGTTCATCCGGATCGTCTCAGGAATCTTGTCAATGAGCCTACAGCCCCCGCTGCTGCTCCCTCGGGCCCTCGCGGATTAAGCCTACAACAACCACCCCGAGGACCCTCTTCGCAGTCTGCGCAATCTGGACCAGCTGGTCAAGGCTTCGGTGGAGAGCGTGGCCGTGGCGACAAACGTTTCGCAGGCCTCAACAATATGCTCCAGCAGTCTGGTGGTGGTGGCGGTGGTGGTGACCGCGGTGGTAACCCTCCGCCTGTTCGGGGAAGAGGCGCCAACCGCCCATCAAGCAGCATGGAGGCACCATCGCCTCAGTCTGCAAATCGTCCACCCATGGGCCCTGCAGGGCCTCAAGATGATCTACCCCGCAACAGACCCAGCGGTGGCCGAAGTGGCGACCTGCTTGATGATGTTGTTCCCGAGGGAGGTCGCTCCGGACAAACTGGCACTCGCAACCGTGAAATGGAGCCTCCTCGCGAGAAAGATATCGAGCGTCGTGATGGCAGCAGCAATGGTCGCAACCGACGCGATGGCCGTCGAAATGACCGCGAACGCAGCCGTCGAAGCGACGTAGGAGGCGGTGGAAGCCGCGACGAGAAGGGTACTGGTGAGCCCCGCGAGACTCTGCGCCGGGTTCAGAGCTCGCGCGAGGAGCTGCGACGTCGAGATCGACGTGATCGCCCCGATGGACCGTCGGAAATGACTGGACCAACCCCTAGCAGTGAGACACATGAGGCTGAAGGCCGTTTGCGACCCCCATCCTCCATGGACGCTCCGCCACCACCCCCTCCTCCCCCACCTCCCCCTATGCCGGAAGGAAACGAGCGTCGTTTCAATTCTGGCGACCGAGGTAGCCGTTCTGATAATCGGGATCGCGAACGTGAGCGCCGTGGCGACCGACGTGACCGGGATCACCAGCGCGAGGGTGGCAGTGGCTCTGGAGGCTCTGGGCACCGTAAACGTGGTCGACAGGGTCCTGACGATGGCACTGACGGTGGACGCATGAGAATGGGAAATGATAACAAGCGTCCTCGTCGAGGAGCATGATTCTTACCCACCATGATACCCTGGAAGGAACGATACTTGACTCTTTTTTTACTTTGTTTTTACTTGCTACAAACCTCATGTTCCCTCGGGATTGTTTCCTATCTCTTTGCATTTTGCCTGGTGTTTGGGGACAAACCACTTCACTTCTTCACATGTACTTTTTTTTTACTTCTAAATGAAAAATGCAATATTCAATGTATTCAACGATCTATTCTGTACTTTTCTTCTATCTCCTGACGTACAAGTCCCAGGCTTAGCGGCCCGACATCCGGACCTCCTTGCCCCGCCTTACCCTGCCGGCTAAACTTCGGTCTCGCAACTACCTCCGTGGCCCTTTGAGATATCGGAAGACCAAGTGGATTATTCGTTCAACATCTTGAAATATCATTTGTTTGACTAACTTCGTATCTCATCTAGTCATTGTTATTGGATATCACCAGTTTTTCCCCGCCTCAGAGTCTAGTTTCCACCCTTCATATATTGCGTGAGGCCTCTCGGGTATAAAAGGTGTTTCTTTTTCTTCCTTTGAGATACCAACTATATTATTTCTCTATTTTGGTTTCTTAAGCTCTTGAGAAGCTTCATTTCCTATAGCAATTGAACAACAAAAACAAATAATATACAAAAGAGCACTATATTGGCACTATGGCTCGAATTGACGTCGAAAAAGCCATTGAGGAGCTCACCATCGGCGAGAAGGTGGCCCTCACATCTGGTAAAACTGAGTCCTATTGCCGAAGATGCAATCCCAGCCATTGATCAAGTTAAAACTAACCTTATCCTACTAGGTCGTGACTTCTGGCACACAGAAGCGATTCCACGTCTTAACATCCCCGCGATACGCATGTCCGATGGCCCCAATGGCGTCCGTGGTACTCGCTTCTTCAACGGTATCCCAGCAGCATGCTTCCCCTGTGCAACAGCGCTCGGCGCTACCTGGGATACCGAGTTGCTAGCGGAGGTCGGTGCATTGATGGGTGAAGAAGCGATCGCAAAAGGCACACACGTCGTGTTAGGCCCAACAATTAACACCCAGCGTTCGCCGCTTGGAGGGCGCGGCTTCGAGTCCTTCTCCGAGGATGGTGTGCTTTCAGGCACGCTGGCCGGCCACTTCTGCAAGGCAATGCAGGAGAAGGGTGTTGCTGCTACGCTTAAACACTTTGTCTGCAATGACCAGGAACATGAGCGGTTGGCTGTTAGCAGCATTGTCACTAACCGTGCGCTGCGTGAGATTTACTTGATGCCGTTCCAGTTGGCCATGCGGATTTGTCGCTCGCAGTGCATTATGACAGCTTATAATAAGGTTAACGGGACGCATGTTAGCGAAAACAAGGCTATTATTGATGATATCTTGCGCAAGGAGTGGGGTTGGGAGGGTCTTATTATGAGTGATTGGTGAGTATCGGTGACGGATTCATTCTGTTAACGTTTGTGTTCGGTCAGAAGCTTATCTTTGATTTTCATTTGTAGGTTTGGTACCTACAGTACCTCCGATGCCATTATTGCCGGTCTCGACATTGAGATGCCCGGTAAGACCCGCTGGCGTGGTGATACTCTTGCACATGCTGTTTCATCAAACAAGGTGGCCCAATACCAGCTTGATGAACGCGTGCGCAATATCCTCAACCTGGTGAACTGGGTTGAGCCCCTGGGAATTCCAGAGGGAGCACCTGAGAAGGCTCTCAACCGGCCAGAAGATCAGGCTCTGATGCGCCGCGCTGCTGCCGAGTCTGTCGTGCTTATGAAGAATGAGGGCGATATTCTTCCTCTTAAGAAGGATGGGTCTCTGCTGGTTATTGGGCCCAACGCTAAGATTGCTGCTTACTGTGGTGGTGGCTCGGCCTCTCTGGCTCCATACTACACTGTCACTCCATTCGATGGCGTCTCTGCCAAGAGCAATGGAGAGGTCAAGTTCAGCCAGGGTGTCTACTCCCACAAGGAGCTGCCGCTTCTGGGCCCTCTGCTGAAGACCGCAGATGGCAGACCTGGCTTCACATTCAAAGTCTACAATGAACACCCCAGCGCTGGTGAGAACCGACAGGTTGTGGACGAATTGCATCTGCTCGAGTCTTCCGGATTCCTGATGGACTACGTCAACCCTAAGATCAAGTCTATGACCTACTACGTCGATATGGAGGGATCCTTCACCCCCGAGGAGAGCGGAGTCTACGATTTCGGTGTGACAGTCGTCGGAACAGGCCAACTCCTCATCGACGGCGAGGTCGTCGTTGACAACACCAAGAACCAGAAGCCAGGCTCTGCCTTCTTCGGCACCGCCACCATCGAAGAGATCGGGAGCAAAGAGCTCAAGGCCGGCCAGACATACAAGGTTGTTTTCCAGTTCGGCAGCGCACCAACCTCCGACCTAGACACACATGGAGTTGTCGCCTTCGGCCCAGGCGGCTTCCGTTTCGGTGCCAGCCGACGAGTGAGCCAAGAAGAATTGATCGCCAACGCAGTCGAGCAAGCCAAGACCGCTGAGCAAGTCGTCATCTTCGCCGGTCTCACCCTGGAATGGGAGACCGAAGGCCACGACCGCGAACACATGGACCTACCCCCCGGCAGCGATGATCTGATCAGCCGTGTGCTAGAGGTGAACCCGAACGCAGTTGTCGTCATCCAATCCGGCACACCGGTCACAATGCCATGGGAACACAAGGCCAAAGCCCTAGTGCAAGCCTGGTTCGGCGGCAACGAGTGCGGTAACGGCATCGCGGATGTCCTCTACGGCGACGTCAATCCCTCCGCCAAGCTACCCATCACCTTCCCCCGCCGTCTGCAGGATAACCCCTCCTACCTGAACTTCCGATCCGAGCGTGGCCGCGTCCTCTACGGCGAGGATATCTACGTTGGCTACCGGTACTTCGAGAAGAGTGATGTGGCGCCTGGCTTCGCTTTCGGACATGGTCTGTCGTACACTAGTTTCGCCCGCTCGGATCTGAGCATCGAGACTGTTCCCGAACAGGCCAAGTACACTGAGTCTGGTGAGCCTGTCACTGCTACCGTGACAGTCTCCAATACTGGCTCTGTGGCTGGTGCCGAGATCGTGCAGCTTTGGATCGTGCCACCGAAGACTGATGTTGGCCGTCCTGTGCGCGAGCTTAAGGCTTTCCAGAAGGTGTTCTTGCAGCCTGGTGAGACTAAGACTGTGCAGTTGGTTGTTGAGAAGAAGTTGGCTACGAGTTGGTGGGATGAGGAGCGGGAGCAGTGGATCTCTGAGAAGGGAACGTACAAGGTTCTTGTTACGGGTACTGGGGCTGAGGAGTTGCATGGCCAGTTCGATGTTGGCAAGACGAGGTTCTGGCTTGGTCTGTAAGGTCTTTATATAGGACCATGTCTCACGAGTGATGTTATTTTTATCTGTGGATCTGGGTTGGCTTGGCATTTGGGAGATTTCTTGATATTCCGAATGGAAAATTTTATTTTATGAACTTCAAAATAGTACTATAGTAAAGTAGATCTAGTGTTTTATGAGAAGGTGTAGGCGATGTCACGTATACATTGTAGAACCTCAATGAAAACGATGCGAAATGAACAAAGTAATAAAACATATGTCCTCAGCCAAGCACTATAAATGGTAAAAGAACAGAAAAGAAAAGGGTATATACATAGAACATCTCAGACATCAAAACAAATAGGCCTGGATAAAGAAAACAAACAATCCCTGTGGATATTCAAACGCCCACAAACCTCATCAACAGACTCCATTTTCATTTTCCTTCCTCTTCATTCCCAGTCCAGCCAACCTCCTAAACAAAAGCGAAGCCTTCTTCCGCCGGTTATTTTTAAAGGAACCAGGCACATCAACAGAGTAAACACGGCCCTGCTTAATCTCATTCCCCAAACAAGAAGACGAGTAAGACATACTGGACCCGGCAAACCTTTGGTACGGGTATCTGCCAGGCACCTCTTCCTCATTCGTCGAAGCAGTACCAAATCTCGGACTTGTTTCCGGCCTTGACACTGCATCTCTTGCGGTACCTAGCGGTGAAGGTAATGAGACTTTGCTGTAAACACTCGGATCCCGATCCCAGAAATTCTTCGACCACTCACGGTTGAAATCACCTGTTGTTTGGTTGTAGGAACTGTAGAAACGGATCACAGGCTTCGGATCTTTAGCCTGTGTGGTCGCTTTTTCTTCCAATTGGCGTTGGAGGTCTCTGCTAGCGCGAAGCCAAGTCCTTTCTACTCCACTGCCAGGTGGGGATATAGCTGGAGAAGATGTCTCGGGTTTGTTTTCGTTTACGTTGCGGCTCTCGGTCCGTGGCTCTGTCTTGAGCTCGGACTCGGTCGCTTGGAAGCCTTCGTCGGTTTCACTGAGTGGGCTGACTGGGCTGTCGAGCGTCATTGGCTCGAATTTCCACTCGTTGAATTGGGGAGGGCTGTATGGGAATGGAATTGGGCTTGAAGAGGATCGCTCCCTTTTGTTTTCGACTGTTGTTGCTTCACTCTGGCTTCGGAATAGTGGTTCTGATGGACTATGTGGTGGTGAGGCGGAGGGTTGGTTGTTATAGAACCGCGTTGGGGCATCGGTGCTCGATACGCTGTTGTCGTATGGTTTCCCCGGTTGGCTGGGTGAATTGAAGCTCATACCGACGCCGGAATCATGTTTCTCGGTGCTTTCTGTTTCGGGACTGATTGGTTTGGGCGCCGATAGCAGCATATCATGCTGTTCTAAAGATGAAGGTGCTGCATCGACACTGGGCTGACCGGCTGGGTTTTGTGCATTTGTTAGGACTGGCACGGTGTTTCGGTTGGCCAATCTGGCTGGAATACCACGGTCAATGCTGTGAGATAGCATGGCGCAGGCATGTTTGATATAAGCTTCGAGGTCTTCTCCGATCTCTTGGCGGTCAATGAACGGCGACGCAGGGCGGAAGTAGCCTGGCTCATCTGTGAAACTGTAGCCTCGACTGGAATCTGGGTCACTGTCCCATGTTGGCTCGTCGTGAGGAGATTCAGGACTGGTCGCTGATCGGGGACGACTGCTTGATGGATTGGGTTCAACGGGCGAGACTAGTGGTGATGCTAGACCTCGTGCGGAACTACTTTTGGTGAAGGTCAGACGGTGGCGTATTTTGGTTGCTTTTGCCGATAACTTGTGCTCCATCTCGGTGTAAATGGTCTTTTGATCTTTGTTTATGCTCCGATCTCAAGGAATCGGATGTATGAATATGGCTCAAATCGACCCAAGAGAGGAACGTAAACAATGAAAATAGCCTCCGATTGAAAGATCTAGCAATTTCCCGAACTATGTAGGAAGTTTCGTTGTCGGCACAACTGTCTGGTATGCGGGGGGAATGTCAGAATATAAGAAAGGGAAAAAAAAAGTAAATATAAAAGAAAAACCCTGGAGAGAAACTAGTCTGCATAAGAAAGATAGGGCTTATACTATCTAGAACTACGAAGATAAAGATACCTCGCTGGATGTAGTTAGGCCGTGATACATTTCAAGGGTCTAAGCGCCTACATGTACGGAGTACTGTGACTCAAATTGGGGGCTTTTTTTTTTCTGTTCTCTTTTCTCATACTATTATTATACGCTATAACGCTTTAGTATACTCCCCGAATAAATTTGGAAAAAGTGTCTCAAAAAGAATATAAAAGGGCCTAGAAGCCACTCTATTCCGCTCGGGCCAACTTACCATGAACCCTTCATTTAAACCGAGGCGTATTACCCTGCATATTCCCCCTATTGCCATGTGAGCTATCGAATATAAACTGCATCTACCCTCATGTTTGCTTTAAAGTCAAAATATATGTTTGATTGATTTTCTATTGATTTTCTATTTTAATAAATGCGAACATGTCGCAAAGATAACCGATGGTTATCAGTAAAACGGACCCATCACCCCCGGCGGAGGGAGAATCCTCCCGGAAATTGACCCAGAGGGCGGGTCTGATGGAGAGCAGTTGGATGCTTCTTTGACAGTCTTCTCGGACAAGGACAAAAGGCCAAGTGAGAGACGGGAGAGGCAGTTGGATGCTCATCTCCCTGACTGGCGGAACGGAAAAAAGAACGGCAACCTACTTCCCCTGATGCGCCATGACATCTACCCGGTCGCGGACCCCATCACGGGATTCTGGACCCAGGCTAGAGCATGGGATTGGCTGCAGAAAGAACTGCGCCTGACAATACTTTTTTTTGGGGGTTCATCGCTTTACCAAGCGGTGATATCCTCCACCTCGGCCTCTCCGAAGGTGCTGCTCTTTGTCAGCTTAGTGACACTAGCCACAGCAGCGGCACCTTCATCACCTGACTTCGACATGATATCAGGCAGGACTTCGTGGAAAAACTCGACAATGTGGCGGTTGACTTGCTCAAATTGAAGTAAGAATGCATCGTGGCCCTCGGGGCTCTCGATACGTCTGAGGCGAGAATTGGGGATGCCGGCTGCAATCTCTTGTTGCTCTGCGAATGTGAAAAGACCATCCGACTCGATACCTAGAACTAGAGCTGGCTGCTCTACGCGTCCGAGGGCCTCGAGAACAGTATCCTCATTGTCGCCGCTGGCATTTCCGCGGCGGCGGGACACGTCGTGTGTGTCGAGCTTGCGGGTCATGGCGATGTAACAGTTGGCATCGAATCGCTTGACGAATTTGTCACCCTGGTAACGAAGATACGACTGCGCGGAGAAGTAGGTCGGTGGACGAGGACGGCCGGATGCAGTCAGCTTGGGCTTTGTGTCGACTTCTGGGGCAAATGTTTTGGTGCCAGAGAATTGCGGGTCCATGAACTGGACCTCGGCTTCGGTCACAGGAGCCGGTGAGCCTTGTCTGCTCTCTGAGCGTGAAGTTGTTCCGCCACGGTGTCCGTCATTGTGGATGGCCCAGTGCTCGTTCGGGGGAGTGGGGAGCTTCTCGGTGCCATTGATGTTTCGAGGCTTGGTTGGATCCGGTACATTGCGACCGAACCGAGACTCGAATGAGTTGCGGCTGCGGTAAGTGAGAAGTGCTGACATGCGAGCTGCACCGAGGCCGGTGGATGGTGGGTCGTTAAATGCATAGTAGCCATCGTCGTACTTCGGGTCACTGTAGATGCTCTGCCGTTGCGCCTCGCCCCAACTGATGCACCATGCGGAATGGCGCGCTGAAGTCGCAATGGGCACAATGGCTCGCACATAGTCTTTGCCGAAAAATGCGTACTCCAAGGTGAGCATTCCACCCATGGATCCACCGACCACCGCAGCAATTTGCTTCACACCAAGATCATCCAGGATGAGTTTGTGAATGTTGACATCATCACGGACAGTCGTTAGGGGGAACTCAGGTCCATAGTAGCCATTTTCAGGCTTACCATCCTTGTAGGTCACAGCACTTGCACTTCCGTAGGGGCTGCCCAGACTGTTAAGGCAGACCACGAAGAACCGAGAGACATCAAAAGCTTGGCCGGGACCACCAAGAAGAGGACCCCACCAGTCGGCGACATCGGCACTGCCACTAAGAGCGTGACAGATCACCAGCACATTATCACCATTGGGAGCGAGTGTTCCGCGAGTGGTATATGCGACTGGGACATTGTAAAGAGTGACACCAGATTCAAGTTTGAAGGAAGGGATGATCGCAATGGATTGATCCTCGATCAACTGGGCATAGGGGTTTTCAGGTTGCGAAACGACTCTCTCTACGGGATTTAGTAGCGGTTCATAAGGTAAGAATAGTGAAGAAGGATAAACTGACCGTACCGCGCAGTAGGGGTACTGCTAATTTCAGCCATTGTGAAAAAGACAATATGCAAAAGAAAGAAAAAGAAGGAATGGGAATTGGGAACAGATTGTACTTGTAGTAATATAAAATGGGGTGAGTCAAAAAAGACCCCGCAATAGTCTCCGATCCCGGTGGCAGAAAATAAAGCGGTAATCAATCACGTGGAGTCACGTGTGGCTAGGGCTCGCTCCACAATTGACCTTTTTCTCATCTGTGCGAATTTTCTTCTTCCGTAGCCAACCGTCCAACAAATCTTCTTACGAGCCAACCCCCTCAAAACATTCAAAATGGTCAAGACTAAGAAGTCCGGTGATACCCTCTCCTCGCGCCTGGCGCTTGTGATGAAGTCTGGCAAGGGTAAGCAGGTCGTTGCGATCGCACAAAAGAGTAATTCACTGACAATTTCTCAGTTACCATGGGTACCAAGTCCACCATGAAGACTCTCCGCTCTGGCAAGGCCAAGCTGGTCCTCATCTCCGGAAACTGCCCTCCTCTGCGCAAGTCCGAGCTTGAGTACTACGCCATGCTCGCCAAGACCCCCGTTCACCACTTCAACGGCAACAACGTACGTTTCATTCCCCTTTCCTTCGGGCCGATAGCCTGAAAATTCGGCTGTCATACCTCGGTGTCAGCTACACTACTCAGAGAAGAAGTGGTCAAAACTACCACTTCGGAGAGTGAAGTTGCTCAGCGAAGGGATCACCGAAAGGCATCCCGGAGAGCGAATTGGACTAACTCGTCATATAGATTGAGCTCGGTACCGCTTGCGGTAAGCTCTTCCGCTGCTCCGCCATGGCTATCCTCGATGCCGGTGACTCCGACATCCTGAGCCGTGAGGCTTAAGCGTATCGCCCTGTTGCGAGCCTAGAAAAATAGAATCTTGAACCATTCTTGAACGAAAACTTTTTCCACGAGTAATGATGAATTATGTATCCTCAAACTAGGCATTTTTTAGACAAGCGTGTGAAGATACCCGTCTTCAGACGCCGACAGACGCCGACAACTCCTAGAAATAGCCTAAAATGCATTCCATTATGCTGAGTCTGCCGCTTTCTGTCTTAACATAGGCCTTGCCTAGTACCTATAGGGCCTCATGGCGCTGATCTTAATTTCATGTTGGCTACCTACTAGCTATAAGCCACACCCAGTAACCAACAGGCTAATACAGGTTGTATATACCCGTGGACCATTTTTCTCAGTGGCTCTCAAAACATTAGGCTTGAAGAAATTCAGGTTTAATGTCCGTGCCATGCCAACCCCCACACAACTCCGCAATCTCTTTGCGGGGAAACACTTCAAGCACATAGCCTGTATTGCTTGGCTTGCATAGATCACTCATTTAGCCGGAAGTTTCTCCGACAACTATGTGCTTTCGGCGAATGCCACGGTGGTATGATTCTTGCGGGAATTTGATATAAAGGGGAACTTGATCTGCAATGAGGGATTAGGTATACGCCCCCTAGACCAGAAACTCTGGCTACAATGCGTACATTCCTCTTATTTGCCTCGTTGGGCTTTGCAGCCGCTGAGGATGGCCTCAATGGCTGGCTGAGATACGCATCATTACCCTGTTCAGGTCAATGCCATTCCAACCTCCCTTCGAATATCGTCACCCTCAATGCGACTGAGAAAAGTCCGGTGTATGTTGCGGGGACGGAGTTGCAAAATGGTCTCAAGGGTGTTTATGGGAAGCATCTGAAAGTCACACACAACAAGTGCAAGAAATCCTCGGTTATTGTTGGCACGGTTGACCAATATCGAGACGTCTGTGGCGCCGTGGAAGATGTACCTGAACTGGAAGAAGATGGCTTTTGGCTCGACACCAAGGGGAAAAACGTTCAAATCCTTGGTCAAAACGAAAGGGGTGCGCTCTATGGTACTTATGAATACTTGTCGATGCTTGCACAGGGAAACTTCTCTAAGGTCGCCTATGCATCTAATCCTTCTGCGCCTATTCGCTGGGTGAATCAATGGGATAACATGGACGGAAGAATCGAACGCGGCTATGGTGGCCCCTCTATTTTCTTCAAGGATGGTCAGATCGTCGACGACCTAACGCGCGTTGCTGAATACGCCCGCCTCTTGGCCTCGATCAGAATCAATGCTGTCGTTATCAACAATGTCAATGCCAATGCCACCCTCTTGACCCCAACAAACCTCGACGGCGTGGGACGCATCGCAGATGTCTTCCGCCCATATGGTATACAAGTTGGCCTTTCGCTCAATTTCGCTTCCCCCAAGACTTATGGAGGGCTCCCCACTTTCGATCCCCTCGATGCATCTGTCATCGAGTGGTGGTCAGATATCACAGATCAGGTTTATGATCGAGTTCCTGACATGGCTGGTTACCTTATCAAGGCCGACTCGGAGGGAGAGCCAGGCCCCCAGACATATAATAGGTCCCTCTCGGATGCAGCCAACCTTTTCGCTAAAGAAGTGAAGCCCTACGGTGGCATTGTTATGTATCGCGCGTTTGTCTACGATCATCATCTGGACGAGTCAGTCTGGACACATGATCGTGCGAATGCTGCTGTGGACTTTTTCAAGGATCTAGACGGTGAATTTGACGACAACGTGGTGATCCAAATCAAGTACGGGCCTATTGATTTCCAGGTCCGTGAGCCACCATCGGCATTGTTTGCGAATCTGTTCAAGACTAGCATGGCCATTGAACTGCAGGTTACGCAAGAATACCTTGGGCAACAGTCACATTTGGTCTATGTTGCCCCCCTTTGGAAGACGATTTTAGACGCTGACCTCCGCGTCGACAACCAGCCATCACTCGTTCGCGATATCGTGGCTGGTAAACGATTCAATCGCAAATTAGGCGGATCAGCAGCTGTCGTCAACGTGGGCACAAACACTACCTGGCTTGGTAGCCACTTGTCTATGTCAAACCTGTATGCCTATGGTCGCTTGGCTTGGAACCCGGCAGATGATGCTCAGGACATTCTGCAAGACTGGATTAGACTGACCTTCGGTCTGGACCGCAAGGTACTCGATACTATCACTCGCATGTCCATGGAATCATGGCCCGCCTACGAACAATACAGTGGGAATCTGGGCATCCAGACGTTAACGGATATTCTGTACACCCACTATGGTCCCAACCCTGCATCACAAGATAACAATGGCTGGGGTCAATGGACCCGCGCAAACCGAACTAGCATTGGAATGGATCGGACGGTGGCACATGGTACGGGCTTTTCGGGTCAGTATCCGGACGAAGTCGCTGCCATGTATGAGAACATCGAGACCACACCGGACAATCTTCTGCTATGGTTCCACCATGTGAAATACAGCCATCGTCTGGACTCCGGGAAGACCGTTATTCAACACTTCTACGATGAGCACTACAGCGGTGCCGAAACAGCCCAGACCTTCCTCACGCAGTGGGAATCACTTCGTGGTAAAATCGATCCTGAGCGATACAACCATGTTCGGCACTTCCTAGACTATCAGTGCGGTCACTCGATTGTGTGGAGAGATTCGATCAATAACTTCTACCACAATCTTACCGGAATCCCCGATGAGGCTAAGCGCGTCGGCCACCACCCATGGCGCATCGAAGCGGAAGACATGAAGCTTGAAGGCTACAAGAATTACACCGTCAGCCCCCATGAAGCAGCCTCTGGTTCTGTTGCAATTGTTACGGCTTCCAACGGTGCAGCTGGCACCGCTTCAACCAAAATTAACTTCCCATCTGGGATCTATGACCTTGCGGTGAATTACTACGATGTCTACGGTGGCCAATCACAGTGGAAAGTCTATCTGAACAATCGGAAAATTGGCGAATGGGTTGGTGATAGTGAGGATACCTTTAGCCATACGCCCTCTATCTATTTGGATGGGCATTCGGCGATTCGTATCAAGTTCCGGGGCGTCAAGGTTCGCAAGGGTGACACGTTAAAGATTGTCGGCGTGCCTGACGGCAATGAGCTGGCGCCATTGGACTATGTGGCTTTGCTGCCAGCGGGTATTGTAGATTAGAAGCCCTCTTGTCAAATAACTAGATCACTGTCGATATATCTACGTTAGCTGCCTCTCCAATTGCAGTATCTCACTTCAACTGCAAACTATCATGACAGCCTTCTATGAATATATATAATTTTGAGTATATGGCAGAATTTGTAGACAATGTTAGTGAACTGCCACTGATATAACTTATGCCAAATGCTGATTCACTTCAGCCGCATCTGGTCTATCAGGCCTGCGTTGCAGCTTGCAGTACAATGACTAGTCAATTGATGTAGTTGCTTGGATAAGAACAAATGTTTAAAACTATCTTCAAAGACTTTCAAAATTTACTTGAATTACAGAAGGGGAGAAACATATATGTATGTTGTCTCAAGTTGCATGGCATTGTTCAGACAAGAGTGACACCAGTCCGGATGCGGCTAGCGTCATACATCATCGGCGCGCATTTCCATCGCGTCCCCAGATCCAATCCCTGCGCTTCAACCAATTGTCTTATTCTTTCTGATAAGCGATTGACTTCATCTCTCCCAAAAATACGCTTTTTAAATTGATCTTTGATGCGGAGAGTCTGTCATCATGAGTGACTACTCATCATTGAAAGTGGCTGATCTGAAGGCCGAGTGCAAGAAGCGCGGCATCCCTCAGACTGGTCTTCGCCTTAAGCAGCAATTCATTGATAAACTGGTTGAGCTTGACTCACAAACAAACCAAATTCCGACCGAAGCAGCAGCTCCAGCAGAAGAATCCACCGAATCACAGCCATCTGCGCCAGATGCTGTGCCGCAAGCAAAGTCGCAGCCCGAAGAATTAGAGAATGAACAGCCCGAGCAACCAAAGGAAGAATCAATCCAACAAAACGAGGAAACAACAGCACCTGTGTCAGTGTCGGACGGAGCTCATGATGCACAAATGCAAATAGACCAGTCGGCCCAAGGAGAGGCAGTTTCGGCAGCCGATGTGAAATCGCAAAAAGTGGAAGAGACCGTGACACCTGCGGACGCACAAACAAAGTCAAAGACCCCTGAAAATGAAAAAAATGCAGCTGTGCCTTCCCAGCTACAAATGGATGAAGCAGCCCAAGATACGAAACAGGAGGAGTCCGTAAAGGCTCAAGAAACATCGATTACGTCTGCTGCCCAGACCTCAGAGGTTGACACTGGGATATCGACACCTCTCCCAGTTGAAGAAGCATTGGAGGATACACGCAAACGGAAGCGCCGCAGCCAAAGCCCGGCGCCTACTCTAGAAGAGATTGCGAATAGGAAGGCTCGTGCAAAGGAAACAGCCCCGCAGGCGTTGGTGAAAGATGGTGAGGTGTCTGTTTCTCGTGATGAAGGGCTTAGTGATTTAAAGTCTGAAGATCGAAAGGCAGCAGAGGACCACACAGACAAACAACCTATTGAGACGCAAGCAGATTCTCACAAAGCCCCCACCAAGCAAGACGCTCGGTTCCGCAACCTATTTCCACCTACCGATGCATCATCCCAACCCGACTCACCCCCCAAAGATATCACAATGCAGGATGCAGACACCACCCCCGCATTGCACGCTGCAACTTCTGCCCTCTACATCGACGGCCTTATGCGCCCACTACAGCCGGCTGCACTCCGCAAACACCTGGCAAGCCTTGCATCTGCCTCTGGGACCACTGATTCTGATCCCATCATTGACTTCCATCTCGACGCTATCAAAACTCACTGTTTTGTGAGTTTCACCAGTCTCGCAGCAGCCTCGCGGGTTCGTTCTGCTGTCCATGGGACTGTGTGGCCCAACGAGCGCAACCGCAAGAATCTCCGAGCAGATTTTATTCCTGATGAGAAGATCAAGGAATGGATTGAGATAGAAGAGAAATCCCGTGACCGCCCTGGCGCTGCTGCCCGTTGGGAAGTGAGATATGAGACATCTGATGACGGAACCACGGCTACCCTCGCCGAGGTGGGCTCCGCCCCCTCAGGCAGACGTGAATCAGGTTTCAACCGTACTCCTCCATTGGGCCCGCGCGCCGATCTTGAGCAGCTTGACCGTCGCCCCTCAAACGTACCTCCTGCGGCTCCCGTTCCGTCACGACCTGGACAAGGGTTCAAACCTCTGGATGAATTGTTCGAATCTACCACTACGAAACCTAAGCTGTACTACCTTCCTGTTCCACGTCCCGTTGCCGACAAACGTCTGGACCAATTTGATGAGCTGATCAAGAAGGGCTCATTCCCGCGCCGTGGTGGTGATGAGATGCGGCGAATTACTTTCGAAGATGATGATAAGTTCGTGGACATCGGCCCCGAACGATTCACACCTGGACCTCGGCCTGGTCGTGGACGGGGACGCGGTGGACGACGTGGGGATTCATGGCGCTCTTGAACTTTTATAAAGCATGCAGTTGACCGCCGTGATCATGTACAATAAAATTTTACTGCGAAATGCTAAATATCAAAAGTATCAACTCCAAATATCAAAGAATCCTAAGTATCCCAAATATCGAAAGGGTCCACCCAACAGGGCTGTAAAGCCAAGAAAAAATAAAAATAGACCAAAAAACTAAGCCTTTCAGCTTCCGACGATCCCAGGGAAATCGGGGCATTTCTGACTGACAGGTGATAAGCCAAGAACGCCCATATTCTTGTCTTCCAACGTTGTTTGTATAGTTGAGTTTCCTCAATATTTCAAATTGCTTGAATTTTGGTGGCGTCTTCCCCTGTCGATCCGGATAAGAGATAAAGGGGGAAAAAGGTTCACTCCATCAACAAAGTCCTCTTCGCCATTTTCATCCCAGCAACGATGGGCTGGCCAGTGTGTAATACCACAGAGGCTGAAGCCAGTGTGTCCTTCCCTTGAATGCCTAGGCCTTTTGCAGTGACTGATCGGAATTAGTTGAGGAGATTCCTCTCTGGGATGGCGGCATTACATTTCATGCTCTGGCGCTCCTGGTGGGCGGCGCTTGTGCTATAATCGCCTGTATTGTCTCTTTGGTCTTGATTCTGCTACATGCCACACATTACAGCAAGCCGATCGAACAGCGACAGTGAGTTCCCTTCTCCAGGCAGTTAAAGCGTCCTAAGAGCATTGTTGACATGACCCTCGTCTCACAGTATTATCCGTATCCTATTTATGGTCCCCGTCTATTCCCTCGTCGCATGGCTCAGCATATTCTTCTACCATGATGCCGTCTACTTTAAGGTCCTCGGCGACTGTTATGAAGCGTTCTGTATCTCCGCCTTCTTCTCGCTCATGTGCCACTATATCGCCCCGGACCTACACAGCCAGAAGGATTACTTCCGTGGGATTCAGCCAAAGGAGTGGCTCTGGCCGTTGAGTTGGCTTCAAAAATGCTGCGGTGGCGAGCGCATTTGGCGAACTCCGCGCAGTGGATTGACATGGTTCAATGTAAGATGGACTTGAGCAGATGTTGAGGAATTATAGGTGCTGATTATCGTACAGATTGTCTGGGTCGGCGTTTTTCAATACTGTCTTATGCGTGTTCTTATGACCATCGTTGCGGTTGTCGCACAGGCTTTCGGGGTATACTGCGAGGAGTCGCTGAGTCCCGCATTTGCACATATCTGGGTATGTCTGAAGTGCTGACCAAATCTTGGGTCTCATCTTCTATCGATCCGCTACTAATCTATTGTTAGACCATTGTCATTGAATCGGTTTCGGTCACCATCGCTATGTATTGTCTGATCCAGTTCTACCACCAGACCAGCCAAGACATCAAGCAACATCAGCCATTTTTGAAGATCCTGTCGATTAAGCTTGTTATTTTCCTGTCATTCTGGCAGTCAGTAAGTCTTAACATAATTCCCCAATGAAGATTGGTTTATTAACTCATGTTTCCACAATTTAGACACTCATCAACCTTCTCGTCTCCGAAGGTGCTATTTCAGCGACGAATAAAATGGCCATGAACGATCTCAAAGTCGGCCTTCCAGAGCTGATGATCAACTGTGAGATGGCTATATTTGCCATACTTCATCTTTGGGCCTTCTCATGGAAGTCTTACACCCTCGCCAACCAGTCAAGCGAAGTGACTGATTTCTACGGCAATGGCAAGGCTGTATACCAAGGCGGACGCTATGGCATAAGGGCGCTATTTGATGCCATGAACCCATTGGACCTTTTCAAAGCGATTGGTCGAAGTGCGCGCTGGCTGTTCGTCGGCCGCAAAAGCCGTACGCTGGACCCCAGTTATCAGCCTCAACAGTCATTCGGCCTCCAGCCACCCCAAGAGGGCAGTGAACTCACCGAACATGGAACAGCTTACCATGGCGCCTCAACTGTCATTCCCGGAGGCCGAACGGGCCGTTATGGCGAAACGCCCTACGAAGAAGGCGAGGTGCTTCTCGCTCACGCACAACCTAACCCTGAGATCGCGCCGGGCACTTCGCCATATGCGTCGGACTTAGATGACCATGCTCAAAACCCATCAACTGGCTTCTACAGGCGAAGCTCGTCACCATATGGAGCCGCTTCGCTTCACAGCAATGACAATTTGTACTCGGAATCGCCGGTCCACCCATACCCGTCCAACGGTCCTCTCCGTGAACAAGTCCCTATGCCCATGCCGGATCCTTACCACCCTCCTCCTCCATACCCTACCACCCATCATCCATGATCTATATCTATGATTCAATTATGACTTGGCGTGAACATCTCATATTGGCAGCGCTTGCTTTGATATGCATGTTTCCCCTGTGATTGACCTGCGAGCATCTCACTCTTACCTCACGCTACCCACGAGCACTTCGAGATTTTGCGCTTTTACTTTTCTCTTTATGTCCTGTTTGGATAGGTATGGATACCCGCCTGTTTACATAGCGGCATGTTTTTGTATTTCTTTTATTCCCCTTTCCTTTTTTTACCTCTATTGTCATATCACCATCGGTGGACATTATCTACCTAGCATCCCTGTGGGTTTACATTTCTTGTACAGTATCGTTCGTCTGGACCTGACCTCTGGTGTCACCAATTGAACAGGGGAAAAATGAAGAATAATCATATCAAAGTTCGTTATCTCGTCTAAATAGCCTTGACATGGGCTCAAAAAGAAGCACCATCTAAGCAAAGTAGGTAAAAGCATAGGTCCAGGATCCGGCGTATAGCAATTTGCGCGGGTATTTTCATGGGCTGACCGTGGAAATAGTCAAGTACTGGCTACTATCACGGATACATCCCACTTCCAGGACCCCCACGCCCACCCTGGCTATAGAACTCATCATTGAAGCTCCTTTGGAGCATAGATGGATCCTTGCGGGCGGTGGCTACGCGTGCGGACTGAACGACTGCAGATTTGCGGCCGAGTTCGCGCATGGCCTTGACGTTGTCGCCAAGTTGGCCAAGGAGCGAAATCAATAGGACGTCGTTGTTCTGCGAAAGTACTTCAGTGGAGAAGGTGCTTTGCTCCGACGGAGAGAGGATGGACAGGTGCGAGAGGAGAGAGTTGATGTTGCGGAGGATTGGGTGTGACAGCTTAGTCATAGATGTATTGTCCTTTGATCGATCTGAGGTGAAATCCTCTTCTGAGAGACTGGATAGGTAGGATTTGATGAGGAAGATGCGGGATTCGAGGGTGCGAACGGCATTGAGACGAGTGCTGAGGCTTGCGATTACTTTCAAGTCAATTAGTATCAACCATCCAACTAACGGTTATGTTCAGATTGTGAAAACTTACGCTCCTCTTCCTCTTGTGAGAGTTCAACCTGTGAGCTCTGCTTATTAGACTCTGTTTGTTCTGTCTGCTGCGCACGCTTGTTTGGTTCTTGTGTCGCATTCAAAGAAGCGGTGCCAGAAGCCTGAACAATAGTATCAATGCCAATCATCTCTGATTCTCCTGTCTCCATTGAGTAGGGCAGCTCCCTGAATTTGATATTCAGCCCCGGCTCCTCGCCATCAACCTGCATGTCTTTGTTTGCATCTGGGGCGGCATCGCCTTCATGGACGCTCTCGTACACGGTCAGAGGAAGCTTGCCGCCGCTTGAACTTGAATCTTGAAGCTGTGAGGGATGGAAGGCGAGGAAGACGGCAGATTCGTTATAGTCCTGGAGGATCTGTCGGTGGAGGGGAAGATGGGCGTCGTTCGGCCCGGACGATGGCGCGGTTGACCACCATCCAACAAGGTCGAGAGCAGGGTTTTTGTGCACATCCTTGACTATGGTATGGTTAATTTGGACTCGCTAGGAGGAAGAGTAATTGATCTTGTAAGGTGTTCCACGTACACTGCTGAAGACGCTCTTCAAACCATGCTGCTGGTAAAATAACCTCATCATTCAGCCCGCAAGTAACCGGGCACTCGAACGCATGCTCAAGTGTAATTTCCCGTCCATTCTGCTGGCCCATGAGAGCACCAATTATCGGCCCATGCTGCTGTCGGGCAGCATGTCGGGTAATTTGGTCGGAGATAGTAAGGAGAACGAGTGGGTGCAGCTGGATATGGAGACCCGAATCAGACGACTTCTGAGAGACTAGACACTGTGGAGGCTCCATAACTGTAGTTTGCAATCCTGGGACGTCGAGGAACTTCTGGTGAGGGACAGAGTAATAGATACTCTTGGTTGATGCGGTCATGTTTGGTCGGTTTGATGATGATCCCTGAGGCGGTGAGCCCTGAGGGGGAAGTGAGCTTTCCCCGCGACGCGAAGGGCAAGCTTCACCTGTCGCAAACACTTCCATTTCGATTTGAGTCTGTGACTGGGTTTTTTGGAAGAACTGAAGTTATTCCAACAAATCACAATGTCAGTCCCTTCGACTTTTGATGCAGTGAGAGCACACCTCGCTCAAGTCCAGGAGAACCCCTCCACGGCGTTGGACATTCCCCTCATCGACAAGTTGAAGTTGCAACTAGTCGAATCCACCGCCCCTGTGGTCCCTGCGACCCTCCTATCCCAAATTTCGGCCCTTCTTCCCATCTTGCAAGAAGACCCCACGCCTATTACAACCCTCGGAATCACAGCTACTTCCTACTTCACATTCACCGATCTCCAATCTATCGATCCTCCGATCAATCTTGTCGCTGGCTTCAAAGCCCCATCACCACCAATCAACATCCTAGCCCTTTCGCTATTGGCTAAAGCCGGACGAAAACATTGTGAAGCTGCCATAGTCGCAGGAGATGCAAACTTGGTGGCTTCACTCGTGGAGCTGTGGCTTTCAACACCTTCGGCTGAGGTCGCACAGGCAGCACTCGACACACTATGGGCGCTTTTAGAGGTTGATGTCGCTAATCATCTGGAAAATGGAGAATATGAGCATACTGGCGGTGAAAATCATGCAGGACAGGGACTCTTTTGGAGGAGGGTCTTCACCGATAAGGATGTCTACGGTCGATTGTTCGGGCTATGCAGCCTTCAGAGTGATGCCCCTGGCGATCTCTCCAAACGCGAGAGAACACTCGCACAGGGAAGACTAATGACACTCCTAGTGAAGGCTGGAAAACTACGCTGGGACATCATCTCAACCGCGCAAGTACCGGAAATCGAGGCTAAATACCAGAGCAACAGTCTCTTGCATTTTGCAACCTGTCATATGGTCGAAGTGGGCGACATCCTGATGCATATGACGCTAATGAACTTCTTCCGCGAGTTACTAGAGATTGATGGGCCGGGCCTCGTCGCTCGTCGCTCTGTCCAGTCTACTTCCACCTTCTCATCCCCTGCCCTCGACTTCCTTGTCGCACACAAGCTGCATTCCAAAGTGCTGACTTATTATCTCGATGAGTCAAAGCTGGACCCAGTGGATCTTCTTTACCTATCAGGCCCAATCATGGCATATGTGGCTCGGTACGCCGAGATGTATCCGAACCACTTATTGCAGAACCCCTCAACCCTACTTGATGGAATTATCTCCCGTATTAACAGATCTCTCGCCATTCCTACAGCTCAATGGGCACATGGTGAAGTACCCACAGGTCACCTGGCGATTTTAGCTTCGCTTCCCCGAGTGCTTCTCGTAGAAGCGGCCAAGCATGGCGCCAACCCAGTTCTCACAATTCCCACAAACCCCCCAAATGCCGAGGCTCTGGATGTTCTTGCAAAAATTTTCCACGGGCCTAGGCGAACTGGCATTTCTGAATCAATGAATTTAAACACATCCGGCGCAACCCCAACTGACTGGGACCGCGAAGCAGCTGCAGCGCGCATCCTCTACCTCTTCTATGTGAACCAACACCCTACTTTCTGGGACAATGTCGTGGGCGCTGCCGACATCCTAGTGATGAAAGATATTGCTTTGTCGGCCATCATTTTCATGAGGGCTATTACAACAGCGAACTGGAAACCCTCACCTTCAGCGCCTGTCACTCCGAAACGATCACGGTTCCAGCTGCCCTCCGAAGAGGATCTAGGTCAGCTATCCCCAGCTACCAGTGGATTTTTACCCACATCAGGAGCATGGGCAGTTCTCACTCCGCCTGCTCTTACCACCCTTCTTCCGTATCTCTTCAAGCCACCTCGCTCCTATGCAGAGTTCGTCGGGGGTGGTGCAGGTGATTCCCAGAGTATTGTTTGGAAAGTTGCCACTGCAAAGCACGATGTTCTCGTAGCTCTGCACCGTCGATTGCAAGAAACGGATGGTGAGATGGAAGGATTCGAAGATATCATGCGAACACTACAACAGCGTGTGAACGAGGGTCCCTGGGGACCTCTGCAATCTGGCGGTACTCAGGTAATGACTGCGGGACTGTGAAGTTGCGATACATTTGAAGAACACAGGATCTAGCTTAGTGACTCTCATGTAGTCTGTACAATTAAAACAATTTCAAGTTCAATGGTGTATTCTGGACGGAAGTAGAAACATTGAAGTAAAGATCTGCGCTTGTTATCTTAGCGCCTACGCGGGGAAGCATTTAGGGATTTTGCCAGTCCTGTCGCTGTTTCGGGTGGGCGGTGAAAAGAAATATATTTTTCTGGAGTCATGATCATCTATCCGCAATTATATCATGAGAAATGATCCATATTTGTTAACTCGTATAAATTGACATTTTATTACCACAGTTATGTCACGTCGTGGGGGACCAAAGGGCAAAAAGCCCCCTGGTACTGAGTTTACCTGGGACGCCGACCCTGGCGGGGAGCCGGACACAGCTCCTACCCCGTTGTACCCTGTATGTTTGCTTATTTGCCTGGCTTCTTGGCCTGGCTCCCCGGGAAATCTTCCTCTTGCGATGCACCCATCTCCATCATGCCGAAATCTACAGAGCCTAACTCAATCCGTCCGCAGAAATATACTGTCCCCTTTGCTCGGAAGTTGAGCCCCGCAGAACAAACCCAGGTAGACTACTACCGAGAGTTGCGCGAAACCTTTCACGAGGGACCCTTCTACTCTGTTCTTGATGCGTCATCTTCCAGCGCCAAAAAAGGCAGCGCCGCGCGCGCCAATTTTGACGCTTTCCATGGCATGCCCACTTATTCCGGCCGTTATCAAAAGAAACGACGCACCCTTCCAAAGATCACGGGACGGTCTTATTGTAAGTTCATCTTACGAGCGCTAGTGTTGCTCCGGCTTCAGACGACTAACCCGCATCCTTGGATCGTCTAGTCTTGAAGTTCTTTCCCCGCGAGCTATGGCAAACCCTCCAGCCAAATTTCCGACCCGACGCGTCCCTGGATGGCTACCAGACCCAGGTCTCGGCCGCTGGAGTGAAGCGTGGCTTTGAAGATGAAGAAGACGAAACTGGACCTTCGAAGCGCACGGCCGGCGGCGAAGACGAGGAGGAAGGTGAAGCAGATGCAGATGAAACCGCATTGATTGAGGGTGAAGATGAACAGGAAGAGGAAATTATGGATGACGACTTCTCTGAAGATGATGATGAAATGGGCGGCGATTACAATGCCGAACAGTACTTCGATGATGGAGAAGATGATATGGGTGATGAAGACGGTGGAGGTGGCGGCGGCGACGATGACTTCTGAAAAGCAGATTCACGATACCCTTTTTTCTTTCAATTTAGCCTTACTACGGCTATTCAGCGATCTGATTTATCACTCTTTGGCATGTCCATTGTACCTATTCAATGCCACAGTGGATTGTTCAGTGTGTTCGGTGCAGATAACTCCCCGGTAACCCAAGCCATTAGGATATTTGAAGATTGACCACTTCGCATACTCCGCGAAGGAAGCAGCAAGAACCCACAACCTCTCCAAGGGCTACTAGGCAACCTTCAAGGCCAGGCTTTTTCATTTTTGGTCAACAAAAAGACAGTTCTAGAGCAAAGGCTGGCCAGTATAAGGTCTCGCAGTTAGCCTACCCTGATATCTGCACCCCCTCCATCTTGGGCTTAGTCCCTCTGGCAGGCTTGTTCAATTAAGTATGAAAAGCATCACGCCCCTGGCATTTCATCCCTTTATCCCCCTTAACGCCCATATATTCTACACTTTGTATGGAAAGATCGACTCTGGTAGGCGGTAGATCCGGCGGTGGATATTTTCGATAAGATTGATTGGCCTTTGGGTGACGTCAGCCGATTTTTGGAGGGGCAGAGCAAAGACTGTTCAGACACTTCGACATCAGAGCGCAGAATGGGCGACACCGAAAGCCCACGTCCCTTAGAGCGGTCCGTGCTCATTTTATATGGCTCTGAAACAGGCAATGCGCAGGAAGTGGCCGAGGAATTAGGCGCCTTGACCGAGCGGCTCCGTTTTGCGACACATGTATCTGAGTTGAATCAATGCAAGCCAGTATGTACTTCTCTGCAATGACCGCCCAAAAGTCTAATACCAATGGGACTGTAGGAATTCCTACTCTCATACACACTCACCATATTTGTGACCTCGACTACCGGTCAAGGCGATTTTCCAGCCAATGCACGGTCTTTTTGGAAGTCGCTCTTGCTGAAGAAGCTACCTGCTACCTTTTTGAATGGCGTAAACTTCACTTGTTTTGGGCTGGGAGATAGCTCATATCCCAAGTATGGAAGCTATATCAACCGTGGGTTTCAATGGCTGATTGTGATAGATTCAATTGGGCGATACGCAAGCTCTATAAACGGCTGTTACAACTTGGTGCAAATGAAATCTACCCCACGGGCGAAGCAGACCAGCAACATCCAGAAGAGTCAGTATTATTTTGATTCTCATGCTAAACATCTGTTCACGACTTATATGGCTTGTTACCAGACTCGAGGGAACGTTCCTACCATGGATGACGGATTTCCGAAAACATTTACTGGATAGACATCCTCTTCCTGCCGGACAACACCCAATCCCGGACGATGTGCACCTCCCACCAAAGTGGAGGCTGCAGTTGACGGAGGAGGGCGATGTTGTCCCAATACCCCAAGCCGCCGTTGCAAATGAACATCAAGCTTCTACGGATGAATATCCGGGACTACATTACCTGGACTATGACTCCAGACCCATCCCACACTCGCTATCTGCGACATTGACCGAAAATCGTCGCGTAACTCCACAAAAGCATTGGCAAGATGTGCGCCGCATTACCCTGGCCGTCCCAGACGCTGTTTCTTACGTTCCCGGGGACATGATCGCTATCACACCCAAAAGTTCCGCAATTGATGTTCAAAGCCTTATTGACTTGATGGGTTGGAACGACCAGGCAGATCGACGAATCTCTCTGGTTCCAACAGGAGATATTCCATCACCACCACCCATTCCGGGCCTTAACTCATATCCCAACCTCACCCTCCGTGCCCTCCTCACAGACTATCTGGACATCAAGGGGATTCCCCGCCGATCCTTCTTCTCCACAATTGCACACTATACCCACGATGAAAGGCACAAAGAACGGTTATTAGAATTTACAAATCCGGAATATCTTGACGAGCTATGGGATTACACAACACGCCCGCGACGTAGTATACTTGAGATCCTGCATGAGTTCGACACTGTCAAAATTCCCTGGGAACACGCGATATCTGTTCTCCCGGCTATGCGCGCCCGCCAATTTAGCATTGCCAGTGGCGGAAAACGCAAGCAGACTACTGATGGCAACACACAATTCGAACTGCTTATCGCCATTGTCAAATACCAGACAGTGATCAAGAGAATTCGCGAGGGAGTCTGTACCAAGTATCTCTCAGTCCTCCGGCCAGGTAGCACCCTTCGAATCCAGCTCCAGCCGGGCGGTCTCAAGTCTTCAGTTCAGCAACTGACCGCAGCAACCGTGCTCATTGGACCGGGCACTGGAGTTGCCCCCCTGCGCTCCATGCTCTGGGAGAAAGCCGCACTTGTGCAGGCCTACCGCGAGCAAAACCCCGGCGTCAATCCACCAATTGGCCCTACCGTTCTTCTATACGGAGGCCGAAACCGAGAGTCTGATTTCTTCTTTGAGGAAGAGTGGACAGAGCTCAGCAAGCTCATCCCATTGCAGGTGCTTACTGCCTTTTCGCGTGATCAGCAACGCAAGATCTACGTGCAAGATACCGTGCGCGAGAACTTCTCGCTCTTCTTCCGTCTGTTGCATGATATGCAAGGGTCCGTTTATATTTGTGGTTCCTCAGGTCGCATGCCTCAAGCTGTGCGTGAAGCTCTCATTGAGGCTTTCCAGCATGGAGGAGCGTCTTCATCGGGGCAGCCTTTCACCCGTTCCCAGGCTGAGGGGTATCTCATTGCCATGGAGCAGAGCGGCCGGTATAAACAAGAAACTTGGTGATTGGTGTGGATAATTGGTTTGCATCACAGCGGAATATGAACCATTTTCCACGCACATGTACATGTACATGTACATGTATCTAGGGAAAGGCCGTAGATGTACATAGGCCGTGGGTGTACATATCGGCAGAGTTGGGAAACCTAGGAAGATTACCATCTACGATGCAATACAATTTTAAGGTTTACGCAATCATGGACAGCTTCAAGTTTATTATGCCATTTACTTGACAATACCTCTGCATATAACCGTGTATGTTATCATTTTAGGCCTCTCTATTGCTTAAGGAACTAAGCCTGGAGGATATATTGTTCTTTTTGCATTTGTATATCTAATTTATGACTATACCAATCAATTACAGTATGTTATTCTTATAAGAGTGTTGTCAAATGCGAAATAATGATCATTGTCGAACATGTGCATGATGTTGGCTATATGGTTAACCTCGGCAGGTTCGGTGATGTGACTACAGCAGAGAATTGCGGCCATCAGCACCATGTGGCATACTTATAGACACAATTGTACAGTACAGTTTCCATTAATAACTGCTAGCGAGGTCAAGAGTAAACAATCTGGAACGGTATTTAATAAAAATCAAGCCTTAGCAACATAGGCCTCGGAAGGATGCCCGATACCTGGAAGATTTCTAGGCATAAAGTTGATGCTCCGATCCCAAGCGCTCCTTGCAGTTATGGCCGCAAATACGTACTGTACTATGGGGAATCAGTGGTGCTAGGAGGGTTAAACTCGGGCCGCGTCGGCGTTTTTGATTTCTTGGCACTCCGTCACCGCACGCTTTCTCCCTCTGAGTCTCCAACCTTCTTTACATCAACTCAGGAATTGGCCGTTGCTCGATTACTGACTACACAAAATGAGCGGCCTAAGGATATTGGTGCCCGTCAAGCGGGTGATCGATTATGCGGTAGGTCAAGTGCCCAACTACGGCCCCTCCAGGTGCACCTCCGGGCGACCGATGCTCGGAGCTGTACCTCAACCACCACAGTCTCCGTGACTCCCCCACTCTAGGATTGGGATATCACGACTGACAACCATATCTGAACTCAACAGATCAAACCTCGCATCAACAAAGCCCAGACCGGTGTCGAAACCGCTGGTGTCAAGCACTCCCTGAACCCATTTGATGAGCTCTCAATTGAAGAGGCCGTCCGCCTTCGCGAGCGCAAGGGCCCCATTAAGGTCGAAGACATCCTCGCACTTTCCGCCGGCGGCCCGAAATGCCCTGATGTCCTCCGCACCGCCATGGCCATGGGCGCTGACCGAGCCTTCCACATCGATGTCCCGGACAAGGGTGACGGCGGCCCGGAGCCGCTGACAATCGCCAAGATGCTGCAGGCCGTTGTTAAGGAGCAGAATGTCAACCTCGTGCTTCTCGGTAAGCAGGCGATTGACGGTGACCAGGGCCAGACTGGTCAGATGCTTGCTGGTCTACTTGGATGGCCTCAGGCTACACAGGCCAGCAAAGTTGACATTAAGGACGAAGCTGGTACCGTTGAGATTACCCACGAGGTCGACGGTGGTGTTGAGACTCTCCGCGCCAAGCTGCCTATGGTTATCACTACGGATCTGCGGTTGAACGAGCCGCGGTACGCTAGCTTGCCCAACATTATGAAGGCCAAGAAGAAGCCCCTTGAGAAGAAGACTCTCGCCGATCTCGGTATCGAAGATACACGGCGGTTGAAGACCCTTAAGGTTACTGGTACGTGCTTTTGGTGGTTCTGCTATTTTGTTCGTGGGATTGAGCTAATGTCTTATAGAACCCCCGCCACGAAAGGGTGGTGGCAAGGTCGAGGATGTCGATGGCCTTGTCTCCAAGCTTAAGGAGCTGGGTGCGTTGTAAATGCGCTAAGCTTGTTTCTTGATTACACTGTGTTTCTATACCATCTTTGAAATGTTACCCACTAGATTTGGATTCGTCTCGCGCATTTCCCCCACACTTTCTGATGGCTCTGTGGCAAGGCATGTGTGCATGCGTTGGATGCTAGATCTCCATATAAATGAAAACATATTCTTTATAATTGATAGCGTACACTAGTTCCACTAGTTCCATCGGTTAGCGCTGTGTAATTAGACATCCCTTCCAGGGTTCGCTAAGAATTTAAGGTCATAGCTCGTAGGAGGCTACACTGCTGCAGCATCGTGGATCACATTCGCCACAGCGGCGCTAGTGGCTAGATCTCATCTACAGTCTTGGAACTATGGAGTAATAGCCACACCGTATAGGTACCATATGTATTGCTCTTCTGACCCAACCTTGGAAGGTATCTTTATTGAATGCTAGTTAACCTAGCCAATCGGACCTATATAGCGCCCAGGCTGCATCTCAGCCCGAGGCAATCATATACTCCCATTGTCAGCCACAGTGCCCAACTCCCCCTTGTTGACTATGACGAAATATTCCGAGAGCCTCACAACAATTTTCTTGGAGATTTATATTAGAATTGTAAAGTAAGTACGGAGTAGATAAGGATACGGTAGATGCTAGAATTTCCCCATTAGTCTAGTTACGTTAGCGCACATGTGTTGTGTTATGGGATCAGCATAAAAGATCTAGGATCTTGCATTATTACCCGGGATATACCAGAATATGCGCTGGCATTTCAGCTGAAAAGAGATCTCAAATCACTACGGGGTACGGAGGACAAGCGAGAGGATGCGTACATTGCCTAATGCCTATAGCGTGGTCGATCTGCTCCCGAGGTCAGCCTAGGCTGAGCTGTCATCTACGGGATCCACTTGAAGGAAGTAAAAGGGAATGGGTTCACAATAGCAATGCGTTTCATATTTTGAAGTTCTCTTCTACAGAAGAGTAGATACATATACAAATGTAGAATAAACGAGATGTTGTGACATGCGTTCTAGCCTTGGAGGTCACTTTAAATTTTCCAAGTGGGGAGAGGTATGTTATCTGGACTGGTCATTTCTAAGAGTCAGATGTAGAAGATTTCTATTTCAAATGGAACATTGAAGTTATAACCACATGAGTTATCTAGGGCTATACATAACATTGAAATTTACAGAAAAGAAAAAAGGAAAAAAAGAAAAAAAACCAATAAAAAAAACCACAGCTGATCCATGGATGATGACATTGCCTCGAACCTTGGAACCATGGAAAAAAAAGAGAGACCGTTTTTATTCTGGTCCAGACTCCAGACCTTATTAAATACTTCTGATTCCCCAATCTTTCTCTATAAACTTCTCTTCCCTTATAGTTACATTCCAAAATTCCTCCATTCCTGGATCTCAAATTCCTCTATCTGGAAAACATTCCCGCATTAGGAATCTGTCGGGATTCATGCTGTTCGCGGCGTGTTTCACATGCCCTGTGTATAGTGCCTTGATCAGCCTCTCACACCGAGAAACTCATAATTCTTCTTACTTCTCGTAGCGTTCTCTTTTCTGCCTGCGACTCACCATGCCTCCAAATCGGTGGGAGAAGACTAAAAGTATCTCAAAAAAGGGCTTCGATAAAGCATGGGACACCGTCGACAAGCTCGGCGGCCCAGTCAACCGCTTATCGCACAAGTTGGGCGCCGAAGCCTTCTGGCCTATGACGATCGACAAAGAAGCCGACAAAGCCGCACGAATCCTGCGCAGCTTTTGCAGAGACGGCTTCTACGCTCCCGATACCTCATCCGGTACCGATGAGAATGGCAAGATCAATCGTCCCAAGGGCAAGCAGCGCGTTATCCAGAAGATCCCAACAGAAGTCCTCAAAAATGCGAAGGGAATCGCCATCTTCACCACCATGCGCACAGGTCTGTGGATGAGTGGCTCGGGTGGCAGCGGCGTGCTGATCGGTCGCCTCCCCGACACTGGCGAATGGAGTCCGCCATCGGGTATAATGTTACACACAGCCGGCATAGGCTTCCTCGCTGGAGTTGACATTTATGACTGCGTGGTAATTATCAACACATATGAAGCGCTGGACGCATTCAAGAAATTCCGCTGCACGCTCGGCGGCGAGATTAGCGCAGCTGCAGGACCTGTAGGTGTCGGTGGTGTTCTCGAATCCGAGGTTCACAAACGTCGGGCACCGATTTGGACATATATGAAGAGCAAAGGGCTGTACGCAGGTGTCGCGGTAGACGGCACGATCATCATCGAGCGAACCGACGAGAACGAGCGCTTTTACGGCGAGCGCATATCCGTCGACCAGATTCTCTCCGGCAAAGTTCGACATCCACCGCGCGAGCTCGACACCCTCATGCAGACTTTGAAGGCCGCGCAGGGCGATTCTGACATTGATGAGAGTCTCATCCCGCCGGCGGGCGAAACACCTGGCGATATGGAACTGACGGAAGATGGAAAACATGCTTTCGGCGTACCGGCTCCGGATGACCCCGATCCGTATGGAGTGAAGGCACTAGAAGCGGAGGGCCTTTTCATCCGCGAGGCTGGCACAAAAACAAGACCGAGCCATGAGACCTTTGAATTTCGCCCCAACCTGGATAGTCCGGTTTATTCCACGTTCTCGCGGCGCAGCATGGATAGCTCGGCCCGTAATAGCTGGCGTGCCAGTGTGCAGAGCTCCAAGAGCTATTCTAGTGTCGACCGTGGCACGCAGACTGATGACACCCCAGTAACTGAGCCCACGCCAGTGAGCCGTACGTCTTCCCCCAGCGAGAAGGAATCGCCCACCGACCGTCCATCGAGAAGTGTTTGGGACGAAACCGAAGACTCCGCTCAGTGGGATACCATTGCTATCCACGGCAATGAAGAGCACGTGAAGGTACGGCAATTGGACGGCCAGGAGGCGGAGGATACAAGAGCGAAAGCAAACGCCTGCGAAGATATGCAGGATGATCCAGAGCTAGATGATGATGACGATGAGCACTTTGAGGTTCACGAGGTTAGCAATGCGAAGGTAACACCAATGGAGAATGGCCAGGCCCCACCGAAGGTGGAGGACCAGACGACAAACGGCGAAACTAAGCCTGCGTCGCCGAGCTTCACCCGGGCTCGTCTGGTCACCATCCCGGCGCGTACCCCACCTACTTTGCCTCCGCGGCACCCACGCCACGTCTGGGGCTCTGGCTCAAGCCGTGCTTCAACATCGCCTACGGCCCTCTCGCGTTCAAGCCGCAATACCTCACGCACTGACGTCACTGAGTTGGCCGAGAATCTCGAACATGCGGACGAAACTCCACACGCGCCTCCTTCCCCACGGAAGGCTAAGTCATCCCCTGCTATTCCTGCCACGAGTGATGATGAAGAGTTTGTTGACACGAAATCGGAGCCTCTGGCCGAGAGGGACGAGTTCCACTCTGTCAACGGCGAGTCTGAAATCGAGGATAACATTATTACTCTCGAAGACCACACTTCCACCGAGGGTGCTGAGGAGGAGAGCAAGAAAGATAAAGACGAGAAGGAGCACCAGAAGGAAGATAAGGAAGATAAGGGACTCGAACCCGAGCATTCTCCTCAACTTGAGAAGTCTCCCGATGTCCCTAAGCTCGCACCCAATATCGATGATACCCCGGAGGTCGAAGAGACCCTCGACAAGATTGAAGCAAAGCTTCAGGCTGAGATTGACAAACCCGAAGGGCAGAAATCCGAAAAGCCATATTCAAAAATCATTGACCGCGAAGAACACGAAGAGTCCCCTGGTGGGAGTAAACTCGATACCACCTTGCCCCATGCTAGGGCTGAGTGATTTTGGGGTTCAAATGTTTTTCGGCTTCATCTTTGCGCTTGCCTCGGCCTTCTTGTTTCCATATTTCTCTCGACCACATTGCCACGATACCTCATGCTTTCTACATACATCCAACTCGCTTCGGTGTCCTTGGGTTATCCAGCCTACACCTTTCTACGCCTGTCACATCTCCATATCTCACCCCCAAAAAGAATGGTTTGCGTCGGTTTCCTATTATTGATTTTAGCGTGTCTGCATTTTAGCGATTGGAGGGTATTTGTTTTCGTTCGTCCCAGATCTTCGGGTCCCTTCTTTAGGAGATTTCGCTCGAGTTGCATTATATCCTGTTTCCCATACTTGGAATACATTCCTTTATACATTTGAGAGCTTTTATCTCTGGCTTTAAGTCAATTAAATACTTTGACGCCAATAATTTGCTATTTTAGGGCTGAAATAGTCCCATGTTTTCTTCTATTCATGAAAGAAAATGGAATATAGTCCATGATGCTTCAGTCTTGGGTTTTCTTTTGACAACACATTGACAACTCATTAACGACTCACTTCATTGTCATTGTCCCATTTCTCTTCTCGTCCTCAGAAATGGATTTCAAAGAGAAACATTCGGATCCAGTTTCTCACAGCTCCAGCACTTCCACGCGACGAGGAACCGGATATTCCCTCATCTGAGTCTCACCAACTGCCACTTTCCAGTGCGAGGAGCATTCAAGATCTCTTTGACCCTGCCTCTGCAAGGGCTCGAAATTCCATGCAATGCTTGAAAGACGACATGAAAAGGTAAGTACAGCTGAAAATATATGTTTGCTGCCACTAATGTGACTCAGAATTCAAGGACTAATTGTGCAAATCATAGTTGGGCCACAAAGGAAACCTTTCATGTTCATGAATCGCTCATCCGCTCATCTGCATTTCGTCCCTTTTTCCAAAAAGGCCATGTCTGGATCGTGGAAGGAATCCCAAAAGCACACCGTTAAATTCCCGGAAGATGACCCAAAGATATTTGCTCTCTATTCACACTGGCTCTACTTTTCCAAAATTCCTATTGCTAAAGCTCCAGAAAAGAAAGAATCTATTGGGGACATCGTCGCAAAGGATTATTTTGATCTCGTCAATGCATATGTGCTTGGTGAAAGTTGCATCTACTTCATGGGCCACACAATGGACCTACATATGGAGAGTGTGTGAAACCTGAGCAACTTTCCCTTAGAAATCGAGTTCATCGTGTATTTTATACTACTTTTGTCTCTCTTGATAGTCAAAAACTAGTCAAACTGCAAATTATTTCCCAATTAGTGGCACCTTGGGCTAACCTCGGCATATTCCAAGATTAAGGACAGACAAAGTCCCGAGACACTATCACAATATTAGCGTTTATTCCGATATGGCAGCGGTCGAACATCCAATGTGGGTTAGGGCCACACTATCGATGCACAATATCTTCTGACATTCCAGTGGCGCCAAGTGTATCCCGTCTTTTAGCCTGATTCTTCGTTTCCCCGGCTCTTTTCTGTTCCCCCTCATGGACCAAATTCTTTTGACCCTTTCCTTTGGAGTTTTGTTAACCCTGGAACATGGCTAGTTTATTATCACTGGGTATAGGTGGTTTGATAATATACCTCCTCGTCAAAAGCATCTACCGGTTGTATTTCCACCCTCTCAGCAAAATTCCCGGGCCAAAGCTTGCAGCTATCACAAGTGGCTATGAATTTTATTTCAATGTGATCAAGGGGGGAATGTTCATCTGGGAACTGGAGCGGCTACATGGGATATATGGTCATTTATACCAGACACATGCAGTATCATTAGTCTAATCTTTCATTAGGTCCCATTTTACGCATTACCCCTCATGAAGTGCATATCAAAGACTCGAGCTATTACGATGAGATATACGCCTCTAGCAAGCGTAGACGAGAAAAGTCCGCTGAGTTGGTCGCTCGATTCGATCTCAAGGATACTTCATTTGCCAGTATATCTTCAGAGGACCACCGGAAGCGACGTTCGCACGTTGATAAACACTTCTCAAAGCAAGCTGTCTCCAACATGGAGCATTTGATACATGAAAACATTGACAAACTCGACAATCATTTCAAACGCGCCTTTAAACTTAATAAAGTCATTAACCTCGACGCTGGTTTTGCTGGACTGACTTCCGATGTCATTCACAAATACGTCTACGGTTTCAACAGTGGGAATCTTGATCACGAGGACTTCAACACGAGTGTGAGAGACGGAGTCAACACACTATTCAAATCTAGCCATGTCCTAGCCTTTTTCCCGATCCTTCAGACCATCATGAACTTGCTTCCATTGTGGTTGATCGAAAAGCTTGACCCATTCGTGTACGCACTCGTGAGCCAGAAGTTGGACCTTCTTCGTCGGACAGAGGAATTCCTACAAAGTGGACCGTCAAACTCGGCAACTCCCCCCGTCATGGAAGTCATGTGTGGCCCCAGTATGCCGGAGGATATGCGCAGCGCTGCTCGTCTCAGCAATGAGGGATTTTCTATGATCATCGGTGGCACCGAGACAACTGCCCGATCGCTATCTATTGTGGCATTCCGACTCTTGGAAAATGAGTCGATCAAAACTAAGTTGCGAGAGGAACTACGGACGGTCATGCCTACGCCTGAGTCTCGGCCAACATGGAGGCAGCTTGAACAGTTGCCGTATTTGGTAAGTCGTCTTTTCCGTGGTGTGATGATACATCTCTCTGTGGTCTTACTATAGACTTAATGACTGACTGTTTTCACCTTATAGTCTGCAGTTGTGTGGGAGACACTACGTGTGTCTATTGGAATTTCAAGTCGATCGCCTCGTATCGCACCTGATGAATCATTGGTCTATAAGAATTACACCATTCCTGCTGGAGTATGTAAACATATTGTTACTAGCTCTGGTGTATGTATATTGACATGATCATTTAGACTCCAGTTAGTGAGACCAACTATTTCGTTCTCACTGACCCCGAAATTTTCCCCGATCCGCATACTTTCGACCCAGCCCGATGGCTACGTGCCGCTGCAAAAGGGGAGCATCTGGATAGATACATGGTCAACTTTTCCAAGGGTAGTCGGATATGTTTGGGTATGAAGTATGTTAGATGAACCCTTTCTCCTCCCTTCCTAATCTCTAATCGACGTGATATTACAGCTTGGCCTATGCAGAGCTGTTCCTTGTAATAGCAGCTTTTGTTCGTCGCTATGAAATGGAACTGTTTGAGACAAGCGAAAAGGACATTACTTTTGCCCGTGATTTTGGAACCCCATTCCCCGATGAGGGAAGTGCTCGTGTGCGAGTTATGGTCACCAAGGTGATTGAAGAGTGAGCCTTTTATTTTGCAAGAAAAAAGACGCCAAAAGAAGGAGAATAGTTAGGCATCCATGGATGTCAGGTGTATGTATCCAAAATAGGAAGGTGTCAAATCAACGTTTTTCCGTGTTAAGTCCGAAGGCTTTATTTTAGAAGTTCACTCATCCCAGGTCACTTCCTTCTGTCAACTCCTTCTTCTGTCATCCCCTTCTATCATCTCTTTCTTCTGTCAACTCCTTCGAGACATTCAAGATGCCTTCTGATAAGCACATCAAAGCAGCCTTCTCCCTCATCCAGGACAAAACAAAGGTCCTTGGCTTGTTCATCGGCATCCACGAGATCGTGCATCCAGGAATGTGGCTTCCCCGCAAAGGTATGCACCAGTCCATCCCCTAACCTCCTCTTCCCTCCCTTCTCCACTGTGACAAGCAATCGAACTGTTAACTGACAAAAACAATAGAAGCCCAAGAGCTCCCAATGCTATCCTTCGCTGGCGCTGACCCCAACAGCACCTACCTTGTTGTGAGCTTGGATATTGACGCCCCTTTCCCTGCTTTCAAAGTCTTGAGCCCAATTCTTCACTGGATCCAGTCCGATATCAAGGTCACTACCGACGGTACACTCCAGTTCGATGCGCCCTCTGTCGCCAATTATATTGGCCCTGCCCCTCCTCGCATCAACGCGCCCCACCGTTACCTCTTTTTGCTGTACGAACAACCTGAGGGCTTTGACCTCGCAGCCTATGCGCCTGCTGGTGGTAAGAATCTTCGCGCTTTGAACCGCATGCGCTACGATCTTGACGCTTGGGCAGACAAGATCAACCTTGGTCACCCTGTGGCTTTCAACTACTTCACTTGCAACTAGATCGACTTCTTATCAACAATCGGATTCGAGGTTGACAAGTTCGAAGGGGTGGATATGGCGTTTATTGTGGTGTGTTTCAATTTCGAACCCCAGCGAGCACGCTGGTATCAATAATCGCCATCGAATGGATGTTTCTTAGCTTTGACTAACAGTTAATTGACTTCTCAACTTCTCAGATTATGCTTCAATTCTGTAAAAGTTTAAGCGTATAGGTCCCATGTATCCTCTTTTGCTTCTGGTATTTGAATGCAATAGATGTAGATGGCCTCCTGAATGAGCTACTTGATATGCTAGATATCTTGGGGTATATGCTTTCTGCTTTCCAACCCCCAGCCTCAGGCACCAAAGGAGAAGTCCATGATGTATTTGTTGATTGTTTGTCTAACAATTCCGTTAGTGCGCCATCGATAGTTTAAAAGGGGCAACCAGCTGCTTCTACAACAATGTTCTGGATTCACTTTCATAAGTACTTCATCCTTGGTTCTCTATTGAATCCCCTCATAGAGTTAACTTTAGTGTCCATCATTTCCATCCGGGAAGATGGCTTCCGACAAACCAGTAGAGAAGCTGGCCGACACCCTGAAAGGTTTGGTCATCGGGGCCAGTGGTACAATCCCTGGATATAAACATGGTATGTTTCCCTTAAGATAAAGCAAAGCTAAAGAGAGAGTGAAGTGAGAGAGGGAGGTATTCCTAGATATCATTTGATGAGTGACACCCTATCATCTAGGTCAAATCAAGCGGATGGTCGAAAGATGTGGTGCGAAGTTCGCCTCGGTTAATGTCAGCAAGTGTACTCATTTGGTGACAACAGAGGATTATCTCAAGAAAAAGTCGAAAAAGAGTTAGTATCATCAAACTTCACATCCTCTGAGCTAAGTATCAACTAATATGATAATTTCATTTCAGTCAATCAAGCTCTTGAGCGGCACGACTGCCAAATCGTGAATATCGATTGGTTGTTGAAGAAGATCGAAAAGCATACTCCGGAGGGTGTTGAAAAGGAAGAACCCGAGAACGATGAAGACACCAAGCTCACGGGCAAAAAGCGTGAGCGAGAATCTTCGCTTGGGGATGACCAAAACAGCTCTCCGAAGAAAATGAAGGATGAAATACAGATCAACCTCAAGAATCTGAGCAAACTGGTTGACAAGGAATACCCAAAGAAGAGTTAGTTATGTGATACAATACCATCGCAACTTGGATGTCTAACAGAATTCGTTAATAGTAGGAGATACACTTTCCGTTTGGGAGGACGAGACAGGATTGATATGGGACGCCACTTTGGTCAGAGTCGGTTTGAAAAATCAAGTCGAGGTTTTTCGCATCCAACTTCTCGTTCATCACGAATCACAAACATTCCATACATGGGACATTCAATACCAATTTGGCTCATCTGAAAATTCAAAATCAATTGGAGATATGGGAAGCCTCGAGTCGGCCAAGGAGACGTTTGAGGAGAAGTTCCAGCTCTACAGTGGTTCAGCCTGGGAAGACCGACATACTCCCAATTTCAAGGGAGAAGGCTGGATTCCCCTTCAAATGTACAGGGAGGTTCCTATTGACACCGATGAGATTAGCACATTGCCTGCAAGCGTTGAAAATGTTTTGAAAATCATCTTCATGCCAGGAAACTTGAAGAAGTACCTCGATTCGCTGAACACGAACGGGCGCAACCTCTTGAGGGGCACTAAAGTCGACAAGAAGAAACTCCTGATTGGGGTTGCAGTTTTGGGCAAACTGATGGAACTCACATCGATGGACTCCATTAACCCTGAACTGAGGTCTAGCAACCATCTCCAATGGAAAAAGGAATTACGCAGAATCTACGCTACCTTGATTCTCAAGAACCAGACTCTTTTAGACTCCAAGGATACCATCAGGCAAGAACTGGAATCACTCGAACTCTTGGTCAAATTACGCAATGCCAGTAAGATTCAGGAAAAGAAATGCCTGTCTTCTTCATTGGTCATGAGCCAAATATCCCAAGTACTTGGTCTGGCAGAAATGCTCCCAGGTATATCTCCCTTCATCCCTTCATATCCTAGTTTATTCGATACTTTCCCGAAGACCAAAGCATAAGGCTAACCCTTGTTGACAGTGAGGAAAAATTCGACAGAGTTCAAGGTGCTCCAGGAGTATCTTGAAAAGACTTCGAGTCCAAACCACCCGTATCAATTACAGGCAAGCTGTCCTCAGATCATATTGGCTAAAGCCCAGGCTAACTCTCTCGTCATCATAGGGGGTCATCAGTATATTCCGTCTCGAACGTCCCGGGGAAGCAGAGCGTTTTGCCCAATGGGAAAAAGCAAACCTTGCTAACATTGGAGACCAGCGACTTCTGTGGCATGGCTCAAAGTCTAGCAACTTTGCAGGAATTTTGAGTCAAGGGTTGCGTGGTGATGGAATTGTTAGTACCGATGGGAAGCACTTTGTTCCTGGGGTATTCTTCGCCGACATGGCCACAAAGTCGGCAGGATATTGCCGACAGAAAAACGGGCAAGCCTTGATGTTGCTATGTGAGGTTGAACTGGGTACTGAATCAGCCCTTTCACGCTATCATCTTGGCTTCACGGTCCATGAAAGATGGCGTGATGCTGGATATATTCACCCAGATTTCAAGGGGTGCAAGGTCCCTGATATTCATGCTGGAACAAAGACTGCAAATGGCGCCGCCTCAAATCTTTACCACTCTGAGTATATTGCACAAAGCCCAGCACAGATTCGTCAACGGTATTTGTTCCACGTGAACATTCGAAGTGGCTAAGATTTAGGCCGAGGGTATTCGAGGGGTTTGAGTTGCGAACTACAGAATGTTGAAGTTTTCCTATCCAAGGTGTCGGACTTTATGCTAGTGGAATACAATGTTGGATGTTTTCTATTTGCATGATCTCAGCTTAGATATATTGTGTACAACATAGTACATGAATATGCTCAGATTTGCATAGGTACTCCGTATAGGGCATTGAATATCAGGTGGTCTTGTCTTGGCACTTCCCGAGGTCCCCACACCCCGCAACTTCCAAGGTAAGGATCTATGTCTTCTTGTAGCTCTTCTCTCTGGTTTTTCTTGTGCTGTCTCCCATTTGTATAGGTCATGATTAATTTTTGGACCGCCGCCCTGGTAGCAACTGCTGCGGCGCAGTACTTTCCGCCCATACCAGATGGGGTGAAGGTAGTCGAATCGCAACACCAAAAAGGAGTGAAGATTTCATACAAAGAGGTGCGATCCGTCTCAAAGCTTCTATTCAAGGATGATCTTGTTAGTTATATCACATATTATTATACTGATACGGTTAATAGCCTGGGATTTGTGAAACAACTCCAGGGGTGAGATCATATTCGGGCTATGTTCATCTACCCCCAGGCTCCCTGGACGATGTAAATGTTGATCAAGACTACCCGATCAATACTTTCTTCTGGTTTTTTGAGTCTCGTCATAACCCACAGAACGCACCACTGTCCATATGGATGAATGGAGGTCCAGGAAGTTCCTCTATGATTGGCCTCACGCAAGAAAATGGACCCTGTATAATCAACGAGGATTCCAATTCCACGGAGCCCAATCCTTGGTCTTGGAATAACTATGTCAATATGCTGTACATTGACCAGCCAAATCAGGTCGGTTTCAGTTATGATGTCCAGACCAACGGTACGTTCGATCAAGTTCAAGGTGCCTGGAACTTGTCAAGGTGGGCCGAGGTGCCTAAGCAGAATAGCACTTTCTATGTCGGCACGACAGCTAGCCATGATAAGTCGGCAACGGCCAATAGTACCGCGAACTCCGCGCGCTCACTGTGGCACTTTGCTCAGACCTGGTTCACCGAGTTTCCACATTACAAGCCCCATGATGACCGGGTCAGCATCTGGACTGAGTCATACGGCGGTCGCTACGGCCCATCTTTCACTGCCTTCTTCCAAGAGCAAAACGAAAAGATAAAGGATGGCAGCATCGATACCCCAGGGAAATCACACTACATTCACCTCGATACACTAGGCATCATCAACGGCTGCATCGATCTCCTAGTACAGGCACCATCATATCCAGTAATGGCATACAACAATACCTATGACATCCAGACCATCAACAAGACCGTATATGATAATGCCATGGAGGCATGGAGTCGCCCTGGCGGATGCAAAGACCAGATTACACACTGTCGCGCGCTGGCCGCAGAGGGTGATCCGCAAATGTACGGCAACAATGAAACCGTCAACAAAGCGTGCCACAATGCCGACAGGCTCTGCACCAACAACGTCGAAGGTGCATACGTAGAATACGCGGGACGCAGCTACTATGACATCACCCACAAGAACCCAGATCCCTTCCCACCGTCCTACTACTTGGGTTGGCTGAACCAGCACTGGGTGCAGGGCGCACTGGGCGTCCCGATTAATTTCACTGAGTCAAACAGCGCTGTCTACGGTGCTTTCCGATCCGCCGGAGACTATCCGCGTTCTGACGTGCGCGGCTACCTCGAAGACCTGGCGTACGTGCTCGACTCCGGTATCAAGGTTGCTCTCGTCTACGGTGACAGTGACTACGCTTGCAACTGGATTGGGGGTGAAGACGCCAGCTTGCTGGTCAACCATGCTGGTGCTTCTGGTTTCCGATCTGCTGGGTACACACCTCTGCACACGAACTCCTCGTATATTGGCGGCCAGGTCCGGCAGCATGGGAACTTTTCATTCGCGCGTGTCTATGATGCTGGTCATGAAGTTCCCGCATATCAGCCACAAACTGCATATGAGATCTTTTACCGTGCGCTCTTCAACCGCGACCTAGCCACAGGCAAGATCAATACTGCACGTAATAGCTCATATACCACACAGGGGCCTGCGTCTACTTGGCATATCAAGAACAAGGTCCCGGAGAGTCCGGATCCGGTCTGCTATATTCTTGCCCTAGAGTCGACATGCACTGAAGACCAGATTGCAAGCGTGGTCAATGGTACAGCTGTTATTCGTGATTATATTGTTGTGGATGAAAAGAAGCAAGATTCATAGAAGCTTTATGCGCAGTATTATTCTTATGTATCTTACTTGCGCATTCATAAAGTGACATATATCAACTTATATTCTTCTATAAGTAATCTCTCGTGTGACTGTGTCCTCGCATGTTCGGTATCCAATACGCTGTTCGTGTGTAGCTAAGGCACATATGTATCTCGATACCGATCAGATGGCTCGGTGATAGCTGGATCAATTCAAGAAGGTCGCGAATGGCACATAAGTGGGTGTCTCGTATGTTAAACACGGTAGGAGGTTCCGGGGGTTTCACGAGCGGCGACAGCCCTATATTGAATCGCATGGAGGTCTGCAGGTTCGCGTCGCGTGCGCGTGGGTACGGCCCGAGCCGTTGTGGAACCCGATTCGACGGATGGCGGCTCTAAAAACCGGGTCCCGTGGTTTCCACCAAGTACCTAGGTTGATAGTAATGTCTCATCATGAGTTAACGTGAGTTTCGGACATGATAATTTGTGTCTGAAAAGTTACCGTGCAGGAGACAATGGGTTGTCGCATCTGATCGTGTTGGATTTGATCCTAGCTGAATAAGAAGCACAGGTTTGATGGCGAAGAACAATGCAGGTCTAGGATGGTAGACAACTCCTAGTAAACAATCGGTTGAAACAATATGGGACTCCCTCATCAACATGTTCACGTCAGTGAATTTAAGGCGAGGGTATTGAAGAAAGTGGACATGTGCCAAATGCTAGGGTATTTACTCATTAGGAGAGTATCAGTCGTCTAGTTGGATTCAACTATCTATTGAGACCAGGAGATGCCTCTAGTAATTTTAATTGATGTGTCTCATAGTGGGAAGGCACCCGCGTTCCTTCCCAATTGTGTGCCTTCCCTTTTTCTCGCGTACCTCCAAATCGCCAGGGTATAAATACCTACCCCCTCCCACTTTTCTTCTTCTTCTCTTCTTCTTCCTTCTTCGTCCCTCTCGTAAAACTCGGGGCTTGGCTCGGGGCTCATAATGTGACACCACGTTGTGGGCCTGTGTCTGGTGAGAGGACCTGAGGACACCATGGAACCTTTGCTGCGGCCTAGGTTAGTCTGAAACTAGACTGGGACTTCGGTCCTGTCTAATGGCACGAAGCATGCCGTAGCCAGCCCTGCGTGCCTCTGCGGATACAGACTGTACTTTCCTAGGTTCTCCATTGGAAAGTGGGAGCTAAAGCCAACCCTTCCTTGGTCCTCGGACCTTGGACCTTTGCAACCTTGGATCTTTGACAAACTCGGACCTTTGACAAACTCAGACCTCCGACAACCTTGGACCTTCGACAACAACCTTCGACACCTTCGGCAACCCTCGACAACCTTCGATACCCTCAACAACCTTTGACACCTTTGGCAACCCTCGACAACCTTCGACAACCTTCGACAACCTTCGACAACCTTCGACAACCTTCGACAACCTTCGACAACCTTCGACAACCTTCGACAACCTTCGACAACCCTCAGCAACAACCTTCCCCCTCTCTTCCTCTCTTCCTCTCTCCCTCTCTCCCTCTCCCCCCTCTCCCTCTCTCCCTCTCTCCCTCTCTCCCTCTCTCCCTCTCTCCCTCTCTCCCTGTTGTCCGATTCCCCCAACCCAGCTGCACGGGTCCTGTGTGCAGCACCTGAGTAAGACTTGCGCCTTTACGTGGTGCTCAGGATAAGTAGCCTTTATGGTGAAACCAAGCAAGTCCTATATAGAACTTTAATAGAACTTGGTATTAATTAAATGATTCAATGTGTACCTTGCTTTCGCAATCGCCCTTTAACCTTGAGACTTGTAGTTTGACTTGTCCTGACCTTGGACACAATGCGTTTTTGATGTTTCGCTTCCAAGCACTTGGGGATCTGTTAAATCACACCTGGCTGCAGTGTCTTCCACAGAAAGCATTATGCGCTCCCATCTTTGATCTCAAATTCCCATTCCCATAAGGAACTGAAATTTCCGTAAACACCTAGTATCTCTCTTACATGACAGTGAGTATGTGTAAACACCAACCAGGTCCCTATCAACCAGACTCAGGCTTCTAGTGGCCAATCAAGCGATCAATCAATCAAAGTTCAATTAACCTGTTGCAGTCTAGATAGTTGCGTATGACCATGCAGGCGCTTCATCCAACTGAATCAAGAACTTGAAGCCAACGCCGAGTGCGATGTCTCCCGGAGCATACAGATGCTGACGTTAAAGAGTGCGGAACCAGCCAATTCCTGTAGCCCATAAACCCATATTCCAGACCCATACATAGGAAATCAAAACATAACGACTGTCATGGAGTGCACCCTCCATATCCCATCTCTTGCTTCTCTCTTCTCACTTCTCTCTCACTTCTCACACCTCATATCTTTCTGTATCCCCCCTGCCTCAGTTTTGATTGATGGTGACATTATCCTAGCCAGCTAACTGGCATTTTCGTCGACATCCTGAAGTGTGGCACCTGCAAGTATCCCCATGTGAGATGTGAGATATGAGAACCTGCTAACGTCAAATATTACAGACAACAAACCTTCCTCTCATAACAACTTACAACAACTACGATGGCACCTCCACGCCCATTCAGTCGGCTTGCACGATCATTGTCATTGACTACTCCTCCTCGACAGCCTTGACTAAGCCCACGCAAGATCAGCTAGTGACATACGATATCACTTCCGAGATGCAGTGTCCGCTGTTCGACAGGCTTCGATGGTGCTTTGGCTGGACTTCATGTGCGGATATCAATCTACATGGGGTCTTCACGATCAGCGCTGGACCCAGGATCGAGAACAGTTTTATCGAGAGAACGACAATGCAGCACGTTAGCATGAATTTGGGTGACACTTGAGTCAATATCACACTCCTTGATTGGATACAGACACTCGCTAATTAGATTTCTTACTACAGTCAAGGCTTTTCAGAGTGTGACACCTACCCTGCCCATCCTCGACCCCGAAAAACGAAAGAATTCACGGACGATCCCCGATCACGACCATAGGTGTGACTGCGATCAACGCCCGACATGTCCTTTGAAGTATCCATGAACACTTTACTGGGTCTTCTTACAGATAGTGATGAGACATACGATTGTACAAAGCACCCTTATGTACACATGAATTCACTCTTGTTCCGGAATATGACTTCCTGGCTGCGGTTCCCTTCTCCGCTGCAGGATAGGATTCTATAAGTATGCCAGATTTGTCAATTACTTAATTGGGAGCTGACATGATGGTCTTTCCATCCGGCCCTCTGGTGATATGCTCTAAAAGCCCCTAGTACCAATGGCGATTTATCTCGACTTCACGGAATCATGACCAAGTCTTATTATCACTTTGTGCTATACTGTTACACTGCTGCCAAATCTAATGTAGTCACCATGGTATGATAACTATAAACAGCCTACCTGGTAGTACATCAGGAAGTTGTTTGGACCCGGATTTTTGCATAGACATCCGGACATTCGGCTTATTGTATATCAGTTTACAATATAGACAGTAATGGCGAATCAGGGTATCTTACTACAGACTACATTTCCAGGTTTTCTAACAGAACATTGAATTGAATGATTGAGGCTCTAGATATACGACTTAAATTTCCATGCTTTGTAAGTCCTCAGCAAGAAACTAGTAAGATCATTACTCTGAACTCAAGAGTAAAAAGATGCGTGGACGAAAGTCAACGCTATTGAATAAACCATCGAGCATCACACAAAACAAATCATTCTTTCTTATCATGAGTTGGCTCGGCCCATTTACTTCCAATGACAGACGACCAAGCAACACGAACAAGCTGCCAAAGCACCCACATGAACCCAAGAGAGATAACCACACAAGTGCCAAACTCAATATGTTTACCCTGGAAGTAGCCATCCCCGCGTTCAAGTCGTAGAACCGGCACATCGATCTCCTCAACGAGACGGTCACCCGCAGGCTGAAGCTGGTAAAACAAGGTTCGCGGACCGAACAAACTATCCCAGCCGAGATTTGTGCGGTCGAAGGGGTTCAAACCCATCTTCATTGTATCCTCGGTAGTACAGGCCCAGAAGACGACGGGCCAGGGAATGTAGGCAGTACGGTGTCCAGTTTCGGAGGGGGGCAGGTAGCGCAGGTGTAGAGGAATAGTGGCGGTCCAATTTGAATGGTCTGGTGTGCTAGCCGCGTCTTCGGCTTCTGGTGGGGTTGCTAGTTCGAGGAGCCAGTTTGAGCCCCAGCGCTGAACAACCCAGTCTGGGGCTTCAAGGTCCATTTCACCTGCTAAGGCACGCAGGGCTACGAGATTGTGTGACTCGAGGAAAAGTGGGTCTGTTGTCGCGAGCTGGTATTGATCTCCGAAGATGGTGGAGGGGAGGGTAAGGTATGTGTGTAGAGCGCAGGTTGCGTCGCTGGGTGCTGGGGGTCGTTTGATGGATGATCGGGGCATGGATATGGACATTGTTGGGTGGAGACCAGTTGGAGGAGCGAAGGAGACGGTGTAGCTCGATGGTCCAGTGAGAGGTTGATGGCGGGAGGGGAATGAGAACATGGTCGGCTCTATATAAGGGTTAATCCAGCCAGTCCAGATTATCAGAGCTAGACAAAAGGCAAGCTATATGAGAAATGTCGAGGCCACTTACTGAGCTTCTTGTCCTGCCCAACAACTGCTAATAGCCCGCCCATCTTGATATCCTCTGGCTCAAGCCCTGCCTCAGCACCCAAGAGACCGAACTCGAGTTGATCTTCAGCAGATGCTGGCTTATGAAACTCATCCGTCCAACCGCCCGTCGGCGGACTGGTCCAGAGACCAGACAGAATTAGGTCGTGCGAAATGCCGTCATAGTCGATATCGACCGAGTCTGCGGAGAGAAGAGCATCGGCCCGGGTATGGCACTCGGAACCATCTGCGCGACTCTGGCTACAGACAGTGGATTTAATATATTTGACCAAAGGCTGGATGGAAGGGAGGTGAGTGTAATATTGCAGGGAGGTCGAGGAAGCGAATCGTGTTGAGAGAAGCGGGGGTGTAATGAACGAATCCTGTGTAGTAGATTATGGGTTAGAAGGAATACATGCAAAACATGACCAGGGAATGTCCCCAGATAAAAAGGAACAATCGTGAAATACCTCCTGCTTCGAACAATCCTTATATTGAGCGTCTTTGCCGGGCGCGACTACCGTGCGGAGCAGTGTGCACAGTTCCTCCCTATTGATAACCAAATCAGTCAATCGCATTCCCCCTAAGCCCAAGATGTAAGAATGAGCTCACGAAGATGACTCCGACTTGAGCGGGGTATAATGCACATGCAGACCAGGCGAAACCCGGCTACTAAATGGCGCGACAGCATCATAAGGTCTCTCGGAGGCCCAGCGGAGGTGGAGCTCATGAGATTGCTCGAGGACAGAACGCAACTAAGCACGACAAAATAAGCCGGTTAGTATTGAGCTATTCTCAACATATCCTTGAACCAAGAATGCCTTCTCACCTCCTCCGGAAGCTCGTCCAATCCGACCGTAACGCGATCTTCCCGCGCAGCGTCCAGGTTACGGACGGAGAGGGATGACGTGGTCAACACAGCTTGCTGCGGGTCGAAGCTGGCATCGACGCGCTGTATGAATGTGATTCTTTGTTTCATTGTAAACAAATCAAAAGATATGAGGGGAAGTAAACAGAAACGAATTGATTTCTCCAAAGGTGTTCTCCGCATTCGCTAAATTGGGTTAGACTGCAATTATGCATATTACGTTATTTGGTCCCGTCGATCCAGGATGTACAGGGCTACATTATCTATAAAGACTTATATTGAATTATCTCATACAAAGGTTCATGTCATTGTCATTAAATACCCCCCTTTCGCCCCAAACGCCACGCATATGCAATTAATTAAATCAGTTCATGGCAGCACATCCCGGAGAATGTCTTTTTGGGAGGCAGTCAAGCTAGTGGGGAAGCTGACGTTGGCGCGGACAACCAGGTCACCACGTTCCTTGGGGTTCTTCGAGCTCACCATGCCTAGGCCGGGGTAGCGCTCTTCACGGCCAGGCTGGGTTGGACCGGGCTTAGACACACGGATCGACTTGCCGTCGATGGTGCGGACAATGCGGTCCCAGCCTGTCAATGCTTCCTTCAGGCTGAGATCGACCGTTGTGACAAGATTATCACCAGAACGCTTGAAAGTAGGATGGTCGATCTGTAAAATGTTGTTAGTAAAAGTTCATCAGGTGTCTGTCGTTGTATCCAGGAGCTCATACCTCTTTTACAATCAAGTGAACATCTTGCCGTCCCCCTTCTTCCTGATCCCCAATATTTCTGTACTTGATCTTCGAGCCCGCACGTAGTCCAGGTTTGATGTTGGCTTCTAAAGTCACCTCCTTTGTAGTAAGTTTGCCCATCTTGTCAAAGGCTTTGCTCTTCGTCTTGACCTTTTTGGAGGTACCGGTATAAATTTCCTCCAAAGTTAGAGGCAGGTCTTTCTCGATGATAGTCGGCTCGGGTGTAGGTGCGCGCTTCGGTTTCTGGTATCCCTGGCGGCCGCTACGGAAGCCGCCGCCGCCGCCGCCCAGTCCTCCTCCAAGCATGGAGATGAGATCTTCATCATCCATATCGCCCATACCACCCATGCCGCCCCCGCCGCCTCCAGCCTTGGCAAAGTTGCGGAAAATGTCATCGGCATTGCTGAAACTGAACCCACCACCACCGCCAGGGCCGGTTGAGAAGTGGAACGTCCGGGCCCCACCGGGCATGCCGCCGCCGCCGGGCATGCCACCAAAGTTGAATCCTCCGGGCATGCCACCTCCGCCTCCGCCTCCCCCTGGCGGGGGCGGTGCAGGGCCGCCGCGCATCAGGTATTCGAGTCCGAACTGGTCATAGACCTTACGTTTTTCTGGATCGGATAGGACTTCGTAGGCTTGCGATACTTCTGTTGAGAAAGTGTTAGTCATATGTAGCCCAAAAACTGTGCGGGGTAACGTACCTTTGAATTTCTCAGCAGCATTTGGGTTATCCTTGTTCTTATCCGGGTGATGCTTCAATGCTCCTTTGTGGTATGCTTTCTTAATCTGATCTTGTGTGGCATCGGGCTTGATGCCCAAAGCGTCGTAGAGCTTGGTCTCGGCAACCATGGTGCGGGGTAAGATTGAGATTCGTGTGAAAAAGGAAAATGCAGTTCAAATGCAGTTCAATAAGTAGTTCAAAAAGGGCGACAAATTCGAGGTGCGCACTTATGAACGGTGATTTAAGGGAAAATAAGCCTGGCAGATGAGAGAGTGTGTGGTGTAATTCGTGATCTCGAGTGACGTGGAAGGTTCGAGACGTATAGGCGGGAATTAAGGATTAAAGGAATCTAGAACACATGTTTTCTAAGGAGAAGAGGTGAAGGAGCCAAGTGTACTTGAATGTTTGAATGTCAGTCGAGTCTTGTCGTGTGACGTCAGGGATTAAGTCTTGACGTGTGTGACTTTGGAAGTTTCTCGAAACTTCTATATAACTGCAACCCTCTTTAAGCAAAGAGGCTCATATCATTTTTGATTTTCCAACTTTTGAATATCTATATTTAACATGTCTCTTGTGGATACAGCATCTAGACATGTGGAGATACCTATTGTCTATTCTTTCCTGATCTCAATTTACCCCTCCACTTTCCACGCTGCTCGATAGTATTAAAAAGAAGAATACAAAAGCGATAAAAAGAAAACAAGGAGAGAGGAACAGGAAGTGGGTTATAGTGACCCGCATTCGGAAGGAAGGGTACTTAATACTCCCCGATTGTAAGGGCAATCGTGGGAATGAAAATATGCAAACTCCGATGTAACCTCAAATTCCCATCTCAGGTAAAGGCCATGGAACATCCGTCATTAAAAATTGATCCAGATCAAAGTTCTGCAGACTAGGCATATCAATCATCAAATCTCCCAGCCACGAGAACTCTGCATCAGATACCAGAGTGTCTGATGCGGTCTGTTCCTGCCTTTGGTTATGGTCATCTAACGTGGTTCTTGCAATCTCCGTATCTTTCTGATCATCCACCGGTGCAGCAGCAGCAGCGTTAACTCGCAACACCTCGGCAAGAGCACGGGTATCGTCCTCCTTTCTCCGCTGATGCAACGCAATAAGTAGGTATGCTGTAGAATAGGCCTCACGCATCGAAGGTGTATCATACGCAGCGAGAACTTCACGCAGAGTCCGCATCGCATCCGCGAGCAGCCCCAACGCAGCCCGACTGTCAATCGCTAGAAGCGAGCAGACGACCTGAAATGGGACATTGGCAACTTGGTGCCAGGGGCAGGAGGAGGCGACCATTCCTCGTGCAGCACGGAGGCCGCGGCCTGCCAGTGCAAGGACGCGATCAAGGAGATTGGGGGATAGTGGGCCGTGTGAATTTAGAGCGCGGAGACGACGGTAAATGCATAGCATTAGATTGCATTGGACTAAGATTAGGGAGGGTTCGGAGTAGAGGAGGTCCAGGACGGAGGTAAGGGCTGTTTCGAGTTCTGGGAGATCTTGTGGTGATGGCCCTGTTGGGTCAAGGTTTTCAGAGAGTGGGAGAAGGTGGAAGAGATCTGCGCGTGGGCCTCGGGGTGGTGCTTGCTGCGATGGGTTACGGGATGCGGTTGTAGGAGAGAGAGCCGTGGCGCCGTGAAGGACAACACGGGAGCGCCCGAGGTCGAAGGAAATCCATGTGTTAAGGTGACGGGCCATGCCAAAGAGCCTTCGTCGGGTTTCGGGGTCGCTGGTGCCCTGGCTTCCTATATCGTCATCTTGGCTACTGTGCGTCTCCGGTGGTGATGCTTGAAGCAGGCCTGCTGCTTCTGGGTCTGATATTTCAAGGTGCAATCCTGCAGCCTCAATGAGATGCATCAGTGTACAACTGGCCATCCATGCAGCATGTGGTGAGGCTGTCATGCGTAGATACGCAGCACGCAACACCCAGCCTGTCACTATGTCGACCGAGGGTGTCTCCGCTGCGAGTATACTCTTGTCTAGTAGAATGCGCGCAGTATCAATGAGTCGAAGTTCCATTGCTATGATCTCGCGCCGCGAAAATAGATACCCAAAGGCAGCGACGCCGCATAGTACAGCATCATAGGGGTGTTCCGCGGAATCAATGGGAGATGACGAGGAATCCCAGCGCTTTGCGATTCGAGTAAATACCATTTTACGGTCCAGAAATGTATAGCATGAATCGACCTTCTCGAAGTAAATCGCTGCTAGCCGTCTCATCTCTTCCTGTGAGATGATTTTGATGATGGTTGTCGGCGCCGGCGCCGTGACAGGCATCGAGGGAAGCTCTGAAGATACTGTTGGCGACATCCGTCTCTCGCCGACATTCCAGGCAAACAATTGCAATCTTGGTGCATGTGCCGGGTCAATTTTCAGCCCGAGTTTGCGAACAAACGCGGCGCCAGAATTGGCCTGTAGGGAATCGGTAACGCCTTCTGAACTGCCCGTATGGCGAGCAGGCGCATGTACCGGAGGGCTTGCTGCGCCGCTAATGGTATTTAGGGTTGTATTGGACCTGCCATTTGTCGGTCGCTCATCAAGCGGCAGATTCGCTTGATACAGACTATGGGATCTGGCGCGTTTCTTACGCGCACTGTATTGACATTCTGCACCAGTTTGGGCGCAGGTGCTACAAGGCTGCCCGCCTGAGCATTTGCGCTTGCGTGACTGACATAAATTGCAGGCTAAACGCGAACGCTTGCGAGGTGTTAACTCGGACATATTTGGTAAATTACGGAAAGCATCGCGGGGAGTTAGATGGGTAATTGGCGCCAAGCAAATTAAACATCTCCCCTTTCCAATTTGAACTACATCGAACTACATCGACATGCGAAGTACAATTGCTTTTATTTCCCTCGTTCACATTTTCGATTAATCATCGTATTTGCTTCCATCTGGATATCCCATCATTCCCTCGATTTCCTTCAGATCTGGCATTCCAGCTGGCCCTGGCATATACTGGAAATTATCCCGCAGAGTCGTGCCATTCCACCATATTTCGTTCTTATGCAACGCTTCCATGATCTTCGGTGCGTCAATGTACGTGCGGATCTCGACCATCTGGCCACGATACCAGCGTGTGAACCAGACATTGATGATATCGAACTTGTCGCCTGTAGTGGGTCAGCAATGTTGAAGATAGGAAGATAGGAAGATCTTCTTACTCACCGGAATTCATCACGCCTTTGAACTGAATCTCCTGCACTGACCATTCAGCATTACATCCGCCATAGATTCCCTGGGGGTGGATCTCAAATAGATCCGCATGGTCAACAAACAACATGCTGACTCTACGCAAGGCATTGACGTAAAAGTGCATTAGGTCGTGGTAGCGGCCGGCGATCGGGTGATGCCCAACAACAATGAAGCTGACATTTTTGTGGATCAGCGTGAATAGCTTGCTCATATCTTTCTCGAGGTGTTTGAATGAGTCCCAAATGTGGTGCTGGGACGCATATTTGCAATCTGTGGATGGGTTCTCGAACTTGAACCCTTCTCTGTCACGGGGAATTGGGTCATCTACAACTCCAGTGCCATTGCATTTTCCATCTGGGCCAACAATTCCAGTACCATCATCACATCCTGACTTCAGAAGTGGACCCTGGGTGTTGTCTCCAAACAGTGAGAGAATGGAGCGTCCAAAAGTGGCCGAGGGCAGGAGCAATGCCAATAGGGCGTAGGATATATATTTATATAGAATCATTGCTCAATTTTTGTAATAATATTATGAGAGGCTACCTGTCTCGACTATTCTCGCCTCATGTTTAGGATGGCTCTTATACCTGACACTACCTTTACTGCATAATGTGCCGTATTATTGCCCTTCGCCGGCAGCGTTGCTTCCTTTTAACACCACTACATATGTACACTGCTACCTTGAGCGTAAAGCAACCCCGTGTGTAACACAACCAAACCTACCGAGATTTGACAATTGGATGGGTCAGTTTCTCACAGCAGAAGACCTGTAATGGCGCACCTCCTAGTGGCCAATGGCGCAGCCAAGGTGGAGGGCTATTGCAATATGTTATTGGGTGGGGCAATATTTGGGTGTACAACCGACAGAATCCAGGCCATTAAACTGTCTCAGAGTCGATATTGGCTATCTTTCTTAAGGTTATATAAATGTGATGATCCCATTGAAAATAGTAAACAAAATTCTCTGTGCCTGATATCGTGCCGGATATCATTGTCCAGGCCGACCTCGGGGGGCGATAGGATGAGTCAGAATTTCCAGACCAGCAGAATTTTGACGCGTTCCGATTGGCTGATCCCGGCAAAGTCGGTGAGAGCACGTGCCCACGGAGTCGAAGGTGAAAAACCTCTTGGTTCCCCTTCTTCTCCGTTTTCTTAATTTCTCTACTCCAAATTCTCAAACCCAAAAATTTCTCCATGTTCCGCTAAATAGCGAACCCTATTTCCATTTACCATACCCTGACTCTGCCACTTGCTCAGTCGCGCTTATGTGTTTGGCACCCTCTATCTTCACCTCCCAGGACTATATCTCGGACCACCTCTGGAAAGCCAACATCAACTGAATAGCACAAGCCTTTCTACTGTTATACAACAACTCTTACATATAAAAAAAATGATCTCCAACCTCTTCAAAACGATGCCTGTCCGGGCTTCCGCCTTCGCCATGAAGCGGCCCGTTCAGGCTCGCTTCATGGCCACTGTGCGTCAGCGTGCCGCTATGGAGCCTGCCACCTTCACTATCCGTGACGGCCCAATGTTCTCCGGCAAGTCTTTCGGTGCCCGCTCCAACATCTCCGGCGAGGCTGTCTTCACTACCTCCCTTGTTGGATACCCCGAGTCCTTGACCGATCCTTCCTACCGTGGTCAGATCCTGGTTTTCACCCAGCCTTTGATCGGCAACTACGGTGTCCCTTCCGCTGAGAAGGACCCCAATGGCCTTTTGAAGTACTTCGAGTCCCCCAATCTCCAGGCAGCTGGTGTTGTCGTTGCCGATGTCGCCGAGCAATACAGTCACTGGACTGCTGTCCAGAGTCTGGGCGAGTGGTGTGCCCGTGAAGGTGTCCCTGCCATCTCTGGTGTTGATACTCGTGCTATTGTCACCTACCTGCGTGAGCAAGGTTCTTCTCTGGCTCGTATCACCGTCGGCGAAGAGTACGATGCCAACGAGGATGAGGCTTTCACTGACCCTGAGCAAATCCACTTGGTTCGCCAGGTCAGCACCAAGCAGCCTTTCCACGTTGCCGCTACTGAGCCTCACTCTCACGTTGCTGTCATCGATTGTGGTGTCAAGGAGAACATTCTCCGTAGCTTGGTCGGCCGTGGTTCCAGTGTTACTGTCCTGCCCTTCGACTACCCCATCCACAAGGTTGCCCACCACTTCGATGGTGTTTTCATCTCCAACGGCCCTGGTGACCCAACTCACTGCCAGGACACTGTCTACCACCTCAAGCGTCTGATGGAGACCTCTCAGGTCCCTATTTTCGGTATCTGTCTGGGCCACCAGCTCCTGGCTCTGGCCACTGGTGCCAGCACCATCAAGCTGAAGTACGGAAACCGGGCTCACAACATCCCTGCTCTCGACCTTAGCACTGGTCGCTGCCACATCACTAGCCAGAACCACGGTTACGCCGTTGATGCTTCGACCCTGAACTCGGACTGGAAGCCGTACTTCGTCAACCTGAACGACCAGAGCAACGAAGGCATGATCCACAAGTCTCGCCCTATCTTCAGCACCCAGTTCCACCCCGAGGCTAAGGGCGGTCCTCTTGACTCATCCTACCTCTTCGATATCTACCTGGACTCTGTGCTGAAGTACAAGAACAACCAGCTTGGCCTCTTCCCCGAGCGTGACAGCCGTCCCAGCCCTCTGCTGGTTGACCTGCTCGCCAAGGAGCGTGTTGGTGTCCAGCCCACCATTGGCCAGCAGAACGTGACTGCCGCCGCTGCTGCTTCTGCCATTGCCGCTGCTGCTTAAGTATGTCAACGGTTGGTATTTGCAGGAGTTCTGGTTTTGGGACGTTCAATTGGTTTGGGTGAATATGTTTGTGTATTTTGTTCATAGGTTAGGTTCATGCATGGTATATGGAATCAACAGCATTAAACATAAATTTCTTGTCCAAGCTCTTTGTAGTCATGTCAATATTTTCATCATCGCTCTCAACCCTAGGTTCTACTTAGCCACTATGGATACCACATCCTCGTCAGCAACCATATGTGACAATCCTACCCGCTGAGGAACATGTCTCGCGCTCGCTCCCCACACCATTGCATACTTGAATGTCTCCTTAATTGTGCGATGAATCTGGTCACAGACATCCTCAATGGTGGCGTCTTGGCGTACGATGAGCGCCTCATCGAACTTAGGATCCTCTCCCTTTCTATAATGACGATAATTATTAGACATGTCAATCAAAACAAAAGTTGTGGATATATCGTACCGTTTTGTGTAAAGTCGCTTTAGTCTCAGTTCCTTCCAGATGCGTTCGACAACGTCCTGCACGCCGAGATCAAGTTCACAACTCATGACGGCTGTGTAAGGCTCACGGGCAAGGGCATCAAGGAATTCAAGGCCGATGCTGTCGACCTTGTTGTAGACGTAAAGACTGGGGGAAAGGAGAAAGGTTAGCATGTGCTAGTTGGATGAATTGTCATTGGTTTCAATCCTTACCAGCGGATGTACTTCCGGTGGTCCTTCATAATCACGTCGATAAAGTCATCGATCGTAGCTATAACGGGGTCGCAATCAGTAAATTGACTTTGTAGTTGTGTTAAAGGGCCACATACCATTCTCATCTCGCACGAGTACTTCGCAGTTAAGAATTTTGTAATCACGGAGCACATTGTAAACCATCTTTTCATCCAAATTCTTTGGAGGCGTCGCAAAAGAAATCTTCATGCCACCGGCCTTCTTGATTTTCAAGTAGATATTACTGGGATTGGTTAGTATTTGAGTCCGTTCAAACTTCAGGCAAGGTATACATACGGCGGCTCCTTGTTCAGCCGAATGCCCACAGCATCCAGCTCGGCCTCGAGCAAGGCTCGCTGTTCGGCACGCTTTGTGGCGTCCAAGACCATCAAAATCAGATCACTTGTCTAGCAGTAGAAACCTGGTCAATATTGCTGTACTATTTTCCATCAAACGATCTAACTCGCTCACCTTTGCAGCTGAAATGACCTGTCGACCACGGCCTTTGCCCTCGGAAGCACCTTCGATAATACCAGGCAAATCCAAGATCTGAATCTCAGCACCGCCATACTCCAGCACTCCGGGAATAGCCGTCAGCGTGGTGAAGGAGTAGGCTGCAGCCTCACTCTTGGTCTTGGTGATTTTAGACAAAAATGTGGACTTTCCGACGGAGGGAAAGCCAACAAGAGCCACTCGTGCATCGCCGCTCTTGCTGACATCGAATCCCGCGCCGCCACCAGAGCCAGCACCTCCCACTGGCTCCAAAAGCTGGGCTCTTAGCCGAGCAAGCTTTCTGAAAATGTTGTCAGTCTATGTTTCAAATATAAGTCAGGATTAAGACTATACCCTTTCAATAGACCCAAATGGTATTCTGATTTGGAAATTGGAGATTAGATCAAATTCCCCTTCGATCATAAGATTATCTTACCTGTAGCCTTGTTCTCTGTGGGTCATTAGCGGGGTGATACATATTCAATTCTGAGGATAACACTTACTCTGCGTCCGACGCATCTCATCCTCGATCCTGTCAAAGATCAGCAAATTAGAACACTCAACAATTGACTAGGAACGTACTCCTTAATCTTTTCTGTAATGTTCACCATCGTGCCAATTTTTGAGGCCTGTCGCCTGCGAAATCACTAAATCTTTTTTTCTGATGCTCCTCAGAGAGTGAAATGCCAAATCCCGCCGTCCAAGGTGGGCAATCGCCAAGCATTAGGTAAGCACCTCAGTGAACGGCCCAGGACATCGACCTTTTTTTGAAGCTCAAGCTCAACCTTTCAACGCAACCTCTCCAACACGAACGCGACCATGGCAGATACGTCAGTTGCCGAGCCACAAGCTCCCGTTTCTACCACCCCCGAAACCATTGACCGCAATACCGAAGAGGGTGCTGTGGCAACAACTGGCGCCGCGGACAACACTCTGCAAGGAGATCAGCAGCTCCAGACGGTCAAAAAGACCAAAATTATTCGCAGAAAGAAGCGCCCAGCGAGAATACAAGTCGACCCATCAACCATCAAGTCCGAGCCTACGCAGCAGCCCGGACTCGACTATAATATCTGGTACAACAAAAGTGGCGACAACGACGACAAATATGGCCTCAGCCAGCCCGCGCCTGGTCGCTGCAATATTGCGCGTGACTCGGGATACACTCGCGCTGATCGTATTGCCGGCTCGTTTTTCTGGTACGAAAATTTACCCTTGGCTTTCGGGGCTATCTTACGTGTCGCGGCGGACATTTGCTAATCTTTTTCCTTCTAGCATACATTTTGCGCGAGGTGTTTGTGTGAAAGGTCAGGACTGTGAATACCTCCATCGTCTACCGACGATTCATGATATGTTAGTGTGATTCCCACCCCATACACGATTCGAAAGTTCTTTCACTTTGTTAGACTTAGCGGATGCAAAACAACTCGGCTAATCAAGTCATTTATAGGTTCAACCCGAATATGGACTGCTTTGGTTAGTATCATTTCAAACCATGCTGTTGGTAATTGAAACCGGCAACTGACTCCAGACTATAGGGAGAGACAAGCACAGCGATTACAAGGAAGTGAGTATCATGTCTTCGTGATTGAGTGATATTACTCGGTATGAACATATGGCTAATGTTCCTTGAATAGGATATGTCCGGAGTAGGCTCGTTCACGCGCCAAAATAGGACAATCTACGTGGGCCGAATTACGGTTTCGTGAGTACCTCGAGAAGTTATACTTCATATTCTTGCTAATCAATATATAGCGATGACATCGAGGAAGTGGTCTCAAGGCATTTTGCGGAATGGGGTCAAATCGAAAGAACAAGAGTCCTTACCGGACGCGGCGTGGCTTTTGTGACTTACTCGTCAGAAAGTAACGCGCAGTTTGCGTAAGAACCCCCCTCCTTAAGCTCTCTGGTCGTACTAAACTAACACATGACTAAAGTCTGGTTGCGATGCAAAACCAAAGCTTGGACCACGAGGTAAGTTCAACATTTCAACCTGCGAGATGCGATATATGATACAAAGGTATTAACAACGAGTAGGAAATTCTTAACGTACGATGGGCAACAGTCGACCCAAACCCAATGGCACAGAAACGTGAGGCACGCCGGTTAGAAGAACAAGCTGCTGAGGCTGTGCGCCGGGCTCTCCCCGCAGCTTTTGTAGCAGAGATCGAAGGCCGAGACCCCGAGGCCAAGAAGCGGAAGAAGATTGAGGGATCTTTCGGGCTACAGGGCTATGACGTTCCAGATGATGTGTGGCATGCCAGAACCCGGCAATTGGAGGATGCAAGCCAGGCCGCTCAACTAGAGGCGCCTCAACAACCAATGATGATCGAGTCTGCTCCGGTTCCAGCACAGGAGCAGCAGTCACAGAGTAATGGCATCTTCTCCAGCACTGCTGTTGCAGCCCTACGGGATCTTAACGCTGGAGTAGTGACGACCCAGGCACCAAAAGCTACTGGTGGACCACTAGTCGGCTACGGCAGTGACGATGAGAGTGACTGATTTACGTGCACTTTGTGCGGCACCTTAATCCATCATGATTGCGAATTTTTTCATGTACAACAGCAGCGATACCTCTGTCAAAATGTTTATTTCTCTCCCTGCATCTCCATACAGAATATCCGTAAATACTATTCCTGGGCATCATTCATCACTACATGTATGGTATCATCCTGAGCACTCGCTAAAACCGGCATTGATAAAACAAATGCGAACACCACTAGCCCCATTGCTCTGAGACTTATGCTTAACTTAACTCCACCTCGTCACTTTTGCCCCCATGAAATCAACCAGTCGTAAATTCATTTCTCGCTAGGTCCCAGGTCGTAGTACACGCAGGAGCCTGTACGGTAGTTGTAGATAAAGGCATTCGTGTAGCTTTCTGTGGCATCGTTTGTACGACTCTCCATAGCCAAATCAGTGAGTAGCTCGTGCACTTGACTGAGGTACTTCCGCTCTGTCAGCGGTGCGTTCTGGATCACACTGCGCCAGCTCTCTGCGTCAGATAGACGCGTGTTCCGAATAGCGTCGAGGACTTCGTCGCGGGTATCGATGGCGGCGACGGGGCCGTTGCGGGCGTTTTCAGCTACTTCCCGGGAGGACAGTAGAGCTAGAAACAGTATATCAGTATATCGGACTGAATTGAGCACTTGAAACATAAACATACCTGACTCAACAATGTTTCTTCGGTTCGTTTTCTTGCTTCGATGCTGGGGAACTAGGATGCGCACATCATTTGCTCGCTCCTGGAACGCAAAAGCCTCCTGCTGGCTCAATTGACGGGATTGGCGGGGATCAGCAGTTCCCTCGCGAGGGTTACGCGCCTGCACTTCTGACCGAAGCCATAGCACAAGTTCAGCAGCGCGGATATCGAATTCTTCCTTGCGCATCAGGTTCCGCACTTTGAATCCACGTTCCTTGCTATCTTGCTTAGCGATCACAATCCACCGATGATTGGAGTCTTTGTATTTTGCTAGAAGCTCTTCAAGGGACGAGGCATCGACTGCAAGCTCCGCGCTTATGTTGTTTGACCAAAGTTCTTCGATGAGTTTAACTCCTGTTGTGCGGAGGACGGTCGGGTCAAAGCTGGCAACAAGTACATCACACTTTGTTGAAGGTCAGCAAAAACTACATCGAACGAGTTGAGATGAGAAGTTACTTACTCGACGGGCACCCCAATACAACTCAGCACCTGTCTCGGGATCCTTTGATGGAGCCTTGGCCTTTAGGTAATCGATCATCGATGACCGCAGTCGATCCGAGCCGAGGTTGAAACCCACGGCATGCGCTTGTGGTCGGTTTGATAGGACATTGGGTGAGAATTCCTGAATCAACCGATCATATCTGCCACCTGCAGCAAACACATCACGTCGTTTGCTGTCAAAAATACATTGGAACAGAATGCTACCTCGGTAGAACTTGTCTTGAACACTGCTGAGCGGGTTTATGTAGATTTTTCGCTTCACGCCAAAACTCTGCAGATAGGTCATGAGCACGTTCAAGCGAGCGAATATTGGTGCAATCCGCTCTGCGTATTCAGTTCCTTCCATGATGTTCTGCAGCCTGCGTTGTGTTTCCTTCAACGAGTCTGCATCATATTCATTAGCGTATTGTCCACGATGTTAGGAAGTAAGCCTAAATACCTCTGAAATCGAAACGGGCAAGGTCATCCAATGAGGTTGAAGCAACACCAATCCCCGGAGCCCGGAGTTCACTTCGAATCTTTTGCATGCTATATTTTCCAACATTCAGTTTACTGAGAACCTCTTTGGCCTTTGGAATTTGGATAGGCGTAATGCGACAGAATTCCATGATAAGTTGGAGTAGATCGGAGTGGTTTACAAGGAAGCACATTGGAGTAGACCGCAAAGGCGGGAATTCTTCAATGATTTCATCCAGAACCTTGATCACCTCTGCCTCTTTCAAGGCTAAATCCAGGGTATTATAGGATACAATATCAAAGTCAACTTCGCGGTGAGTTCGTGGTTCGCCGCCATGAGTTGATTCTCTGTAGACTGTGCCGAATGCAAATGTCTTCTCCAGTGAGTGATCTTGTCTTGGAATTGCTCGTGCGTTTGGGAGTGTGAGATCATATGGCAACTGTAAAAGATTGCCAGATGCATCCAGTACGCGTACTGCACCGCTGTTGTAATGCTGGGATCGGGGGAAAAGCATTTGTCTTGTTGACTCAACAGCACCATGTCTTCGAAATATTGAGGTTAGCTTCTTCTTGACCAGGCCCTGGACAAGTAGCTCGTTGGCTGCCGGTACTGCATGTGAGTCTATATCCCAAGCAATATCTTCGAATTTCTTAGGCGATTGAGAAAAGATGGCCGATAGAATCTTTTTGTAGTCGGGTGAATTCGGATCTGAGAGCAGATGCACAATAGCTCGTCTAAATGTCTCTTCCTCAACCTGAAGAGGTATCTTGCCACTGGATAAAAGCTCGGAGGCTGTGGGGCGTTCGTTCGGGTTATGGCTCAGAAGAGATTCAATGATCTCGCCTTGGAGTAACTTATCGGATTGCTGGAAAGTGGGCGGAAGAGTATGGTTCTTTTCTCGGATTGCTCGAAGAGTCTGATCCCGTTCCATGCCAGTCGGCAATGGATGACACATCTCAAAGAAAATGACACCGAGCGAAAACATCTAGAATGCGTAAGCATATGCTTGTTGTACTGGTGGTATGTTCACTACTCACATCCACCTTCTCATTGTAATGCCCCGAAACAACCGACTTCATCTCTGGTGCCACATAGTAGGTCGTGCCCAAACTGCGGGTAAAGTCCCCTTCAAAGTCGGCGGCTGCGGACGAACGCACGGCTGTGGTGAATTGACCACTTGTTGCAAGACCAAAGTCACCAATGCGGGGATTATTTGCAACATCAATGAAAATATTGTCAGGCTTCAAATCACGGTGTATGATTCCGTGACTATGGATATGGCTCAAGCCGTCGAGAATTTGCCGAAAGAGGCGCCATACACGCTCGTTATCATCGCACAAATCATCCCTTATCAGATCGCGCAAGGTCTGAGCAATATTAGTTAAAGACAAGGAGCAGGTCGATACTAAAACACTTACATGCTTCTCACAGTACTCCATCTGGATGTAGAGTGTGGTTAGAATGGGCCTGGAATAAGAGCCAGATCTCGGTCGGCTGAGCTCAACTTCCTCTGTGTATCCAGAATCAACGCTAGCATCATTTACCCCGTTCCTATCTGGCGTCCGTGGGTGAGCAGGGTCGGATAACGTTCCTTCGTTTTCATCATCGCTGTCTGATGCGGCAAACTCTATCTTTGGATACCCGCTGGAGCTGATGAAATCAAGGCCTCCTGTACTGAACCCGTGGTGATCATGGCTAGCAAACGGATCACCTTCGGTGGAGGACATAGCCTCTTCGTCAATGTGATTGAAGTCCTCTTCAAGCCAAGCAGTGTAGTAGCGGACAACGTAGGAATGGTTCAGACGAGAAAGCAACATGGTTTCAGAAAGCGTGTCTTTCAGCGCCGCGGCCGATGTCTGGGAGATCTTCTTTATTGCATACAACCGACCATCGAGCTTGTTCCGGGCTTTGACTACCTGTCCAAATCCACCACGGCCTAGCTGGCCTGTCTCGTCGAAGTCTTGGTGGTATCTTGAGAAAGCCGGCATGGCTCCAAAAGAGTCTAGCCGTGGCCGTCTCTGCATGGACACAGATCCCGATGCTCTTTCTCGCGTCTTCAGCGGCGCATCCACGCGGAAGAACTCAGACGGTTGGAGCTGGAAAGCAGTTGGACGCTTTCTGGGATCTGGGCGGAAGAATTCACAAAGCAAATCCTGCAGGGGAGGCGAGAGCCCCATAGACACCATCAACTGATTGGCGGAGGTGTATCTAAGGAGAACATCCTTTCCAAAGCCCATCTGAAGCAGCACAATTCCAAGATCCCAGACATCGGTCTTCATGGAAGGGGGGGAACTGTCCTCCGTCAGCTCTGGGGGTAGCCACAGTGGTGACTTTGACGCCGCGAAAGAGGGCTTTCCACAGGGGGAGTAGGGTAAAGCTTCTTCGATGCTAGACTGGAGTTTAACAATGGTTTCGCCAGAAGGAGTCCTAAACAGAAAGACTCGGCCACAATGAATGTTCCCATGCACAAAACCGCTGCGGTGATAGAACTCCAAAGCCTCGAGTAACTGGATCATCCAGCCACGAAGCATATCAACAGCTACGGTCCCCACTATATCCAGGAGCTCAGAAAGGGAACCCTTGTTTGCATGCTCCAAAAGCGCGAAGACGGTCCAAGAATTATCAGGTGAATCCAATTGGCCAATTGGGCGATTGATTTTGAACCCCACAAATTCAACAAGATTGGGGTGTCGCAATCGCTTGATGCCCTCTAACTTATCCTCGCTGGTGCGCATCTGCTCGCGGAATGCCAATCCTTCAGAATCCTTCTCGCCGAGGCAAAGCTCCTTTAGAACAAGCATAGGTACGTGGCATCTGCTCTCAGACACAACAGGCCTGACGGTGAAGGTCTTTTTGCACTGTTTGCTTTGCAGCAGAGTCTTGCCATGAACGGCTCGGAAAACCAGCGGCTGCTCATCGGTGTCATTGACGGCTAACGGGGGGTCAAAGCAGATGGCGCCAGGTGTATTTTCCACAAGGTCATCAACATAACTCATATCTGCGCCACCAGTTCGACTCTTCCGTCTCAAAATGCGAGCTTTGTTCCGCTGTCGCATCTTGTCTTGAAGCATCTCTTGTAATGCACGCTCTTCCTCAACAGCTGCAGCCTTTTGTTTCCGAATTTCTTCTTGTTTTTCTAGGTCTGCGCGTTGAAGAGCAGCCGCCTCTTGCTCCATGCGCTCCTCTTCGAGGCTGGGTAGGTCTTTGTCCTGTGCCTGTGCTTGAGCAACGTCTTCCAGAACATCTTGGATGGATACCGCCAGCTCGTATATCATCTCACTTCCGAGCAGAGACTTTGGTTTGTTGCGTAGAATTTCTTGTATTCGGGAACGCGCTCCATCGCGAAAGCCGTCGAGGTTTCCCGGTGAGAGATTGGGTATTGTTTTAGGATATGTAGCTGGCAGTTCGACCAACAAAATGAGGAGTATGTCTGGATTTGAGGAGGATCGTAAATGAAGCTTAAATGTTACATCGGAGGATTGCTAGAGTGCACGGATTAGTGACCACGAGTAGCCCAAACAGCCCTAAGAGTGCACCCACCTGCCAGGCCGACCGCCTATTTTCTACTTCTTCAAAGTCATCGCCGTAGATTGAACGCAGAGCTTCCACCTCTGTCTGGTGGATTTCTCGGTAATTGGTTGTAAATATAGGGGACGTCACGGGGGATTCGGAGGTTTGCTTTTTTTGGCGGGAGGGCTTCTTCCTCTGTTTGGGAGACATCGCGGGGCGTGGCGAGAGCTCGCCCTACATGCGACCCTGAGCGTCGTACGACATGGGGGGTAAATAAAATATGAAAGGGTTATGGGAGGTGGAAAAAGAATTGGGCTGTCTTTTTTTTCTTCCCCCCTCTGAGGCTAGAATAAACAGGCGGTCAGATCATACGCCCTTCCATTTATAGAGTGGAGGTGCTTAGTATAAATGACGTCCCCATTAGTTTAACTTGTGGATTTATGAATTTATTAATTATATTGTACTTTGATTTAATTGCATCTCTTGATTGAATGTTGTGCTCACTTTGAAAGTCCTTCGCGAATATATCCATGTGCCTACGGAGTATCGAACTTGGAATTGAGTATATCATCAAGCCAAAAGCACCATTGTCCCTGCCCAATAGTGGACCCAGATATCATGAGGTGAGCTGGCATATACCGACAAGGGTGGCAATTATTGTCACCGCAATAGTCGATCATTTCTGCTCGTGGTCTCTTTGTTCCAGCTGTGACCATCACATATCGAAGGCACCGAGCAACATGCTGCCAGCCACAGCAATCATTGGTGCGTATCCCCAGTGATTCCACTGTCCCTGACCATGAGTCCAGCAAACAATTCCATCTGCAAATGCAACGCTACTAGCAGCAAGCAGGATCCAGCCCAGGGTTGAACGGGTGCCGAAATACGAAGCCACATATATGGCAATCCCCATGAAGATGTCCCGGACTCCATAGACTGCCATTAGACTGTCTACCATCTGCTTGTCTACCACAGAGGTAGGTGGTTGGAACTCGAAGAAAGTGAGAGCATGGTCTGGACGTAGGATAGCGTTGACACCGAATCCGATAAATATGGTTGCAAAGGCGCTAGCTACCAAGCGGAGGGCAAGCGAATTGGAAAGAGGCATCTTGTTTTGCCAAGCCAGTATTATGTTTGATGTTTGCGTTGTAGCTGTAGTGGCTTGATAAGCGCTGTGAGGAACCACGGTGTACTCCGTATTCCGTTGTGTTTGAAGATATGGGAAAAGCAATTACTAGAGTTCTCACCGGGGGTTGGAAGAAAGATTTATAAGGTGTCCCCTGAGATTGCTCGAAATCGTAAGAATTGAATTAGGCTGCAATAGCGGTTGTGGACGGGATTGATATGCCAAGTACGGAGTATGCACGGGGTTCGGGGTTATGTCGTTCGTGCTCCGTATACGTGTGGAGTACACGAAATCAACAGGGACCTCCTGGAAACCAAGTTCAGTATCTTCCAGGGCAAATAAAAAAGAAATGAACATAGAAAGCCCCCAAGATTCCCAATTTCAAAAAGTTCCGAAACAAGGTGCCAAGCCAAGTGTAAACAAAAGGTGAAGCTGAAACATGAGAGCTTATCGATAAAGTGATCGGCGCTTCTGCTTTTTCCGACCGCGCGGACCATAAACATTGAACTCCAATTTGGTCTCAAAGAATTTCAAGGTTTCTTCCCTGGCCAAAATGCTGGACTGGATCAAGGGGAACGAGCAAAATGCACAGGCTACAGGTATGTGTTACATTTGACCTTTGAAGCTCTCGGTCTAACATGATGCTACAGATGACTCCAAGCTGCTAGAACCCCCTGAGACTCCAGGCCATGTCTTTGCGATACGTGCCTTCAAGAGTGCTATATTTGGTACTCCAGGAGCAGAGGAAGATGAAAACGACGCGTCCCAGAAACAGTCCGGTCACCAACGAAGCAAGAGCGATACAATCAACTTAGCGCCAACAGAGATCAACACCGACGTGAAACCAGACGCGACTTACAACCCCTCGGGGTCCCCCACGAAAAGCATACTTGTTACACCTGGAACCTCGTTGCGTCGTAAGACGGTATCCTTTGGTGAGAGTGTCATCGACAATGAGGGGAAACGGCCTGGCTCGGCCAGTAAGCCAGCCAAGACTCCGCCAAATCCTTCCGGAACCCTCAGTACCCAGTGGATGTCCGGGTCTTCAGATGGAAGTGGCAAGCCGAGGAGCAAACTCACCCAAACACTCATGAATGCACGCGATAACGCGTCCAAGAACTCCGAACCGGCCAAGTCTGATGAGCACACAGGAGAAGCGAAATCCGTCATAGTTTCTGGGTCTAAGGATACCCTCGAAAATGAAGACGTTACCATCAATCTGGAGGACCCGCACTCGGAGTCTGGGAAGTACTGGAAAACCGAATTCGACAATTACCGTGTGAGGACCAATCGAGAGATCAAGAAATTGATCCAATACCGGTCGATTGCCAAATCCTATGCTCGCAAGAAGGATACAGAAGCTATGCGGTTGGCCGACAAGCTGAAGGAAGAAGAAGAAAAAGTCGCCGAGATGGAAAGGCAAGTATCACGGCTTGCCTCTTCGATGGTCGGGGAGGGATCGGCGGGGGATAAGGAGCAATTGGTTCAAGGCTTGACCAAACAGACCGCTCTTGCATTGCAATACAAGCAGCAAGTTACCTCTCTTCGCAACGCCTTAGAACGACATGACGTCGTAAGCGATGTGGCTAATATCACACAAAAGAAAAAGGAAGAACTGCCTTCAAATGACTCGGCCGAAGAGCTTCGCAAAACACAACAGGAATTAGAACAAGCCAATGCTAAGATTGCGGCGATGCAACAACAGCAGTCCGAACTGAGCACACTTCAGGACCTCGCGCAGAGCTCAGAAAAGAAAGCCCAAGCACTTGAGAAAGAGAACAACACTCTGAAACAAACGCTAGCACGAGTAAAACAGGAAATGTCCCGCTATGAAGGTCGGCGAAAGGACAAAGAAACAAGATTGAAGCAGAGAGAGGCCAGACTGGAGCAGCGGATCCAAGAATACAGAGAAAAGCTCAAAACGGTATCCCAAGAGCACCGTGCCTCGGAGGAGAACTTGAGAAATGCTTCCGAGGCAGAGCGCCGCCACATGCAGAAACAGATTGACCTTCTGAAATTGCGACTTGGTTCTACCGAACGCTTCCCGACACTTCCTTCCACAGAGCGGCAACTTCTAAGTCCTCGCAAAGACCTGACGGGAGTTCAAGTATTTGACTTTGCCGGCCAGGATCTTACCGGTCAAGACCTTGAGAAACCCGAAGAAGAACCCACCGAAGATATCGAGCTTCCTCCAAGCCCGAGTCCACGCTCCAAAGTACGCGATCCACGGCCTGCTCTGCGCAGTGCCACAACGGGTACACTTGGTACAAGGCCAAACGCCCGAAATATAACCGCGGATGACGACGAGGTGACACATTATCTTAACGAAATCCTACTAAAGCCGCGGCACGAAGCCCAGAATGCTGTGTTGGATGAAATTCCCCCATCCTCGCCTCCCGATATCTCAGCCCTGAAGTCGCTGAATCGCACGTACTCAAGACGTCGCCTCGGTGAAGGCCAGCGGTCTTATCGAAATCTGAACCTCCCTGCTGAGGATGACACTCGGCTCAGCATCCGGCAGGCACAGCGTGAACGAACCCACATCAAATCTACCCTCGATTCAATGTCAGGCCTCCCGTCTCGCAGCCGGTATTCGGGATATACCGTTTCAGCGGGCGAACGCGTGGGCAAGCGGTACGGGTTGACCGATTTCCAGCGTGAAGGTCTCTCTCCTGAACGAGTTGCCGCTGCCAAGTCACGGCTCAGACAGAAGGATAGTCGTAAAACCAAAGCATCTGGATAAGAGAATGTTTAGTCTTTGGTTATCTTGGGCTGTGCTTGGCTCTTTGTATTCACTTTCTGAATTGGAAATATGGTGTGGCTTTTGGAGCATGGTGGGATGGTGTTCAGGTTCATAAGCGTTACTCTTTTTCATCCCATTCTTGCCATCTACGTTGTGAGCGAAACAATTGTTAAATTACTGCTTAGTGACTCTTCTCTAGTGTCCCGGTCAGCTCGTAGACTGTATCAAATCGCACCTTTATTCACAATCTAGATTGGGTATTAACTCATCTACTTCTAGCTGTGGTTGTCGCTCCCTAGTTCATCTACAAAGGTTCCATATTGGCATATTAACCCCGTGTGCGACAGAACATAGTGGGTCGTGCCTAGTGTGCCCTCAGGCCTTGCCGTCAGAAAGCGACACAACAGCCCATTTCCCGCTCCAGGCCCACTTGCGGGACTCAGAGCCGCCGCCTCCAGGCAGTGCACGGAGCTTCTCGTCTACGCCAGCAGGGAGACCGACAACGGTATCAGCCTTGCAAGTGCGGAAGGCCAAAACACGGATACCGGACTTGGGGCCTAGCGGGCCGATTGCTTCTGTGAAAGGAGTGGTGGGATCCCATTGGGCCTGGTTATGGTTAGCAAGAAACCCAAAGCAAAACAAAGGAAAGCAAAGAACACCGAACTTACATCATTGACCAACTTCCGGTAGTTAAGGTCGCCCTTGAACAGAACAAGCTCGCTCTCCTTCAAATCTTCGAACAGCTCCGGTGCCTCGGAGGGCATACGCCAGTAACCACCCTGGGTAGTCCAGAAAGCATGTGGGCGCAGGATCAGCTTGCCATCCTGGTGGAACTGGCTCCACTGCTCAAAGAGGAATTTCACGTCGGAAACCTCCTTCTCGGAAAGAGGGGGGTAAGTCTTGCCCGAGTCATCGGCTGCTGTGTAAAAGGCCTGTGGGTCGACCATGCTGTTGAGCAGATCGGAGAAATCCTTCGGCGTGACATCTGACACAAACCATGGCAGCCGCTTGGGGTGAAGCACGACACTGGTTGCCAGTCCAGCAGACAGCAAGTATCCAGCGAGAATCAGGTCAACGAATAACTCAAACCCGGAGTTGTCTAGGACGATGTCAACGCGGCGCTCGCCGTCCTTCTTCTCCCTCCGCGCCTTTTGCATTGCCTCGAAAGCAGCATCGAGGTCGTTGACAATGATGTTCTGCTGCGATGCTTTGCGTGCCTGGGATCCCTGCAGTTTCTGAATATCCTCGTAGGTGAGAGATGTCAGAAGTGACAGATCGGTGGCATTGCCCCATAGGCAAATCTCGCACATCTCCGAGAAGAGAAGCTTCTCTGCCTTCTCGATTTCCTCTGGTGACTTGTTTTCTCTCGCTTTTCCTGACTCTGCCTCTATCGCTAGTTCGCGGTACCTCGCGGCGAGTTCTAGTACGGCGGGACGGGACGACTTGAATGTATTCATCTTCTGGCGGGCGAACACATCATAGCCTTTCCAATGCTTGGACAGCGCGAAGAGGGCTTCCATGCGGCGGTCTATGATAATCGTCTGGTCAGTATTGCTATGGTATGTCTCATTTCTTGTTGAACTTGGGCTTTGTGCGTACAGAGGTAACACTCTGAATAAAGCCAGGACACATCGTGCCAGTGAGGGTTTCCGCGCTCCTCTAGCTCCTTGTTATACGAGGCGATATCTGGGTGTCCGTCGTCATCCAGGGGACTAGCCGCAATATGCATGTCAGATCAATCTCTGTAGTTCTAGCATCGAGGACAAGGGGTCTCACGTAAGTTGTCGGTTATGCTGAAGCTCATACTTCAACTTGGCCAAGTTCGCAATGATGCTCTTGCCTTCGTTGGCCTTCTCGTCGTCATTGACCTCTACAACAGTGCGGTGGAGATCATCAATGGCACCGGTCTAGAATGGTCACATATATTCAGCAATTCATCCCCCCGATATCGATTGTCTGCTGTAAGCTCACGATGATAACAGGCCACCGCTCATTGGCCGAGATCGAGGCGAAGCTCGATTTGTCGGAGGTGAGGTATTGGGCTACTCGGGTTAGTCCGTTATATTATAATGCCAAGCAAGAATGCTTACGGGTCTTAGGATCGAATTCCATTATGATGTGTTTGGACCGAGGGCAGAAAGAAGTTAAATCGGCAGAATAGAGGGGACAGCGCGGGGCAAAAGCGGTGTGAAGTATACAGTTGGCGACGTCAGAGCTACTCGGAGTTACTCGAAATACATCATTCATGCACATAAATACATTTAGAACATCAATTCTAAGTAAGTCTCTTGGGCAACGCCGCGCTTGAAAAACAGATATGTCATCACATTCCCGAAAGAATAGAGTTATTCGCGTAGGCCTAGTACAGTTAGCGAGGGGAACTTGGTTAAGATGTTTGGGTGTCATTAATACCATCGGCTTGATATCGGGGTGTGGCACTGCCTCGAAAACTTCATATGCAAGCTTGAGCTCGGGGCCGATGTTGATATAAGCACCCTTATTTTCAGTTGAGTCGCAGTACTTAGGAGCGGAGAAGACGGTGATGCAACGACCATCGTGCTCGACCTCATAGCCACCCATCCGCACTTCGTGGGAACGAATAATAGCCTCTAGGCCGTTGTTTTCACAGAAGCGCTTAGTCACATCAGGGCCGAATTGAAGACCGACACCACGCTTGCTGGGGCCGCGGCCAACCTCGGTCTGCGGGTCAGTCCAGAGCATCTCCATCATCAGGCCCGCTTGGCCAGGCTGCCGTTGGTTGTGACGGTTGAGCTTGCGGATATCATCCAACTTAATTTTGTCGTCGGAGAAGAGACCACCGTGTAGGACAAGGTACTTCTCACCAATCAAGGTGGCCAGCGGCAGAGCCGAGAAGGACTCGGAGAACACCTTGAAGACCCGCTCGTTATATTTGGCCTTGCACTCGCCTTCAAAGCCGTAGACCTTATTCATATCATCCGTCTCGTGGTTACCGCGGTTAAGGTAAAGGCCGTTGGGACGCAACCACTTGTATGCATAGAGCAGCAGTGCGATTTCGCAGGACCAGGAGCCACGGTCAACAAAGTCACCGTTGAAGAGGTAAGCGTGAGTATCGGAGGGAGCGCCGTTTCGTCGGAAGATCTCGAGCAAATCGAAGTATTGGCCTGTTCAATCAGCGGCTGCTTCACTCGCCGAACGTAGACAATACATACCGTGCGTATCACCGCAGACTGTCAGCTTCTTGCCCGATTCCACGCCAATTTCCACCATCGTAGGCTCGTTGTATACTAGATCCTTCACGGCCTTGATGATCTGGAAGACATATTTGCGATGGATCTTCTTTCCATCCTTAAAGCGTTGAATCATATCATCGATGAACTCCTGCGACATTTCCTCGCCAAGGCGCACACCGTCATAACCGTCCTCAACCTTGATAGCATCAATGTCCAGATCCGCAAAAGCAGAAGGCGGGTCTGCAATCTCAATGGCGCGCTCGAACTCTCTTCGGCGCACGAGCTTCTCACACTCGGCAGCCTTCAACCGAGCATTCTGGTTGCCGGGCTCGAGTCTGATCACAGCCTTGAAGTCCTTCAAGGCCTCCTTGTAGCTTAGGATGGCGGTATTTGCGAGGGCACGTCTCCAGTAAGCCTATCATAAACATGGATTTAGCATATAGTCCTCCATCTGCAGGCAAAATTCATCTTGCTAAGAATACCGACTAACCTTCACATAGTTGGGATCCAATTTGATTGCCTTGGTAGCGTCCGCAATAGCAAAGCCGAAAGCTTCGAGCTTAATTTGAGCCTATAGCCCAAACAAATGAAGATCATTAGCCATGCCGATCATAACCAACGTGCACGCGACTCTTGAGAATGTGCCACCAAGATCGTCGGGAACACACCTGGGCCCGGTTGCAGAAAAAGGATGGATCCTTGTCAAATTTGGCCACAGCCTGGTTATAAAAGTCGACTGCGACTGGCCAGTCGTGCTGAGCAAAGGCCTTATTGCCCTGCACCTTAAGCGCAGTGGCCACTTCTTGATCGGTAGCCATTTGGGCGGGAGAAAACACGAGGGGCACGAGACAGCGATTATCGGTGCGAAACCAGGGTGCGGAGGAAAAGGTGACAATTATATCGGAAGAGAAGAATAAGTTTCAGTAAAGAAGAGAACTCCTCTATATCCACTGTAAACTAATAGAGAAGAAAAGAAAGACGAGTGGTAAGAAAAAAAAATTGTGAGAGAAGATGAGAGTCTGGTTCCTGCTTCTCCCATGTTCTTTTTCCCCGATCGCAACGGGTCTTGGCATCCATCCAGACTTGACGGCTAACTCCCATTCATAGCTTTCTTTCTCTCTTCACTTCATATCTTCTCCAAATGTCTTTCTACGCCCCTCCAAATCAGCAGCGCATGCTCCGCGCCTGTATGGTCTGCTCCGTCGTCCAAGTTCACAATGTAAGGGCTACTCCCCAACTCCGTTCCGCGGACGACTCTAACGGCTCCGATCACTCCAGAAATTCATGCGTGAAGGTTGTCCAAATTGCGAGAGCACCCTCCAGCTCCGTGGAAACAATGATGCTATCCAGGAATGCACGTCACAGGTCTTTGAAGGCCTGATCGCCGTTCGGGATCCGGCTGCCAGCTGGGTCGCTCGTTGGCAGCGGTTGGATAACTACGTGCCAGGCACATATGCGACCAAGGTCACGGGAACAGTAAGTGCACACTTGACTGTTGGGGCGATGGGACTCGTTTGAAATTCCCTAGGGCTCCCTTGTTCCTTTAATTGAGCACGAAATGGCTAACTATGTGTCGCATTAACAGCTTCCGGAATACATTATCAACAGTCTCGAGGACTCCGGCATTAAATATGTTCCGTACGTGTTCCTCGAACCAATTCCACTGCCCTGATATCTCCATCGTCATACTAACGGTTGTTTGTTTTAGGCGAGACGGAAGTACTGGCGAGGAAGATGCATGAAGCACCCATCCTCGAGTCTTTAACGCTACACGAGCCCACCCCTGCCCATACAGTCTTGGTTATGGATACCCTGACAGCACACACACCATTGCTTCGATCAAGACAGGCAATATGAGGGTGGATTCGACAATCTTGCTGGTCGTTCGGAGTTTCGGATGGGAAGCATTATCTACTTTTCTTCATATTATTTACTGTACTACAAGGGCACACGCGGCGGATTCGGATTTTCTTCGGAATTCGGATTACTTTGGAGTTTCTAGTTCCAGTTTCTACGAATAGGGACATAAAAGATAGAAAAACGGCTTGCGGGGTAAATATCCCTACTCCGGCGCCAATGATTCGGTTCGAGTCATAACTCAATTGACAAGCACATGTCCAGAGATATACATGGCATTTTTGTAGTGACATAAAAGTCATAGCAAAGGGACAAATATGAATCCTCCAAAGGGAAAAATGAAAAAGTAAGCAAAAAGAAAGGGAGAAAAACGCTCATTAAACCAATTTCGAAAACGCCCGATCACTTCTAAACGTCATTGCCGGCATTTGTTTAGATGTTCTGGACGATCTGCTCGATCTTCTCAAGGAGGATATCGGCTGTAGGAGAAAGATACATTAGTAAGTGGGTCATTGGCATCAGGAAAAGAGAAGGTTGACATACCGTGGTGCTTCTGGAAGATCAGCATAGGGCGCAGACGGACAGCAGACACGCCACTGCCACCGATGTTGACACCGAAGGACTTGGCCGTGGCGACCAACTGGTCACGCTTGGGTGTGTCCCAGGCGATGAAGGTACCCTGGTTCTTACCACGGAGGTTCTGGAAGTGCTCGGGGTACTTCTCAGCAAGACGGGAGAGACCGCTGTAAAGGTAGTCACCAGTGATGCGGGTGTTCTCAACGAGGTCAAGACGCTCGATCTCCTCAATGATTCCGCGGAAGATCAGGGCACGGGCTGGGTCTCCCATCCAGGTGTTGAACTGGCGGTAGGGCTTGTTGGGGCGCAGAGCAGGGTTACCGAAGTAGTAACCGGCAGTCTGGGCCTTCTTGGAGAAGGTAACCATATCCGGGGGAGAGGACAGGTTCCAGTGGTCGTGGGCCCAGAACTTACCAGTGGCACCAACACCGGTCTGCACCTCGTCGACGATGAAGAGGACGTTAGTGCGCTTGGTGATGTCACGGAGACCCTGGAAGAAGGCAGGAGAGGCGTGGTTGTCACCACCCTCGGACTGGATGGGCTCGACCATCACTGCGGCGACGGGGTTGTGGAACTCCTTGATGAGACGCTCAACCTCGGCCAGGCAGCGCTGCTCCTCGGCGGCATTCTCCTGGACGTGGTCCTCCAGAGGGTACTTCAGCTGGGGGAAAGAGGCCTGGGGCCAGTCAAAGGCAGGGATATCCAGCTTGTGGATGGCCTTGCTGCGGGTGGTGGACAGGGAACCGAAGAGACGTCCGTGGAAGGCAGACTTGAAGGATAGAATGGACAGCTGGGGTGAGCCAGGGCTGTGGTTTTCCATGGTGGAGCGCATCTCCTCCTCAGTGAACTCAACATCGGGGCCACCGCGCTGCATCTGGCGGTAGTACATGAAGGCCGCCTTGTAGGCAGTCTCGTTGGCATCAGAGCCAGCCATGGCGGTGAAGACCTGGTCCAAGCCCTTGGGGGCAGCACGGAGGACACCAGTCTTGAGGACATGGGCCCAATCCGAGGAAGGGAAGTTACCCAGCGCCGGGCGGTTAATCAGAGCGGAGGCCATCTCGGACGATCCAGCAATCTTCTTGAGGTGGGGGTTGTTGTATCCAACGGGAATGGAAGCAATCTGAGCATAGCTACTTGGGGTCAGCTTCACTGTTTTCAATTGACTTGTGATTGATTACTTACACGTCAAGGAGCTTGTTTCCATCGAGATCAGCGATGCTAGAGGCAGGGTTAGTCGAGTCTTAATGGTGGATGGTGTCTATCATACTAGTTTCCAATGGACTGGTTAAAGTCAGTCAACATGTTCAAGCTGCGAACATCGAAGACTTCGTTAAGCTCGGCGGCGGCGGCCTTGTTCTTAGGTCCGGGGATTGTGCCCGAGACGGATGGAGCGGTAGGCTCATTGGGGAAGTAAGGCTTCTCCGCTGCACGCAAACCGGCAGTGGTGGAGAGAGTGCGAGCTGCCGGGAGGCGAGCTGCGGAGCGCAGCCGTGTGCTGGCACGGAAGACCGAGGACATTGCGATTTTAAACGTGAAGGGGGGAATTCAGAGGATGAGATGAATGACGCGGGAAAAGAACAGCGGTCTAAGAACTATCCGGTGTAGAAAGGAACGCTCAATTGGTATAGCTGGGCAGGGGGGGGGAGCAATGGAGGACAGATGTAGGACAGATGAGATAAAATGGAACAGCAACAGGCGCGGGGTGGCTTTATACTTGGTGCAACTGGAGAATGTTATCGGCCTTATCCTATAGCTCAATAGCTTCTCCCCGCGTATGATGCTGCTGTTTCGGTGATATTGACCAATCAGGGGTTTGCAATCTACAGCGAAACGCCGAGTATCCGATGGGGTATCTGGACGAATTGAGAAGGTGTACGCTGGTGGATTCTTGGTCAAATCTATATGGTAAAAGTTTCCATTTGAATGGGGGTATTCTATCTGTCTCAATTGGGGTCGAGTAACGTGAGGACGAAAAGTTAAGTCTCAGCGTCATGACCCCTGTCGTAGATCATCCATCGATACCAAAGCTCCACGATAAGATAAAGTCTTGGCATATCTTATCTTTGAATGTCTAGCCCTGGAGATGTCCACAGGTATGCGAGTCTGTATTGGGGTTAAGGTGCGGGGGGCTTTCACCGCAATTTATAGTACGTGATGTGCTTCATATGTACATATGTAGTTCTTTTACGCATTGACTCAAGTGATCAGTCTTGTTCTCCACGGGACTTGCTCTGGAATCCTAATGCTATAAATATATATCGGTAGATGATCCCAATAAATATATGCACTATGGAGTTGATTTACTCTTTTACCACAGAGTATAAAAAAATGAACAGAATAAAGAACCAATTAGCCAGATTATCTCATTTGTTTTAGTTTGAAAGGGGTTTGTGTCAATTAAACAGCAGATCTATCCCCCAAGTTCCTTTTGGCTCCTGATACACTATTCCCCACAAGCAACCAATCAACTGGGCTTGTGGTTTAGTGGTATAATACTCCCTTAGCATGGGAGTGGTCCAGGGTTCGATTCCCTGCAAGTCCAGATCTTTTTTGTCATTTTAATAATGAGATAATTTTCCTTTTTGATCATAGTTAGGCGGCCATGTCGTATTATTTTTTTAGTACCCTCAGTAATCTTCTCCGATATCTGATATGTGCTTTTTTTTTCTAGATAATATCTCGCTTTTCTCAGTTATATAGCGAAAAAAAAGCGCAAGTTGTACAGATGGATTTTCTACGTATAGCTAGGGATAGTATGTGATACATTACATAGTATTGCTATGTCTGGCTAGGTGTGACGCCGAGTATAAATATATTGTTGTGGGTAGGAAATTGAATTTTGGAACATAGAACAAAGATGGGCATATCAAACCATCAATTAGGGTTCTATAACTGGCGCCAATATCGCCCAAGTACAGGCATTTTCTGCCCCTGTCTATTTAATATTGAATCTCAACTTTGTTGGCTATGATAATCCGAGACCAATACTTTCATTCGATCACCTAGATGTCGCTAACAACACCCGACGTGTACTAGTATATGTAGCCTCATGATGAAGATTTGGTACATATATCTTCTACTTGACCTGTAGTGGCCAGAAAGCAACATTTTGAATCATCTTCTCAATAGCCGGGATATCTAGCGAACTGACACTTGCCGTTGAATATTTGATTTCTCAGGGGGGCACATACATGTAGTCAATGGAAGTGATCTAGAAGCTCACTCTACCAGCCAGCCTTGGAAAGCCCTATGCGCCGATCATAATCCACTCAAGTCTGCAAGGTTGGAACTAGCGCAACATTAAGATTTCGGCGCATGGTCAAATTGGTAATGAACATGTCAAATCCCGAAATCGAGGCTGATCATTGCTTTGGAAAATGCCCGGTGAGCACAATACATGACATACATATAGGGCTCGTATGGATATACAGGGCTAGCTATATATCCTATGCCATACAGATTACTTTCATACCTTTGACCGCATACTGGAATTGGAAGGAATCATGTCCATCCGTCAAACAAGTGATCATCAGAGTCATGATAGTATTAAATATATGTACAAGGTGTATCCCTTTTCATGTGGAATATCCTTTCTAGCGCGATCAAGTCGTCCAGGCTAAAGTTACATAAATGTTCACTTATAAGAAAAAAAGTAAAGAAAAGATAGTAGTAAAACAGTGCGGCTAATGAGACTGCCGATCATCGAAAGGAGAGTGCGTATCGCGCGGCCCAGAGATAGAGGAGCTAGCACTTACATGAGAGGCATAACCCATGCTCCTCTTTGTGTCAATGCTATCCGCAGGGGTGATGGGACGGCTGTGGTTATCGGACGTGATATCATAATCATGGCCCATCTTACCATGATTCGCGAGTCGTGACTCAGTCCAGCTCTCCATCTCGATGGTGCGCATAATTTCAAACCGATCGCTGTTGGAGCCGGGTGGGCGTGAATCATCGCCAATAACACGGGATGCTCGAGAGCGGCCGGTTGAATACCAGAGCTTGTGGGAGCGAGTCCGTTGATTGTAGGAGGAGTTGATATTTCGGGTTGAGCCGAGGAGGCGGGGGAGGAAGGCTGCGACGAGGGGACGGAGGGCCGGGGCTGAAGAGCAGATCTGTGCGATTATTAGCATTAAATATCTCGAGCGAAACTGTAGGTCTCTCACCAATCCCAGACTGATTTCCACCACGGCAGCGATCAGCACCGGCCACCCAAGCCAGGTCGCATCATAACCGACTACCATACTCTTCCATACATATACTGTTCGGACAGAGCCAGCTACATTGACCACGACACCGAGGCCGAAGATAGATATAACGGCGAGTCGTTGACGAGCGGGGAGTTTTAGACTCCATATCAATGGCATTGGTAGAGCTGTGACCAGGAAATCGGTAAAGATGTTGATCACACTGGCGGAGAAGACAATCGCGCCATCGTCCATGCAGCGATATGACCCCGGGGGGTCAATATGCCAGTATGCACTGACAGGACTATAGGAAACATTAACCATGGTCCGAGATCACACAAAACGACCCACTCACGTGCACTGAAAGATGCTGATAAGAGTGAATAGCAGACTAGAACCTCCAACGAAGACAATAGATAGAATGAACGCCCGGTTATATAGCCCGAATTTGCCCTTTCCGATGAGTCGCCGACAGAACCATAGCAGAGAGATCTTGGTGAAGCAAGATGACAGCGAGAACAGTATCTGGAAGGAGAGGTTCAATTTCTGGATAGTGATGAGTTTCAACACCTCAATGTCCCAGACATGGCGGTTCATGCCCCAATCTTCAGTTGCGACTGAGGTGATGGTTGCCATTGCGATGGCAAAGACCAGACCGATAACAATAAGCAGATCGTCGAGACCGGCACTGCATGTAATCCGGAGCCTGGTGTATAACCGTAGGGAGACGACAAGAAACGCTAAGGCTAGACAGATGATGTTTACCACGAGAACGCCATGCCCGCGTGTGGGAGGGTCGATATAGTTCGGGGTTGGCCATGACGCCACGATGGATGCCGGAGGGAGCTTCATGATCCTATTTGTGCCAGGAGGATCGGAGTGCAAGGAAAATAGACAATCTGTCTAGGCAAGTGCCACCGCCATAATTAAAGCCAACAATGGGAAAAGTCAAGAAACGAAGAGAGTCAAGAAAGTCCACACACGGGTATATTGGGTAGATTGTGGAAAGAGAAATCAAGCCACCTAGGACATGGGGTAGATATAATGTACAGGGATGGTAGGGCGGGGATTGCCACAATTTCATAGAAACATTAGATCAAAGTAGTTTCGAGGGAGGCCACATAATCCGAGGAGCCTCCCAAAGATGAGCCAATAAATCGACATCTAGAAGAAGTTAATATCTCGAGACCATATCAAAAATGGCAACACAGCCGAAAGTTGTTGTAAAGTGGGATGTCATGGACACTGATAGGTGGACACATACCCCCATAGTTCCCTTTTCAGCCCCACTGTGCTTTTAGGATCTATGATCAGAGGTCCGTGAGAGGCTATAATATAAAGGAACCCCCCCTTGTCCTCGCTTCAGGTACAATCGACCATCGAATCATTGTAAAGAGTGAAAAAGCTAAAAGCATTGACCTCTTTACAATTTAAATGTAACCTGGAGCTTTTTCCGACATGTGGCCGAGGTTTAAGGCCGAGGCTTACATTAATCTTTTAAATTCCAATCTCATTATACTCTACTCCGTATATGGAATAGAAATTCTATCAGTGGAGCAATTACTTTCCAAGTTGATCTTATATTTTATTCTCCACATTAAATTCACATTTTAAGTCTTACTTGTCTCGATATAAGAGGCGTTTAATATAACCGGCACATGCAAATTAGTAGGCCAAGACATCCATGGATGAGGCAAACCCAAGTACTCCGCAAAAATTATCCTTGCCCGCTAATTTCCCGACTCATTTTTCGTTTTACTCCGTGTTCTAGGCTTGTGTATTTTCATTTCTTTCTAATAGTACATTCTAATTTAATCTTCTCTATATGCTAGGCCTTATTGTTATGGATCGGTCAAATATCCACTTCTCTATGGTTTGCCTTCGATATCATGTTATTCAGATCTATGTACGATATAGACAACCTAGGAATTATGCTTGCCAAGGGCCTCGTAGCATCCCACGAAGGTCATGAGATATACCTCGAAACCCTTAGTCTCAGATTTTGCTCCCAAATATTTAACAATTGCCTGAAGTAGTTGAGTTTTTTTTCACACGAGAGTTCGACATGCCGATCATGGCCCGTTTTATCCTACGAACACCATTAACTAAAATACAGGCCCTAGCCAACCATGGAAGACTTCAAGATGGTTCCTTCATTTTCTAGACTTATTGGCCAAATTGAGACTAAAATATCGATGACGGAAGAACCCCAAAGAGTATGAAACAGGGCTTGGTCCCCAATGCTCGAGAATATGCCTATCTACGCTAACATATAGCCAATTCCAAATTTTCATTCATTACTGCTCAATGAATCGTCTCGGACTATGGATTAGAGGAGGAAATAGAAACAATGACAAGGAGTACCTGGTATAAATCCAAACAAGTGTAGCGAACTGCCGTGGAACAGTGTACCACAACATCGGGTCCAGTTTATGTAACATTTAATCGCCCAGTTGAGATGAAGTATATAGACTTGCAGCTGTTCGCGTACCAAATGGCTGAATATGCATGCTGACTTGCCTGCTATTGGGCAGATATATGCTGGGACTACCATGCATTTTCCCGGTCCATAAACTCGACAGGACCCGGAGCCCTTGCCGACATTCAACATTCCGACATTTTAACGGTATATCTTGTTTTTTTCTATTTTAACTCAGAAGTCACGCACTAAGAAGGTTATATGAGAGCCTTGAAATTGCGGGGAATTTGCCTGGGGACATCCTTTTATACCACGCTCCAACGTGGTGTGACACCTGGGCATCCTCGAAACTTGTCATCTTCCAGACGCCTTTTGTGTTTCTTTGCTGACTGTAGCTGAAACTTTTCGACCAGAAGTCATCGACTATGCTCACTTTCGAAAGCTCTATTTTAAAAACTGTCTTCAGTTAAGCCTTAGTCTTCTGCTCGGTGTTTTATTTAGACCTACCTACAGGGACTTATATGAGGAAATAACCCTAAATATCTCTAGAATACAAGGCCGGTGGTAAATGAAATGGGGCAATGGGACATATGAATAGATTATTATATCTGTAGCACCTGTATGCTCACACAAAGGGCTACCAGGGCTATTTCTAATTGAGTTGAGGCTTTTTGGTTGTCTGAGAACTTCACATCAATATTTGCTAGCATACGTAAAATCACGTCGGCGCATACATAATCGCATACATAATCGATTATCCAAACTTTTTTCTGATGCCCACCTGGGCAGGTGATTGCCATCTCAATTTGTTGTTAAAGCTCCTTCCCTTTTCTGCTCATTGATCTTAACCCTTCCTCCTCCACCTGTCTCAACCTTCGAACCATACTCATAGGTTGATTACATTCCATCAATTTTCACAATAATTTTCATCTACAGTATCTTTCCTTAGCCTTTTCTCATCGACAGAAAACTGTCAGCCATCATTATGTCTGATCCAACCGAGACTGACGCGGTTGGAGGGTATGTAACCACGGTGACCACAAGCCTGTCCCAAGCTCTGTACTGACACTACTAGAATGACTGAGAATGTCACTGGGGAGTAAGTAGTGTAGCCTGACTCTGTGCTAACTTAGTTGACTCTACTCTTTGAGTCCAGGTCAGACTGATATGCAATAGGATCAAAAACCCCCTCGCCGGAATCCCCCACGGTCAGCTCATGGCTGATGTCACGGCTTATGCTACCGAACATGGCCTCGAGGATATCTTGCCTATCTTGAAGAAAGGCGCTATGGTAGCTCAGACCCCAGCTGGGATTGAAGGAATTTCCGACCTCGATGATGATGACCGTCGTGTTCTTAATGAGGAGCACTCTCGGCGCTGGAAACACCCTTTCGCGTTGTACTACACTATCATTCTGAACTCAATCTCGGCAGCTATTCAAGGCTGGGATCAGACTGGTCAGAAGAATACTACGTCTAAACATTCAGGCACAGTCTTGGCTAATCCTTCTCATAGGTTCAAACGGTGCTAACCTGACCTTCGATGTCCAATTTGGTATTCCAAATAACTCGCCTCACTGCCCTAACCCTGAGACCTGCAAGCGTAACCAGTGGATTGTCGGTTTTATCAATGCGGTCCCATACATTACTATCTGCTTGTTGTGAGTTATATACTTGTTGTACGTTCAAGTACTCTTCTTACTTATATCCCACCCTATAGTGTTGCTTGGCTTTCCGATCCCCTGAACCATATCCTCGGCCGTCGTGGTACAATCTTCATGGCTGCAATCTTCAGTCTCCTAGCCCCCTTGGGATCCGCTTTTACTCAGCACTGGGGTCAGCTCATTGCCTGTCGTGTTCTTCTTGGACTTGGCATGGGTCTCAAGGAAGTCACTGTTCCTGTTTACTCGGCTGGTAGGTTCTTTCGTTACATCCCAATCGATCATGGATATCATACCAATGCTAAACTTCACCCAACAGAAAACGCACCTACCAACATTCGAGGCGGCCTGGTTATGTCATGGCAGCTTTGGACAGCCTTCGGTATCTTCCTTGGCACCTGTGCGAATCTCATTGTGGCCAACACAGGTGACATTGCCTGGCGGCTACAACTAGGCTCTGCATTTATCCCAGCTGTGCCGTTGCTTCTTGGTATCTGGTTTTGTCCCGAGTCTCCACGATGGTTGATGACCAAGAAAAACCACAAGAAAGCCTTTGCGTCTCTTCTCAGACTGCGCAATAGCCCTTTGCAGGCCGCCCGGGATTTGTATCGGATCCATGCCCAGCTGGAGATGGAGAAGCGGTTGATTGCCGAGTCAGGATTCTCCAAGACTGATAACATGTTCGTTCGGTTTGTGGAATTATTCACGGTGCCCCGTCTACGTCGTGCCGTCCAAGCTTCTGGCATTGTGATGATCGCCCAGCAGATGTGCGGAAGTAAGTACAGACCTGAGACAATAGAAGAATTGATCTAATTATATGCTTACTTTCTAGTCAATATTATCTCGTTCTACTCTTCAACTATCTTCCAATTGGCCGGTGCTTCCAACATCGAAGCACTTCTTGCCTCATTTGGTTTCGGACTTATCAATTTCGCGTTTGCCTGGCCCGCCGTCTGGACAATCGATACATTTGGCCGACGAGGTTTGCTGCTGTTCACTTTCCCACAGATGTGCTGGACGCTTCTCGCAGCTGGATTCTGTTTCTGGATTCCGGTAAGCAGTAAGGCGCACATTGGAATGATTGCATTCTTCGTCTACCTCTTTGATGCGTTTTATTCCCCCGGAGAAGGCCCTGTTCCATTCACCTACTCTGCCGAGGTGTTCCCGCTGTCTCACCGTGAAGTTGGAATGGCCTGGGCTGTGGCAACCAACAACTTCTGGGCATCTGTTCTCTCCTTGACGTTCCCGTGGATGCTGCGAGCCTTTACTCCGCAGGGTGCCTTCGGGTTCTATGCCGGCTTGAATCTCGTCGCATTTGCCTTGATATTCTTGTTTATGCCGGAGACCATGCAGCGCTCCCTCGAAGAACTGGACTATGTGTTTGGCGTCCCGACTCGAACCCACGCCAAATACCAGCTTACCAAGGTTCTCCCGTGGTGGATCAAACGGTATGTTTTCATGCGCAAGGATGCGGTCTGCCCGGAACTTTACCAGGTGACCCAAGAATATGTCGCACCTCCTGGTCCAGGCAAGCAGGCGAACGCACAGATGGAACGCCATGCCGAACATGTTTGATGGCCGCTCAAGATTCAACTCGCGATCTACAGAATCGGATCGCTGCTTTTTTCTATTTTCTTATGTGTATGGGATTTCATTCCCTGTGGGTTTCAGAAGAGGAGGTTGGGTCATTTAGGGCTGAACTATGACCGTCTTGGGTCATTTTACCAACAGTACCCCTTAGTTTACCTCAATATCACTCAAACCCCTTCATTTCACATCCACAATTCTATGTAGTATTGCCTTAGCCACAACTAAAAATGTCCTCATATCCTTTCCTCCGCCTCATCGCCAGCAAAACCCCTTGTTCTCGCAAAATATTTAACCTCCACATCCCGTGTTACGTGAAGCCAAACTCCTCTGCTCGCCGTACAGGTATTACAAAGGTGGGCTCCGATAAAGTCGAGATTTCCGTGGCTGCTGTTCCACGCGACGGGGCAGCTAATATTGCAGTGTCACATATCTTCGCAGAGGTGGGGATTACCCTTGATGTGTTTTCCTGCTTTCCGTCTTGTCTATGAAACAAAGTCACCAATTTTATTTAACCCGACAAATTTTAGATCTTCAAAGTCCCAAAATCAAACGTGGAAGTCATTCGCGGGGCGAAATCACGAGAGAAAACATTGTGTGTGGCCGATCTGGAGATCGGAGACGACGGCGAAGAAGCCTATTTGCAGCGCGCGACACAAATATTAAAGGCCGCTGTCAAGACACGAGACACCTAGCGTGAATTTTGGATCTAGAGCTTGTTAATTCCCACTCGCTGGCTCATCATTTTGATACGACTCGATTATTGTTTGATCCCGTGACGCAAAATCCCGTCACTGTTTTTTTTGGAGCTCCGGCCGAACATCAACCGCCGACTTCCACGAACAGTTCGGAAAACCACCCAGCATGACAGGGGATACACAGGGCGACATGGAAATCGACACAAACGTCCCTTTAACGGAACCCGCCAAGCGCAAAGCCCCAGAGCAAAAGCCAAAGACAATTCATTTTACGTCGCGCAATCCACCCTGGACATACCTCAAGCTGAAGCTGTAAGCTATCCGCCTTTCCTCGTTCTTCAACAGGAGATTTTGTTGGGAATCAAGCTAATATCGAAAATCTCAGTGTACTACAGCCAGGAAGTGTCCCACAACCCCTCGATCCCCTCTCCGCACGAACCTACCTCTCCTCCGCATTATCGCAATTCCTCGGCCTGACAGGAACAGCGATTCCGATTGACATTTTGAAAATCGAGAATGCTTCCCCAAGCACGAAGCACAATATTGTGTGGATTCGCGTTCCTCGCGAGGACGCCTCGGCCGTCGTGAGCGCAGTGAGCTCATGGATTGGTGGCGGAACGGCAGGCTCTGCAGATGTTGCATGGAGGGTTTGCGCCAAAGGAAATTTCCTAGGCGCTCTGATTGCTGGCTCTGGGGCCGACCTGTTCGTCCCCTAGACTTGTCGGTTGTACTCCTCAAGGGAGTACTATGGAAAATAATTACCGAGATGTGGCTACGCTATATTTGGCTATTTGTCAAGGGATTGCCCTCGGATCTTGCCGAGACCCATCCGATCGTCGCAAGCCGCGGGTGCTGTCGTGCATACTGCGTGGGACTAGTGGAGTGGCATGGATGTAGCTGTAGGGCTGCAGTAGTGGTCCCCACGATACATGCGACGATGATGCCAGCTCCGAATGGAGCGATATTGACTTGGTTTGATACCGTGAGCCTTAGAATGATTGAGTGCTCGACACTGAGCTTGTGGCTCCGTGGATCGCAATGCACATTGGCCTACATTTGTGGCGGAAGGCATATGGCACTTTTCACACATTCGTGCGCAATCAGAAAGAAAAGGAATCGAATTCGGAGCCAATATCAATCTATGTACGCAACTGCAAGATAAAAGAACTCCCCTTTTTTTTTGTTCGATTCGGAGTCGAAATGACTCAAATGAAACGCCATAACTCACACGCTGTTCAATATACCACAAACAATTTGATGCCGCTTATTTAAATGCACGATTACCTCCCGTCCACTGCCAAGAAGACCTCTTGTACCTCTCCCTGGTTGGCGACGATTTTTTTTTTGTAAGATTAGACCGATGATTCGGTGGTCTTGGGGCGGATATTTTCCACAATTGTAGATGTATCTGACTCCGAAGCCGAGGGACTGACAACCACCTTGGTTCTAAGAGCACCACGAATATCCTCGACGGTCCGATCTTTCCATTCAGGGTAACCCAACTGGCTAAGAGGGAATAGAACGAGGTTTTCAGCGCGCGCCATGAAGTCCTCAACCTTTGGTCGGGGGACGGCAGTCATGATATCCATTTCCACGGCGATTTGTCGGCAGTAGGTATCCAGCGGGAGATCGTTAACGTCGTGACCGAATGGGTTCTCAATTTCACTACCGATTGTAGCCAAGCCGAGGATGATGTAGGCAGCCACTTTGGGTTTGTTAGAATTGCTCGGGTACTTGTGTAAGTGGGGTTCTTACCAATTGATGCTGGGATGGTGATCCAGTCCAAGACGTTGTAGAGCTGGAATGGAAGTACCAGGATGTAGATCCATGAAATCTGGGCAATGGCAATGCTGTATGCGGTAGGCAGGGGGGTGTCCAGGACACGTTCTGTGCCGGTCAAAACCTCATTCAAGGTGGACAACATGGTGACTTTTTCGGGTTAGAGTTGGAACACGTCAACTTCGGGAACTAGAGACTTACTAGCTTGTCCTTGGTGCAGAGTTGAAACCAGAGTACCGTTGGCTACAATTGAGTCGATATATGCGGACAGATGGTTAAGGATCTCCAGGGGCAAATGTCCAAGAGGCTTCTTGGACCGCTTGACGTACTTCCGAGGGTTTGACTCGGCGAAGGAGACGCCGAGGTACTCTCCGGTAGCCTTCCAAATTGATTTAGGAGGAGGGTTGACAACGGCGCGGTCGTGGGCATCTCGGGCAAAAGTGTCGAGGTGTCCAGCCAAGCCAGCCAGATCTTCGTAGGCGATATCGGGTTCGAAGCGGAGCTTGTGCTTGAGGGCGACGGCGAAGGCGAGAATGAGGTTCAACGCAGAGCTATACAGAGCTTATTAGAATATTTCCAAAATTGGACCTGAGGTATCGCGTACAGTTTTCTCAAGATATCTTCTTTTCCCTCTTCGCCTTCTCTCTCGTTGGTATTAATCCAAATTGTACGCGAGAGGTTGCGAGATGTCTGAATGAGCTGGGCCCAGTATTTGCGCCCGTCTGCCCATCTGTAGTGCAAGCCGAGTTAGTGTATTGTTCGAGTCGAAACTGAAAAGACAATATGTATACCTTTCATATGCAGTTGAGCTGCGGAATGACAAAGCCAAACCCACCACGAAACCCAGCACGGTGAGCAGGATGTTGTTGATACCAACTAGTGCGAGTTAGAATGTAAATTCTAAATTCATTGTTCTGTCAGGGACGACTCACGGTTATGGACCTTCCACGAAAAGACAGTAACAGCAGTCGACCAAGTAGCGACAGCCAAAATTGGCATGATCATTTTCGGCATGACACTACCGTGCATACGCATCATGATGGGCCATTTGGAGTGCTTTTCCATGTTTCGGGGGCCATGCTAGACAAAGAATGTGTTAGATTGTCAATTTATTATGCAATTCCATATTCGTATTCTTTTGTTCCTGTTCTATATCACAATGCCATTGACTTACAAAGTATCGATCTAGTTCACTCGAATCCCGTCGATCAAGTTGAAACTGCGAGTCTCTCGAGGTAGCGAGATGTTCTAAGAATGTCGGCCGAGGAGTCACACGTCCAATGGAGTCCTGCTCCTTCTCATGATGATGGTTGGCGTGATGATGATTATGGTTGGCGTGAGAGCGCGAATCGGCGGGAACTGGTGCAGCACCATTGTCCGCTGCTGCTGCTGCTGCCGGAGCATCAGCTGGAGGGGCACTGTGGCCTTCTGTCATGATGAGACGACAAATGTCAAAAAGGAAAGATAAAGGTGATAAAGAAGGTGAATGAATCCGGGACACGGCCGGTTCAAATTTCAATAGATTGAAGAAGAAAGGAAAGATAGAAACGAAAGTAGGATAGTAAACAGTGAAAAACTAGAAGAAAAAACGGAAAAAATAAGGGGAAGCGAATTTGAAACGATGGCGTTCGCTTGACAGGGGCGTTTTATGGAGATCTAGACTGAGGTGGAGCTAACGGACACGTCCGCATGTTTAATTTTAGCCTTCAGGGGAAATTTTAATTGTCTTCTATTGGTTTAGGCGGATTGAATGGAGAATGTCTGAATCATTCGGATCGCGATTGGACTAGGGCTAATACTATAGATCATAGATCCAAGCCCCTAAAGTGTAAAACCGTTTTTGCCAATCCCGGAGAGAAAAAGAAACGTGGGAGATGATCATTTAGTCTGTACGGAGTACTCCATACTTCCAATGTTCTATAATTAAGCTCAAGTAATATTAAATAGTTCGTACCAATGTGGTTTTATATTCACCGTTTATACCGGAGTACGCCGTGCTTTATAGTAGTTCGTATATTAATTGCGTGGGGGCTGACTTGGCACTAATCCAAAAAGAGCCAAAGGATCCGGCTTCGTCTTACACCCCCCTGTCCTTTTTCCCGCTCTTTTACCTTTTCCACGTTGCAAAAATGGAGAAGCCTGTCGAAACCTTGCTCAATTTAGACGAGATTGAAGATGCAGCCACTAAAGTTGTGAGCAAAAAGGCATGGGCCTATTATTATTCGGCATGCGATGACAAGATCAGCAAGCACAAAAACACCGAGGTTTTCCGCTCCATTCAATTAAGGCCAAAAGTCTTTGTCGACTGCACCGAATGTGATTTAAACACTAAATTGTTAGACAATCATGTGTCTATTCCAATTTATGTTTCCCCTGCAGCTATGGCCCGACTAGGGCACCCTTCGGGTGAGGCTGGAATCGCAGAGGCATGTCGTAGCTTCGGTGCTTTGCAGATCATTTCCAATAGTGCATCAATGACACCGGAGCAAATCGTTGCGGGGGCCGCCCCGGGCCAAGCATTTGGCTGGCAATTGTATGTGCAGCACGATCGAACCAAGAGTGAACGAATGCTCGCTCGAATTAATAAATTGAGTGCAATCAAATTTATTACCCTGACATTGGATTCCCCCGTGACCGGGAAAAGAGAGGACGATGAACGCAGCGGCAATGTCATTAGTTCTGAGGCTCCGTACCAGACTGACAAAAATGACACCGGGGAAATAATCCCGGCTGCAGACCCAGTGTTCAAGGGAATGGATCCTGCTCTTTCATGGACAGAGACCCTCGCGTGGTTGGCAAAGCACACCGATCTCCCCGTTGTTCTCAAGGGCATCCAAACGCACGAAGATGCGTATATTGCTACCCTACATACACCCCAGGTGAAAGGAATTATCCTTTCAAACCATGGTGGTCGGTCTCTCGACACGGCTCCTCCTGCTGTCCATACCCTGCTCGAAATTCGGAAATACTGCCCCGAGGTCTTCGACAAGATTGAAGTGTGGGTTGACGGCGGCATCAAGAGGGGAACTGATGTGGTTAAGGCTCTTTGTTTGGGCGCACGCGGTGTTGGAATAGGAAGAGCTGCGCTCTGGGGATTGGGAGCTGGAGGAGTGGACGGGGTAAAGAGAACATTGCAAAGTATGATCACTCAAACTTTGGGTTTTTTTGCGAAGCCATCTACTGACAGAACTTAGTATTGACTAACGAGACCAAAACATGCATGCGACTTCTCGGGGCAAAGAGTGTTGATGAGCTCGGAAAAGAACACGTACGTCTGCATATGTGCCCTGGCTGTTTTGGAACCTTCAATTACAAGTGAACTGACCTATATGCTCCAGATAAATACTCGACTGGTAGAGAAAGAGATTTATGATGGGCCGTCTGGTCTCGAAGCCTGTCGGGCAAACTTCCGATCAAAACTGTAAAAGATCAAGGAATATTTTGAACTGCTGCAGGGGAATATGACCACTGAAATAAAACCCTTTTGTATTGCTATTATGTGGTTGAACCCATCTTTGGGCTCTGTCTCTGCTCTGCAGTCTAGTTGGAACCATGAAACCCCTAGATGGCAAGGCCGCATCTCTGTTCTCAAATATGATGAATACACTACATTGGCTTCTGCTGCGCATTCCGGTAATATTAAGACAGTTAAACTCTTGCTGGACCATGGAGCTGACTGTCCTCGAGGATGATGCAAGTTTCAACAGGGCGGAAACCCTAGATTCAACTGCTCTATGAGAGCTATGCTCTCGGACTTGGACAATAAAGAAAATGTTGCAGAGCTGCCTGGGCTTTACCTATTCTAAGATCTTTTGTACATGTATTTAAATAAGTGAATAGTGTATATTATAAACGTCAGATGTATCTAAATCTAGAACAATAGAGCACTGTCCAAGCTGGAGAATCCTGCGGCTACGCCACCTTCATTCACCTCTTTGCCCTTAGTTCTCAACAGGTACCCACCTTGCTCATTGTGCAAAATCTTCCCAGTATTCTCCCAAAGAATGGTACCGTAGACACCAAGCTCTGAGATGACGTTGCCTCGAAGAACCTCGCCGTCATTCCGCAAGGCAACATTCTGGGCATTGGCTGCAGGATTGATGAGTTCCATAAGCACCCAGCCTCTCCAATCAGATTCTGGCATGGATCGCAAAAAGTCTGGAATATCGGCTTTGTAGACATTGTTGCCACCCCCTTCACGTTGTGGTTTGAGCACATGGTTCAGGGCAGTATCTGGATTGAGCGCTAGATCACGACCTTGACTGTTGACCGACAGGTCATATTGCGGGGCGAAGGTATCTCGGACTCTTTCAACAAGCGCGGCGTCATTGCCTTTCAAGAAGCTTGACAGATGATCTGGCCCTGTCGGCTCTGCTAAAACTTGCTGGACTTTCTTGCAGCCAGACAGCTGATTGAGCACAGTGGGACACTTGATCGCCGCCGAGCGCTCCAGGTGAGTTCGGGCTTGCCAATCACGGGTAGATTTGTACTCATCTGGTGAATAATAAGCCCGAAGGTAAACAGTTGTTACCTCGAAGGTTGAGTCGGGGGAGTGAGGGGGCTGGTATAACAATGGTCGCGAGGGATTTGAGCTGGGAATGGATGTCTGATCCAAAACATCCACGCTAGCCACACGGAAGACTGGAATGTTGTGAATTGTCTTGAGCTGTCTCGAGAGTGCATGCTGATCAAAAACGTTTCGTTCTGTGTCCTGGACCACAAAGAGAACGCAAAGAGGGAGTGCCGGGATGGACTTAGACACCCCGTAGGCCTCATGGGCTGCTGCCAATCCTGCTGCGAGGGTTTCCACTGCGGTGTTCTCTGGTGGAACCTCGGATTGCAGTAGAGGATGGGGCGGATAGTTGATGGATGAACCCGGCGGCGAGGCAAGAAGCTCGGTGTGCATTTGTCGCACAAGAGCTGAAAGTCCCCCAAACGATGACGAGATCGTGTTGAATTCAACTTGCTTTAGAGCCGGGGCACCTGTAGGCAGAACATGGGCCATGTAATCGGACCGGAAGAGGCCCAGTGATAGGTTTTGAACATATCCCTCCTTCTGTACATCTAGATGAACTTTCCATAAGTTTGAGACAAAGTCATCAACTTCAATGAGGCTATGGGCAATAATTAGCAATGAACCGTGTTAGAGCAGATGTGTCCCTACCCTTCCACGATCTTCCCTAGCCATTCTTCATTGCATGTAATCCTAGCATAGAGTTCGTTGTAGATTTTTTGGAGAGCAGTCGCCTCCTCAAAACAATTTCTGGGGAACGGACTGGGGAACAAAGTCACTGGCGCATTTGTAGCCAACACCCCATTTGAATCCGCCCCAGATGGGATCATTGCTGGGGATGGTCGAACAGCAAGACCATTTTGAATGGCCCAGTCTTTCACAAATGTGACAAGAAACTTTTGTTGAGCCGGAGATAGGTTTGGCGGATAGGTTGAATAAATTGGTTCTGCCATATTGCTGAACAAAAATTGATTTACAGAACACTCAACAGACTAAGTTTTGTAGACTCAAAGATTCCATCCTCGAAGCTCCGGGACCTTGGGGATTTGTAATTGGCGGGGCATTTATGGACACCTGAGGCATCAAAGTACACGAGACCGCCTTATCTCCCGCCTTCCTTTTTTGGAGACTAATTGCCTCCTCTTTCCCAAAATAGCTCACCGCCTATACAAACACTGGCACAAAAAAAAGAGCTTCATGCATAATACCGATTGGGAAGGATCTTGGGAAGAGAGTTATGGATGTGGACGTGTTTTATTTTGAATGTTGCCTTTCTTCTCTTTATTCCATTCTTTTATCTCCTCCTGCCCCCCACTCTTTTCTTTCAATCTTCTCGCTCACTTAGCTTTGACATATCCTTCTTAATGCTTCACTGCCATCTCTTTATCTCTCATTGAACTCAGCTTTAACACTTTTGCATTTATTTTGACTCTAAGTTGACCTGGGGGCCTCAAAATGGTGAGTGGAACATACGTCCTGTCTCAAACTTGTCTCTTGCACAGTCGCGTCTTTGAGACAAATGCGTACCTGACACGTTTGAACCGCCCATTAATCCAGTACAGGCCCCCCCAACAAAAATGTCTTTAGCCAAAGACCCCCAGGACTGGACAGTTGACGAGATTGTTACATTTATCTGCCATGACAAGCCTGGGGACTGGTCATACAATTTGGCTTCCCCAGATCTTGTGGCTCTGGAGAGCTCTCTCCGAGAAAACTCCATCTCTGGCTCAAGTTTTCTCGAGATCACAGACGATCATGTCAAAGAACTAGGCGTGAAGGCTATTGCGCAACGCCAGTATATCCTCAAAGCCAGTAAATGGTTACAACGACGATCGACAAAGTTCCAATTAGAGCAGCAGCAGCCTCCCCCCAATGCACATCCCGAGGAACAGCAACTTTCACTAGAATGCCTCGATGATCCTATTAACGCCACCCCACTTCTTGATAATCCTGCCAATAACGCCTCTCTTGATGTTCCCATCAACCCCACTGTCTCTCTAGACATTCCCTCCGACCTCAGCCCTCTTCCTGCTGGCCCTTCACCGGCCAAAACGGGGGAAAAGAGACCTCGCCGGATGGAGCCCACTATTGTGGAACAACCACCCACATCTTCTCCCTTGAAGATAGGTCTAGCTCACGAACTACCTGATCCGACTCCCGCGGTTGGGCAAGAAGATTTCTTTGATTATCTTGCAAAGGCTTATCCCCCGAATGATGCTGATGTCCTCCCATTCTTTGGAGAATCAAGCTCCGAAAGTGAGTACGATACCGATAGTCGCGAGGAAATGGAAGAGGATGAGGGACAACCCCGCCCGGATACTCCCCTGGATACTTCTGAGACCCTGGAAGATGCCGAATTCAATGAAATCGTCGATGAATACATTAGCGCACGGAAAACATATTTTGACGAAATTCGGCTGCCAAAAGAGCTGCCAAAGGGATTTCAAATTTGGATCAACGGTCAGCAGCTCCCGAACATGAAAAATCGAATTTCGACACGGCTCGCCCACCTGGAGAAACGTTGTCAAGACCTCCGTCAAGCACTTGCCGAGGCGCAACATTCATCCCGTTCATCTTTACTTCAAGCATGTGCATGTCTTGACGCCACTGTCGTTGATATTTTCTTGGATAAATGGAAGTTTTCTGTTCTCGAGCAACCTACACCCCCGCCAAAAGTTGCTCGTCCGCCACGAACCCTACGGCCAGCTAAACCCGATGTGAATCTAGACGGCGAAGAGACTTTGAGTTCGGATTCGACTTCTGATGTGGATTCGGATTCGGTGTATGACACCGGAGAAGAGGCGGAAGATGAATCATCAGAGCAATCGGAAGATAGCGACCTTGCAGACTTTATTTCCGATCCCGAAGACGGCGTCGCTGCACGAGATAAAGAAGTCTCACTTCCTCGCGCAGCTGTTCAAGGTGGACCGTTCCGCGACTACTCTTCAGATGAGGACCTCAGCCATCTCTTCTATAAAGAAGAGAATTACGAACCCCCGGTCGCCAAGAGGCGCCGCCTAGAGAGAGATAGCGTCCACCAAGATGATTCAACTTCGCTACTAACGCCGATGACAATTCTACCGTTTGACCGGGACGTGGCGCTGCCCTCGAAGGAGTGCGAAGCCAAGACCCAGATAGAGGAAAATACGTATCCTATTAACCCGATGGGCCGCCAAACACTTGAATCTATGGTTTCGACAAGTGACAATGACAGTGGAACCGATGAGGCTGTGCGTCTTTTTGACGACGTTTCTCATATGGAATGGCCAAGTATGGAGGAGAGTGGAAATCGCCTTCACCTGCTAGCAAAAGCCCTCTTAGCTCTGCCGAAACACCGGGTCAACCAAATTTCAACGCTTCTCGTGGATTATATGCCCTGGGATTATCCAGAATTTACGCGAGACGCGCTGAAAAACATGGAAAAGAGTATACCGGCAATGGCGGGAGTTGATCCTGACGAGAGCCATTGTATCATGTTGATGACCACTATGTTCTTGTCGTGGATTAATGTTACCCGTATCCCTTCCGGCGGCGTACCAGAAAACCAGATCAAGACTGCGCTTGCAGCGATGGAAGAGGACCTTGGTGAAGATCAAATCTCACCATTCTTCGAATCCTTGAATGATCTTGTTAAGGGATACAGAAAATGGCAGGCTTCGCGATCTCATGTCCGGTCTAATGAACAGGAACCCCCCCAGCACCAGTTGCCAAAGCGCAAGAGAATGGCCCCATCGATGACTCTGAATCGGGCTCAAAAAGCTGGCCAGCAACGACAGGCAAGACAAAATGAGGCCAAACGGGCCCTCCGATCCCGAGTTGACTATGAGCACCTACCCGCAAAGCCAGTTTCATTCCGGGATCCTGTTATAGAGATTGATCCATTTATCGGCAGCCAGATTCAGCCACATCAGCTCCATGGGGTTCAGTTTATGTTCCGGGAAATTGTCGAGAACAAACGACCAGAAGGGTGCTTGTTAGCCCATACCATGGGGCTGGGAAAGACCATGCAAGTGTAAGTTCTGGCGATTGTCTGACTTATTGGGGGTCTGTTAACGCCTGCATAGAATCTCACTTCTAATTACTATTTCCACTGCTGGGGCATCGCAGAATCCGGCCATTCGAGCCCAAATCCCCGAAGAATTGCGACAGCTCAAAACGCTGATACTGTGTCCGGCATCACTTATTCAGAATTGGTGCAGGGAATTTGAAATATGGTCCCCCGACGACCACAACCTCGGCAAGGTCCGCCCCATTCTGGCAAAATATTCCAACATGATCCCTGACCGAACTGAAGAGATCCGTGCTTGGAATGACGAGGGTGGTGTACTGATCATCAGTTACGAAATGTTCCGCATTCTCACTGGGAACAATGTGGGCCAGAACGAGGATCCTCAAAAACAATCCATCAATGAATATGTCAAGAGTTTGCTGCTGGAAAGCCCAAATCTTGTTGTGGCTGATGAAGCTCAGGTGTTACGCAATAACACAACTAAGCTTGCTCAGACAACCTGCCGCATCCGCACCCGGAAACGGATTGCTTTGTCCGGGACTCCACTATCTAATGGCCTAAAAGACTATTATTGGATGGTTGAGTGGATTGCTCCCGGATACCTGGGACCCTTTGCTGATTTCAACGATACTTTCATTGTCCCAATCGAAAATGGCTCGCATATTGAGAGTACCAGGGCTGACCGAAGAGAGGCACTTCAGCGCCAGGAGCTTTTCCTTAGGATCATCGACCCAAAGGTACAGCGAGCGGATATGTCTGTACTGGCAAACAAGTTGCCACCTAAATACGAGTTCTCAGTTTACTTCGAGCTGACAGACTTCCAAAAATCTGCGTACAACCTCGTCATTGAAGGTATACCACAAGGCAAGACCGCGAATGTGAGCTCGAAGCTCCTGTCCTGGCTGTCCCCTATTAAGCTCTGCTGCAATCATCCGGCCCTTCTCAAGGAAAACCTGGAAACCCGAGCAACTAAAAGCGTACCTGAAAGACCAAGAAGTCCCAGTGTTGATGATCATGGCCTTAATTCTAGCTTGGACGCGACGAGCGAAGCGGTAACTCTTCCACGGTCGACGGTATCTGAACTGGACGATCTATGCAGCAAAGTTCCTAACTTGCTGGATCCTAGCCTATCCAGCCGAGTGATGATCCTGAATGAAATAATCAACCACGCAATCGCAGTCGGGGATAAGGTCCTAGTATTCTCATCTAGTATTCCAACGTTGCACTATCTGGCGAAATTGATGGATATAACGCAAAGAAAGTATCATCTACTTCATGGCACAGTGGCAACAGTTGATCGTCATGAGATAATTCGCAAATTCAACCATGACAACTCCATTCATGTGTTTTTTGTCTCAACTAAAGCTGGTGGCATCGGTTTGAACATCCACGCAGCTAATCGGGTTGTGATTTTTGATTTCCTATTCAACCCTACCTGTGAAGAGCAAGCGGTCGGACGTGCTCATCGAATTGGACAGACAAAGCCGGTCTTTGTATACCGACTTATTGCTGGCGGAACCATCGAGGAGAAAATGTATGGCAAGACTGTCTTCAAGAGCCAGCTTGCGGGCCGACTGCTTGATGACAAGCATATCGCTCGGATGGGGTCGAAAGCCGAGGATAAATATCTGATCCCCTGGCAAGAGAGTTCCCAGAAAGGTGGTATTGATGAACTTGCATCCGAAAAGGATGCAGGGATGATGGAGAGACTCCGGTCTAAATGCGCTGAGTCAATCCTCAGCATAAAGCTCTGCGGCGACGAGCTTGATCCTGAAGACATGTTGACAGTTGCAGAGCAACAATCTGTGGCAGAGCAGTTGGAACGCCGACGACAACTTCGCTCTGCTTTCCAGTGATCTTGAGTTCGTGTCAAGGAGGCTCTTTTCCCTTTTCTTTCTTTTTCTCTTCTCTTTTTTTATTTTGAGTGATACCCAAATCCGCCAATGGTTACATATATTATGTCTGCATATATGTAATAATCTTGCCAACCGCGTAGCACATCTTCCCTGTGTTGGGCCTCCCCAGTCAACGATAATTCTCAAGTCAACGAAAAATTTCGAAATTAGGTACCCTTTGTATGGACATGTCATACAAAAGGTACAAAGTATTAAAAAAATTAAGAATATCCTTTTCTCAACATACATACATGTAGACAGGGCAACAGGGAGATAGAGAAAAGAAGTAAGATGAAACCATTCTCTTGTCACCTATGTCGACAACTTCGAAGACACAATACCTCTATTGCAAAAGAGCCTCAAGATCTGCAACACGAGTACCTCTATCCTCAGCCTTCTTCTTTGCCGTCTCCCGGAAAGCAGCAAGCATAAGGCTCCTCTTACGTTCCTGGATCGCCAACACCCGCTCCTCAATACTATCCTCCATAACCAGTCTCCAGACCGTCGTCTCCCGCTTCTGCCCAAGCCGATACACCCGATCGACAGCCTGATCTTCAATAGCAGGCGCCCACCAGCTGTCACACAAAATGACCTGATTCGCCGCAACGAGGTTGAGACCAACACTGCACACGCTCAGACTTGCGAGGAGTACGGTACACTCAGGGTCGTTGGAAAATGTGTTGATGGAGATGTCGCGTTTCACAGATTGCATCTTGCCATCTACACGGGCGAACTTAACCCCGCGCTGCTTAAGGTGTGGCTCGATGAGATTCAGAAATGAGGTCCATTGGCTAAAAACCACGGTCTTTGTGCCTGGCGCCTGGCCCTGGGCTGTCAGGATCTTAACTAGGGTTTCGATCTTGCTGCTTGGACTGTCGGGGTCGGCCTCAACGGTGTCTGTGTCTTCACCCAGTTCTACAGCTGGGGAGACGAGTGTGTTGGTTTCGTTGATATCTGCGCGGCAGAGTGGACACTTGTGCTGGCGTTCGATGACCTGCTCGATACAGCCCCGGCAATAGGAGTGGGCGCAGGCGGTTATGACGGGTTGCTCAAGGTTGTCGAGACAGATAGCACACTGTTCTTGGCTTTCGATATGGAGCTGCAGCATTTCTTGTAGAGCACGGACGTTCTCAGGTGTTAGAGGCACGACTTTGTGTTCCTCTAGCATGCCCATGAGTTTGTCAATGCGGTTCTTGCAGAGCGCCCAGTGATTGCAGACTTGACGAAGACGGAGAAGAACCTCAAGGAGGTGAGAGTACTTCGTCTTGCCGTCTTTGTCCTTGAAGTCGAGAAGAGCACCTTGGGCTTCGGTTCTATGATTGTTATTAGTAACTTTATTTGTGTGGGTAGTCACTCGATACATACTGGAAAGCACTGTATTTCTCCTTTTCATGGGCGTTGAACTTGATTCGAATGATACGAGATGTCATCTCGGGCAGCTTCAAATTGATGAAGCTCATGTCCTTCCGACGTCTCAAGCAGATGGTACCCATGAGAGCCTCCAGAAGGAGTCGAGCCTCGGGCTCTCCCGCAGTCAAGGGTCGAATCAAGACACTGTTAAACATCCCCAGGTCTTCCAAGCCACCGGAAAACTTTAGGAAACGGATTTGCGCATACAAGTCCTTGAGAGTGTTGATAATGGGGGTTCCGGTCAAAGTCCAGCGGGAGTCGGCTCGCAAACCACAAGCCGCAAGGGAGGCCTTGGAACTGGGATTGCGGATGATATGGCCTTCGTCAAGTACTACACGACGCCAGTGCAGAGAAAAGATGCCCTTAGCAGGCGTTTGCCTGGCGTTCAGATTGAAATCTAGGGCCAGGGCTCCGTAGCTGGTGATCACAACATCATACTTTGCCAAGTTCGCAGCTTCCTTTTTCCCAGAGCCGTGGTAGATCAAGACGCTTGGGGCAGTTTCTTTGTGGGCATGGTCCTGAATCTGATTTCTCCAGTTGCTCATAACACCAACAGGGGCAATGATCAAAGTGGTCTTAGAGGAGTCTGCAGTGAGAGGCTTTGCATTTGCAAGAATCAAAGAGATGATCTGAATTGTCTTGCCTAATCCCATGTCATCAGCAAGGATGCCACCGCTGGCGAGAGCTGGCTCCGTGGCCGTGACATAATTTGTTGCGACATTGAGGAAGTCATTGCCTTTCCGTTTCCACAACTGCACGATATCGTCGGTTCCCCGTGTGGGAAGGCTTGGTGATTCTTGCTTGATCATCCAAACTAGTCCTTGGCGCTGATACGGAAGTAACTGGGTGGAAAGGCCGGCTGGGGTATCGACCATCGGCATATTGATCAGGTCAGACTCCTTTTGTCCAAAGGTCTCTACAACCTGACCAATATCTCGGGGATTGAAGGTGGAGCTCTGGTTGAGGAGTTCCTCTAAGCTCTCATTTTGCTCGCCATCAAGTCCCGTTGGGGTCGAGAGGTTCGCATACTCCGAGTTCTGGTTGGCTTGCCATTGTGCTGCAGCTTTGCCAAGAGCCATGGCACGAGCTTTCTTTGCTGCCTCCTTCTGCTGTTTCTCAGCTTCCTTCTCTGCCTTGCGTTCCTCGCGTTCTAGCTCGTTGAGTTGGCGAACTGGAAGCTTGTCTTTCTGCATACGTTGCTTCAGATTGGATCGTTTGATAGGATCGCGAGATCCAAACAATTTCAAGTCCATTGGACATGTAAAATCACCAATAGCACCAGTCAATGTGCCTTCAATAATGAGATCGCGACCATCCTTAATGAGTATTAGCAATGTCTAGGAAGCAATATGGTTAAAAATCTTTTACCATATACGCTGCCAGCTTGGCTGCCATCTGTCGTGGAATGTGGCCGATTTGGGCGCCCATGACGTTTTCAACCTTAATAGCATTGCTATCATATTGATTATTGGCATCCCGGTGTATGATGACACGTTCACCTGGGTTGGCACGACCCCTATAGAAGCGTACACCAACGATTTTTGTAGAAATAACACCTATTTGGGGTTATTTAGTATAGTTTCTAGAGAACAGGTAAGGAACCAAGATCATTAATAAGAGCGTACCATAGAGGATGGAGCTTGTTAGAGAGGTTCCATCCACGTCCTGAGATCCTTGAATCACATCGAGCGCTGCTTCGTCATCTTCATCAGCACCAGCTACTTGCGACAGCTGATTCAGTGGAATAAACTCGGCAGACTCGCCAAACCTCTGGCCTGAGCTGGTATCCTGGTCCAACGAAATGTAGTCGACAGTCTCACCAAATCTCTGGCCCGAGCTGGTCGTTTCAGTGTTCAAAGTCGGAGCTGTACGAGTGGATTTTGGGGCACGTCCAGACTGTGCATACAAGACATCTTCGTCAGGATCGACATTAGACTTTCGTTTTCCTGCCATGTTTCTCTAGCTTCATCGAACACAGGCGATGCACGTTTTGGATGAAGATGGGGGTATTGTGGGATGTTGGAGAAGTAGAATTGTACCCAGGGGGTATATGTTTTTTGTCAATAATCTCCTCTCAAATTTAGACTGTCAACGACATAGGGGACCATAAATGGACAGGTAATTATGTAGGAATTGTTCACTTCAGGGCTGTCACATTACGCCATATGCAGGCCAATTGGGTTTAGCGCCAAACGCGTCGAAACACGGTTCCACGTGATAGCACCCAATCACGTGGCAAGAGTCACGTGAGAAGATCCGCTAAGTGGGACGTCTAACATAGGGCAAGCCCCACTTTTTGGCCTTCAAGATCGTTGATAGGGGTGTGAGAACAGCCAAGTTGAGTGTCGAATATATTTATATCTGTTTCAAGCCCTCACACCCCCGGATTTTATCCGCTCTAGAGTTGTTGGGAGGTTTCCACGCATTGGCAGCCATCTTCTCCTATTTCTTTTGTTACAAAAGTCAGCTCTATGGATCAGATTTCCTCGAGCTAGGAAGGAGAGACGAAGAAGGTAAAAGTCGCTGATATTCAATATATGGAAAGCAGGGTATTCAGGGACCGACTATATGCACACCCTTTAGCGTGGTTTTTGGCTAACTGCACACATTTAGTCCTTTTCGGGTATGAGGCTCTTTGGCACAGGGATTATTTGATTGACCAGTGAATAAATCAGCCAACTTTATTCTAGCTATAGTCATTCCCAGGTCATTTGATCAATCTGTAGATGAGGATCGTTAGGAAGAATGTGGCGTCAATATATTACCGAGTACCATGAGTAGGGGATCAAAAGACCATTCGCATCTTAAGCTTGTCTTTCTCGATGATCTCATCTTTCTTCTTCATGAGCTCCTCCATATCCCATGGACAGCTCACGTATCTCCCGCCTAGCCACTCCCTGCGCTCAGCAGCCAGCCATGCAATTGTATCACCAGCTATATCCGGACGATCAGGCAATGCATCCCGCACCGTCCCTGGCAAAATGCCCTCGGTTATCCTTGTTTTGATTGCGCCTGGATTCACACAAAATGTCAACAGACCCTTATCGCCATATTCTAACTGCAAGGACTCGGTCCATCTCAATATCGCGAATTTTGAACTTCGGTAGCTTCCGCCCCCCGATCGAGCGGTCAATGCGCCTGAAGAGGACACATTGATCATTATACATGGGCCGTTGGTGCCAGCACGGGTTGAGAGTTGCATGGGGAGGAATGTGCGCGCCACGTTGAATAGTCCGTGAACGTTGACTTCCCACGTTCGCCAATACACATCTGGGTCTGAATCGAGGATTGGACCGTAAGGTTCCATATGGGCCGCGTTGTTTACGACAATATCAAGGCGCCCACCAAAGCTCTGTGACACTGCGTCATGCATTGCTTGAACGCTGTCTTGCCTTGCGATATCAACCATACAGCTTAGTACTACCGGCTCGGGGCGACCGGCTTGTGCTGCAGCCAACTTCAATTTCGCCACAAGATCGTCTGGCATGGCATAAAGGTCAGCTACAGCTATCGCAGATGCACCTGCACGCGCAAAAGCCGTAGCTGTAGCATATCCTACTCCTTCTTCCCAAGCGGTGCCAGTGACCAGGACATGTTTGCCGGCTAAATCTAACTTTAGTGGCGAAATATAGTCGTAGGTCGTAGAATGATGCGTGGCCGTAAAATAGCCCCCAGAAAGCTCTTTGCTAGACATTGTTGACTTGCTGTAGCACGCGAAGACGGCAGGCTGAGGCCAGACCTTTTTGTGTACGGATGAAAGTTGTGGTAAGATAATAGTTAATTGATCCCAAATGGCTGTTTCCCCTGAGGTTGCGCTTTCGAAAGATGAATGCGGGGCCCGGGGGCAAAGAGGAAATGAGCCCTGCAGCCTGGACAGATGGCTGTTACATAAGAACACGTACATTCGCACCCGGTGGGGCCTCTGTTGACCAGTTAACCTGTTTGGCTCCATCGCTATGATCAGTAAACAGAATATTAGATCCCAAATCAGGTCTTTGTTATGGACAGAGTTCGGCTCCACTCACATCACAAAATAACTTGGGCCTGATCATCGAGCTACTCTCAGAGGGCCATTACTGGAATTGAGAGCCCATTGGGCTTTCCCCCGGGCCCATAGCCCACCAGTGGGCCCAAGGATAGGGCCCAAAGCCCAACCAATTAGTGGGTTGGGTTGGGCTTTGGGCTTTTTTGGGCTTTGCGGAGGTCTATGTTGTACGCAGTCTGGCCCTGCAGCAATCGCAATGCCTTTTGAAACCACTGTCCGGGTCGGGGCGTCCTTAAGAAAATGGCAGCTTATTCTCAAGGTGCCAAAGGTACTTGCAGGTCCATCCCGTTACTAGGGATTGTCGATGTTGGCATGGCTCTTGAGAAGAGTCATGACAAAGCTACTTATGAAGACTCTTGCTTCGAGCGAACTTGGGAACATTTCTCACAAAAGGTGAAGGTGATCATGAGATGAAAACTTCCGGGGTTTTAGAACAGTACCAATTGTGGGAGGGTCCGATTGGCACATCGAAGTTGCAGACCTGGCGACCAGATACCACAAGGCCGCTTATGTGGCAGACTGTTCTCGTCAAAGGTCGTTTGCATAAATCAAGCCTTTTTCAGCCTTTTATTTGCTGTCGACATATAAAACTGACAAGACGGAATGATATCTGAAAAGACCGCTGAAAAGAGATCAGTCTTCTGTTGATTTATTTCCTCGCGAAGATACTTGTGTCTATGGTCGTGGAAGTAAGGGGGTTGTAAAGTGACCTGAAGCATTACATGTGACTAGTCAATTCAAGGCACGTGATAATAATTTCTTTTTTTCTAAACAAACGTCACCGACATCTTCATTATGCATTGCCCAACGTGAACTCAGTCAAATCTTCAATTCATCCCGAAGATTATTCAAGGGTCTTGGTGAAAAGCGCTAACCGAGTCGGTGAATTTTGGCGTCTCCTTAAGTACCTTGTACTACCGAGGCACTACAGTGGCGCTCCCGTGTCCACATGGCTGATCCCCGCTCTTACAAGGATCTGGCCAAGAACTATGAGAGACAATTGGATACCCTGATAGAAGAGGGGACGTTTAAGCCTATTTTCCTATACCATGTTATCTTCCTCCACATTTTGCCTTTGATAGGTCTGGTCATTCCTCGCAGCAGGGGCGGACAATATGTTCGCAGGGGCATTTTTGTTCTCTGTATTGCAATTGCCATCGAGATATTCCAACACCGACGGGCAGTTATTGGAGGAAATGGCTATATGCTTGGCTTGATCACTGCGTGGTGGTTAGTATGGAATGCCACGCTGTTTGTCTTCACAGACCTTGAACATGATTTCAAGCGCATTGAACGGAAATCTGTTGATGTCAAGTCTCAAAATGACACCAAGCTTGAAACTAGTACTGCCAAAGAACAGGACAGCGACCTTTTTGTTTGGCGCTCATATCCTGAAAACTTTTGGCATCGTCTCGAATGGTCCGCTGGACTACTCTTCAATCTGAGAGGGCCAGAATGGAACTGGCGGGCTACCCATCTAGGCCCTCTTCCACGACCAATTCATGCCCAATTGAATTCAGGATTTGTGGGCAAAATCAACGCATGTGAACCCTCCGCATATCCCAGCGGAAAAGACCGCCTGAAGGCTGCGTTTCGGAAGTTCTTCATATCTTACCTGGTGCTGGACACCTTAAAAGTCATCATCCTGATGCCAGATCACTACTTTCAAGGGCTCACTCCAGCACATTCATCGTCACCATTCCCTTTCTTTTACTTCAAAAATATTACATTGCATCCTATTATATCCCACCTCTGCCGTCGTTTTTACAGCGGCATAAGTGTGTATTTTGCGATAGAGTTCGTGACATCACTCAACCCAATCATTTTCATGGGGCTATCTCTCGCATTCCCCAACGGGGCTAAGAACCTAACCGCCGCACCACTGGATGTTCCATGGCTGTATTTCGATTCATTCGGGCCATTCATCATCCCGGTCCTTGACGAGGGGCTAGCGGGCTGCTGGGGTCGTTGGTGGCATCAAATCTTCCGTTACGGATTTGTAGCTTCGGCACGTTGGATCTTATCCATACTTCCAGCCGGCTTAACTTCTCATGTGCAAGTCCGTCGTGTCACTTATGTGGTGGTTGCTTTCGGTCTTAGTGGCTTTGTGCATGCCTGTGGAAGTCATACCCAGATTGCAGATACATCTCCCGTATTCGGGACATTCTTATTCTTCGCTTTGCAGGGTGTTGGAATCATGGCAGAGCGGATTTTCAAGACATCGATCCTCCCTAAAACGTCCTTTGCTGGTGCGCCGAGATGGCTAAGACGAACGGCAAACTTTATCTTTGTGTTTTGTTGGTTGATGGCCTTAGGTGGTCTCGTTGCGGATGACTTTGCGAGGGGCGGCTTATGGCTGATGGAGCCTCTTCCAATTAGTCCTCTTCGTGCGTTGGGATTTGGACTGCCAGGCCAAGGTTGGTGGTGCTGGGATGACCCCTGGTTCCGGTACTGGAGTGATGGTACATACTGGGGAAGTGGCATACGGGTGTTGTAGAATTCATAGATCTAGAATTCCGGGCTACTTTCGGGGTCTTTTGGTCATTATCGCATGTCCATAAAATAAATCACATAATCGAATGTTTATAACCTATAATTACACAATGATGCCGATAATGACGCTGAAAATGACAGCTTCTGGTGCTAGAAACGGCCGCCTTTCAGTATCCTACACCAAGGTAAGCCTTGGCCCTTCGCTTATAGGTTTGGAAATACCGCCCTTCTCTATAGGCTGGTGTTAATAAAGCTACAAAGGCTCCATGGGGATTGACAAGGTCTACAACATAGTCTAGTCGTATACTACGTATAACGAAAAGCATCACCATCGACCAAGGCAACCAATAATAGCGAGAAAGGTTATAACCTAGGTAGTGATGAATACGCCATTCACTCCATATTCGGCATGTTTAGCCAACAAGGGCCCCGGAAACCCAAGGGACCTTACTCAAAACTTGCCGTTTTGGGCGTCGACACGAGATCCGAGATTATTGAAAATATAGTCCCCATGCTATTTCGCTTGCGCTAATAGCAGCGTCAATCAACCACTATCGTCCCTGGCTTCCAAGGTTCATCGCCACTTACCCCTTTCAGCCTCAGATATACCATATTGGGAATGGAAGCGAGATTAGTCTCGCCTTATCTTTGCTAAAGTTCCAAGTTTGCCCCTTTCCCCGCAAAACAAATCTTGGGACCCGCAAATCTTCTTCTTACATTGCACAGAATTGATAAATGTAGGATACTATCGTATATATAAGGAGGCTTGGTGCTGTCCTACATATGAAATCAAATTCATAAGATCCTAATTGTTCTCGCATTGGGAAATTTCATGATACCATCCAGAGAGAAAGGAGACATTCCTAACCTGTGAAATTCCTGGAGGTATCATCTATCGCTTAAGTCAATAGACCTATCTATATCTTTCTCTTGACGTGACTTCCACAACCTTCGAGCCTAAATAACCCACAACGACAACATGGCCAAGTCCGTTCCTCTTAACACAGAGAAGAAGATCACCGACGACCAGTCGATGACAGTAGAAGACTCCGACCCCATAGCTGGCACTATGGATGACCTTAACCTTGAACGTATGCCAAATCCACTTTATTCTGGCGGAATGGACTATTTTCCCTCTTTTATAATCAGCAGTGCACTGACATCACCTACTAGAGATGGGCTACGTGCCTCAGATGAAACGAGAGTTTAGTCTGATACAATTGATCGGAAGTGCATATACTCTGACCAACTCATGGCTGGGGGTAGCTGGAGCATTTACCACTGGAATCACCGCAGCGGGCTCTGCCGGAATCATTTACGGTCTGATCCTGATGTTTATCCTCAACATCTTCGTCGGAATTTCGTTGAGTGAATTAATCAGCGCGATGCCCAATTCAGGAGGGCAATACTATTGGACAATGAGACTTGCACCGCGGAAATATGCCCGGTCTTTTGCCTATATTACAGGTGTGTGCAATTTATTTGCCGCCTATTGTACGACAGCTAGTACATCAATCGCTATCAGTATGCTTATCTTTGGATCTGTTAAACTGGCTGTACCGACCTTGTGAGTTTGAACTTCTTTCTTTTTCCCACAAAGTCCAATACCCTCGCACTCCGTAACTATGGTCTAACAAATTGACCAGTGTACTTTCTGCGTGGCGTGTTTATCTTGGAGCTGTTGCTCTCAACCTTACCGCCGGCCTGGTGAATATATGGGAGAAGGCTGTTACCAAGAGCGTTCTTGTAGGACTTTACGTCAGTATTCTGAGCTGTGTTCTCATCACGATTGTCCTTCCAGCAACTGCAGTTGGTCACACTGATGCCAAATTCATATTCGGCACCTTAAATCGAAGCAATGGCTGGTCTTCCGACGGCATGGCATTTATTGTGGGGTTAATTAACGCTAATTACTCATTCGCTGTCCTTGATAGTGCGGCACATCTCGCAGAGGAAACGCCAGATCCTGCACGAAATGTGCCCAAGGCAATCATGATGACAGTCATTATAGGATTTTTGACTGCCTTTCCATTTGCATGTGTCTTAATGTACTGCCTAACCGACTTTGAGAGTGTCGTCAGTACTCCGACAGGTGTTCCCATTCTTCAGCTTTTCTACGTTGCGTATGGGTACCGCCAGTCAGCGGCATTAGCAACCATGGCGTTTGTGACCATCTCTTATGTCTGTTCTCTCTTTCCACAACATGCCTATCAAGCTCGAATGTGCTGGGCTTTCTCTCGGGATAATGGGATGCCCTTTTCAAAATACTGGTCGCATATTGATCCTTCAACACACGTTCCACTCCGAGCTCACCTACTTTCTGTGAGCCTAGTGTTTGCTATTGGGCTCATTTACATTGCATCTAGTACTGCTTTCAATAGGTAAGGGGTTGAAACGCTTCTGTTTGATTTTAGAACTAACTGATTCAATAGTCTGATAACTGGCGTCATTGTATTCCCATACCTGACGTATCTGGCCCCAATGATCTGCTCAATCTGGAGAGGAGAAAATCAACCTCGTGGACCTTTCAATCTTGGAACCATAGGCCTGATTTCCAAAGTGATAACGGTGGTCTTCTGCCTTTTCACGGTCATGATGTATTCGTTCCCATTCGTGATGCCCGTCACCCCATCAAGTATGTTTTCCACTTATGTCTTGCAAGCATACTAAACTGACTCTCTTTCAAGACATGAATTATATCACAGTTATCTATGGTATAGCTCTAGGATATGGATTGATTGATTGGTTCTCGCGAGCGCGACACCAGTTCAAAGTCCACAAGGATGGGCCTGTGTCGAACGAGTTAGGTGAAACCTCGAATTAGTTTGAATGTGAATGCTCAATTTTTGTCTTCTTGAAATTTGATTAGGTCTGATGCACAATATGGGAAGGGCATCCAAGCAAAGAACAAAGTCCTATTTTGTAAATGACCTCGCAGTTTGCAAATATATTCCAGAGGACACACCAAGTTAAATCACGGAGCGTCTTTTGGTACACTTAATTATAAAAATATATCAACACAGTATTATATCCATAATTGACGGCATCTAATTTTACCAAGAGATATCTTCCGCCAATAGGCTGCGATTCTGGCAAGAAAATACTATCACGAGGCCAGCCTGCATACGCGTGCGTACTTCAGGGACTTTACCCTAATTGTCGGCCTCTTGCATCAGAAATACCTCGAAAGGTTGTAGATTTCATGAATGCGCCATGGTGGTTTGCCAGAACTTGCATTGATTTAGATATACAAGAATAATTTTCTTTTTTTACATGAGACACCGTGATTATTCTTCTTCAACCCTTTTGATGATTCAAATTGTTTACACACTGAGCCAACAGTTCGATATTTCGAGTTCATTCATATATACAAAAGTAGGTTCTCCAGCTTCTCCATTCAACAAACGAAAGCTCATAGCTTACTAGGAATAGGTGTTTCTCCAGGCTTCGGGACTTCAGTCAGATATTCCTGTACATATTTCGCCACCTGCTGGCCAAGGCCAAAGCTGAAGGTGTAACCACCAGCTTCCTGTCCATATGCATGTATAACCTTCTGTCCATGGAGCACTTGCTTCTCAACTCGAACACCACCGTTTTGGCGCTCGATAATGGGGAACACACCCACATGGTCCGTAATAATGTCGTAGTCGGCGGGGTTGGATGAAGGGAACACATCTGGCTGGTTATTGTGCTGGCGCTTCAGAATCTAAAATTTCATATGTAAGTATGTGACCTCCGACCATAATCAAAAAGGCAAAACTAACCTCTTTGCGCTGGTCTTCATAAGAAGCGAAATCCGTGTCACCAAGGGTTTTAATTCCACCCATATAGATCGTGCCATCTCCACGTGCGAATGCCGTAGAATAGTATCCATCTGGGCCACGACGGATATAGCATCGGTTGTATCCATCCTTGCGGAGCCTGATGTTCTGTTGTCGCACGGGAGTGATGCGCGTCTCCTCAACATCAAGCAGCTTCATAGCACCGAACCCAGTGGCGTTGATCAGAACGTCGTGTCCCATACCTCTCAAATCCCGCAAGGACTTGACATAGGTACGCTGGAACTTCACGCCCTGCTTCTCTAGGTGCTGTCGGAACCAGGGAAGGAATGTAGGAGGTGTAATGACGAGAGTCTGGAAGACCATGCCGAATTTGGCGCCTTTCGGAAGTTCCGAGGAAGGCAGGAAGCGGAAGCCAGGAACTTTCCCTTGATACCATACTTTCGCTGGATCTCCGTTGTCCATGATCTCGGTCATTTCAATCTGCCGGATGCCAGATTCGGGGTATCGCTCTGCAATTCGCCAGAGCTCCGCAAAGGAGTTCAACTGCATCTCCTGCTCCCATGGAGTTGAATCGTGAACGCCTAACCAGATAGCACCGGCCCACTGACTGACATAACGCTGGTCCAACGCATCGCCGGGCAAGAAGTCACCTAGGATTGTAATCTCAGCATTTTTGGGTAATTGACTTGCAATTCCCATGCCGGTAATTCTATTATATTAATTAGCATGCTTTCAGTTATAACGAGGCAGTAGATCATACCCAGCGCCCAAGATTGTTATTTTCGACATTTTGGTAAGGTCGTGTTGTCTGGAGAGAATCAAGTATTCGTGAGTTAGAAATGGTCTCGTCAGGTTCTAGGCTGGCTTTTATCAGAGAGGAGTTGCGCCTTAGATCGTGCAGTAGACCTTAGTAAATAGGGAAAGAGACCCACATAAGGTGGACGCTCTCCGGATTACGGAGTAATACCTACAGTATTACCAATTCCCTAGAGCGTTCTGATTATCTTTTCCGAAGCAAGAATCAGGTGGTGCTAAACGAAATGGGGATAGCTTTACTTTCAGCTACGGTTATTTTATTCTCGCGGTAGGTGGGTTGAGACGCCGGCGCGAGCGGGGATACGAGTGCCTCTTTCGTACCTATATTGCTTACCCTATTGGGAATATACGCGGGCTGAGTGGATCTACTGTTTGATATTGGTTCCCGCGGCGTATCCCTCGGCAAATGTCCTATTCGGGGTGTAGGTAGAATGATTGCTTACTGTATTTGTTAGGAATGTGTCTTTACTAACATTCATCTGGACGGCTGATTCAATGAGTACATCAGCAAGCAGAATAACAAATAGGCTTAATGGGCTCAGCGTGCAGCATAGGTAGTTGTTCATTTCCTAATTTGATTTCAAAGCGAAGTAGGAAAATGGGGCCCGGGTCAATTAGATTGGTGCTAAGGAAGCCTGCGGAGTAGTTATATTCCTTTGGTTTACATTGATATAATAGAACATTGCTCCTCGGAAATATAATTCATTCTAACAACTATTGACCCATCTTTACACAGTACCGGATTACCCCGAACTCCATACTATTGAATCCTTGCTAATGAGCAAAGAACTTCCCAGGATAGCCAGAAATCAATATTTGCATCATGCCCTGCGGTCAAGGAAACGATACCGGTTCTTCAGAACCCAATACCGTCCCCTACGGCTCTTGGGAATCTTTCCCCGAGCAACCATTTCCCATGTATGCAGGAACAAAGTCGATCATCTACAGGTCCGCCGATGGGAAAGTGGTCGTGGGAATGTTGCGTGAGAAGGGGAAAGACACACTAGTATGGCCTGTTGATGAATTCCTTTTTGTCACTCAAGGAACAATCCATATCGAAGTGCACGGCGGCGAGTCATTTACACTCGGCAAGGGTGACTTGATGGTGATGAAAAAGGGTCAGACAATCACGTTTGACTGTAGCGAAGACTTTGCAAATGTTGCGGTCTTCATGGACCTGGAGGACAAGGTCACGCTGGTATGAGCCGTAGACCAATATCTCTAGTAATCAAGCGAAGACTCCTTTATGTGTCCATATATTGCCCATTTTGCGTAACCTTCGAGGGTTCGAACCGACCTTCTCCGAGGCAGTATCTTGTAAGAAGTTTACCTAGCCAATTCGCAGACGCCACTGCTTGGCTAGCATAAGATCTAGCCAGGTCATTTCTACCCCAGAGTCGTGTAAATTCCATAGCTCTTGGAGCAGTTCGATTACCCAGAGCGTTGGTGGGATGCGGTTCGTAGAGTAGACAGCCTGAAGCTGCTCTATCACCCGCTCACGCAGCTCAGTGTCGGTCGATTCTAGTTCGGCACCAGCACTCAGCAATGGGAGTGTGTGCAAATTTATATACGGCGAGTTAATCGGTGTTATGAACAACATTTCCAGAGTCCGCAACGCCAGCGTTCGGATGGGACACTTGCTACCCGCTTCTTCGCTGTCCGTATTAACCTCCAATGCAAAATGGACTGTCCGGCCACATAGACGATAAAGCATGAGAAGGCCGTGGTTGCGGAAGGCCTCGGCCAGTAAGTATGCAATTGGGTTCTCTTCAGCCGAAGTGTAGGAGTTCAGTTCGGCCTCGAAAGTTGTCTCGCGTACGAAGTCCCGCGGCATACCGTCGGTAATTGAGCGACAATATCGACCCAGTTGCCCGAGCAAAAAGTAAAGATCAATGGAGTGAGATGTGATGGTGTGAAAGCGCGAGCGTGCGGTTGTAACATACGCAGCCAGTCGACTACGAGAGTCTTGGGGGTGATCTGATACGTCTAGGCAAAAGGAACAGGCCATATCCCAATAAACATAGAAACCCATTGAGAGATGCACCAAATCATCGTCCATTGTGGCCTGTTGCTCTAAGGTCATGTCGACAGAAGCCTGGGCGGCTAGTAGGTGTTCCCGCCCATAGTCGGTGGGCTGAGTAGTGATCCAGGAGGACGACATACCCAACATGAGGATGATGAGGAAACAGAGAGGCGAGCCTGCATTTTGGGACTGCAGTTCCTGGCGAAGACTTCGTAAAGCCTTGCTCCGTTCCTCTAGACTCACAGTCATTTGAGAGGGCTGGAAGTGTTGTTCATGAGCGGCGCTCACGCACTGGATAATGTAGACCAGCGAACTCGACGCAGACAAGTACTTGACAATGGGAAAGGACATCGGATTTCGGTCCCGGTCAAGACTCATAATTTGAGACATGCGCTCAAACCAGTACTGAAGCAGGCGCAAGTTCATATGTGCATCAGAGTTGATTGGCTGTGTAATCTGCGACAGGGGGTCCGCTGTCCCTAGGCACCAGACCTCCGGCTGCCATTGAGAGGCCGGAAGGACGGGTTGGCAGATGGAGCCTCGGCGACGACATCGTAAACAAACTGGAAAGGTCTCGTCGCACTTCACACGCCTTTGGCGGCAGCCTCGACAACCCGATCGAGTGCGAGTATGAGTTGGCTTGGACTCAGTTTTATCCGGTGAGGCTGTGCTTGTCCCATTCTGGTCCGGGTGATAGGTGCGCTGGGGCGCGAAGCGCACTCGGAAAGAAGGCATCAGGACGATCTGTGGAAGAAAGAGCCTGGAAGCAAGAGCAAATAGACAACACAGAAACAGGAGCAAAATGTTAAGGTGAAAAAAGTCCAAGGAGATAACAAGGAGGTCTGGGGCCGAATACGGCGTTTGTCATATCTTGCCCTAAAGGGGTTTAGATAAGATAGCCCCGCATACGCGGGGGAGATTGTGACCTTGGAAATAATTAAAGAAAATATCTACGGAGTATAGATTCTAGTCCGAGTACCGAGACTCGGGGAGATATCAGAACCCACTTGTTGGGGTCGATGCTTACTCCATAGATACCTAGATAGATCAGCCATTGGGAAAAAAACGGAGTGCGGGGTTGCGCGCGCATACCAATCTCAGACATTACCCGAACGTTTATCTACCCAACTAACTTTCTCCGGCTATCCTAGCGCCCTTTACGCGATCTGCATGTCACGTATTGTTTGACAATACATGAGAAGTCAAATTCCTGGGGAAGTGGAATAGCCTTCTATGGAGTATGTGCTCGTGTTCCCCCCTATACGATTTTATATATACAAAATGTCACCCTCTTTCTAAAAGTCTTGTCACATACTTGACTAATTCATTCACCTTCACTTCTGTTACTATCAACTCCTGCGAATTACTGTCAAAGAGGCATTCTGATGGGACAATTACCAAATTCCAATTGCACCATGTCCCAAAAGATGGAAAACAAGGAGGAAGAGAAAGATACACAGGTCGATGACTTTTCCACCGGGGATTCCTTCGATATGCAGCGTTAGTACCACATTTACCTAGAACTTGACATTGTTCTGATGAATCTGGACTCCATTGTACAGATATTGGCAGCAGTCGAGGTCGACGGAAGTTCAGTTCCTTGCAACTGATTGGGTCAGCGTACACGGTCACCAATTCCTGGTTAGGAGTAGCCGGTGCTTTCACAACAGGAATCACAGCTGCAGGATCGGCTAGTATAATCTACGGCCTATTGCTGATGTTTACGATCAACCTGTTCGTTGGCATTGCCCTCAGTGAGTTGATCAGTGCAATGCCAAATTCTGGTGGTCAATACTATTGGGTAATGCGCTTGGCTCCTAAGCGATATGCACGCGGTTTCTCTTATATGACTGGCATTTGCAATCTCTGTGCCGCCTACTGTGTCACCACGAGCTCTTCAATTGCCGTGAGTTCCTGGATCTTTGGTAGTGCGAAGCTTGCATACCCTGACCTGTACGTACAGCGCTTTTGCCGCTACCGTTTTCAAGCGGCGGCTAACACCGTCTATTCACAGTGCTGTGAATGCATGGCGAATCTATTTAGGAGCAATGGGGTTGAATATAATAGCGGCTATCGTCAACCTCTGGCAGCATGTGGTCTCGCGTAGCGTTTCAATTGGTCTGTGGCTTAGCTTGTTTGCTTGCATATCTCTTACGATTGCATTACCTACAGCTTCGCGCGAAAAGACTGAGTTAAAGTTCATCTTTGCCTCGCTGCAGAACAATAGTGGCTGGTCATCTGATACTATGGCCTTCATAGTTGGCTTGATCAATCCCAACTTTGCCTTTGCTGCTCTTGACAGTGCTACTCACCTGGCTGAAGAGACTCCTGACCCAGCACGGAACGTCCCAAAGGCGATTATATTTACAGTGGTGATTGGATTTCTTACTAGTTTTCCTTTCGCTTGCATGTTGATGTACACTCTCACGGATCTCACCGCTGTTATTAACACACCAACCGGAGTGCCACTTCTAGAGCTTTTTCGCATTGCCTTTCAAAGCGACTCCGCCGCTCTCGCCACTATCTCTGTCGTCGCAGTGACCTATTTCTTCTCACTCCTCCCCCAGCAAGCTTATCAATCTCGTCTTTGTTGGGCACTCTCCCGCGACCATGGACTTCCTTTCTCACGTTACTGGTCTCAAATCCACCCCACTTCACATGTACCACTCCATGCGCATCTGGTTTCTGTTTGTATTATCTTCATACTTGGCTTGCTATATATCGTCTCCACAACCGCGTTTAGCAGGTAGTATCTCGTTTACTTTCGGTATTGGTATGCCTAGCTAACTGGTTTACCTAGTCTCATTACCGGTGTTATCACATTCTCTTACTTGACATATCTGGCACCCTGCATCTTTTCCCTTCTACGCGGTGAAGAGCAACCCAGAGGACCGTTCAATGTTGGGTGGCTTGGAAATTTAGCGAAGATAATCACCGTGATCTGGTGCTTGTTTGCGATTATCATGTACTCGTTCCCTTATCAGTTGCCGGTGACTACGTCCAGTGAGTATTCCAGAGTCCCTAGCCTTTTACAAGCTACTTTGTTAACGCTGATAATTCTCAGATATGAACTATATCACTGCGATCTACGGCGTTGTGCTCATATTTGGAATAATGGATTGGCTGTTTCGCGCACGCTTCGAATTTGCCTTTGATTCCGGTGGTGTCGACCACACTCGGTGAAGGGTCTGCTGACTTGTGGTATAAATCGGCTTAGACGTCGAGGGTGTGATTCTTGACCAATAGATGGGCCCCAAAAGATAGATATATTATCTAAATTAAAATTAGCATTAATTTGATTTTTTGAGTTGCGAATATGTAGTTACCTACCTAGGTACTCATTTCTTTTTCCTAAAAGGGTGGTAACGAAGGAAACCTTGGAAAGGTACTCCGTATGGAGCACATCGGTAAATATGATTGGTGTTTGGAATGTGGGGAACATTACAAGGTTTGATTTGCACAGGGGTCGTGGAGTGGCAGAAAGAAGGGCGGTAAGGCACGTGAAATACAAGTATTATTGATACATGTATTGACAGGTCGAAGTAGCCTCTCCAGATATCCCAAGGTCCAGCGTGTTTTCTGCTGGGAAAAATGTTATTGCAGGAGAACTCGGAAGACTGCCTAGAAGTGGAGAGCGAGCCCAGAGCCAATCAAAACATTACACCAATAATACCAATAATACCAATAATACCATGAAAGGTCCAGAACGGCCAGATTGGCCTATGGCGTGTGGATGCGCGCTTGAGCTTCGGATCCCACATGGGTCCTCTCGCCAAATCGCTCAATCGGGTAAGAAGCAACCAGAGACAGTCCACCACCCCAGATATGGTTTGGTATGGATAAAAAAAAAGAAATTGGAGAACTTCAACGTTTTGTTCAATGGCATGATACTTTGCTGTTTGACTTCACAAATTACTTAAACCCTTACCCCCGATTTCAAACCTTCAATCTGGCAACCATTGTTCATCGCTCTTTAGTTCTCGAAGGAGCTCTCTCTCTCACTCTCATTATGAATTCTTCCACCCTACCCACGATCGTGGAGGATCTACCTACCAGCAGACGTCAATTTGACTATATCATTGTTGGCGGAGGCACGGCTGGGTGTGTCATTGCCGACAGACTCGCCGAGAGCTTGCCCAATGCCACCATTCTCATGATTGAAGGAGGCGAAAGCGAGCTGGGAAAGGAGGAAATTCTCAACCTCAATGGCGCGGCTGATCTTTGGGGTTCCGAAGAGTACGATTATGGATACCGTTCTGTTCCACAGCCCTATGGTACGAATAATCCCCCAACATGAATGGAGAAAAATGTCAACTGGTGAGTAACACGCTTGAGCAACTATAGGAAACAGCAGTATCATCCATTCCCGCGCGAAGATGTTGGGTGGTTGTTCTAGCCACAATGGCGCGATCTCATTTGCTCCACTAGCATATGATTGCAAGAGATGGCAAGATATGGGTGCGGAGGGCTGGACACATGCAGAAATGTTGCGTCTGGTGCGCAAGCTCCGCAACAATATCATTCCGGTCGATGAACGCCATCGCAGTCAGGTAGTCAAGGACTGGTTGAAAACTTGCTCCGAATTGTTTGGGGTGCCCCACATCGAGGATTTCAACCGTGAGATAGAAGAGCGCGGCAATCTCACCGAGGGATGTGGTTTTCTCAGTATCGCCTACACACCGGAGAATAATCACCGGAGCAGCGCGAGCGTCGCTTACATCCACCCAATTCTTCGCGGCGAGATCAAGCGGCCAAACCTGACCATCCTACAGAACACATGGGTTTCGCGAATCCTGTTCCAAGGAACCACTGCTACAGGCGTTATCGCAACAACCAAAGCTGGACATGAGTACTCGCTCGTGGCAAGATCTGAAATCGTGCTGTGTGCCGGGGCTATCGATACTCCACGTCTGATGCTGCTTTCTGGCCTTGGCCCGCGTCAACAGTTGGCCGCCCATCAAATACCCCTTGTCCACGATATACCCGGTGTTGGAGAGAACCTGCAAGACCATGCCGAGACAATGTATATGTGGGAGTTGAAGGAGGCTGTCCCTCCCGAGCAGATCGCCATGGGCGCCGAAGGCGTCATGGTGTTACGTCGTGAGGAGAGGAACGCTCGCGGTGATGATAACAGCATTATGGACACTCTCTTCCACATGTTCACCGTTCCCTTTGACACCTATACCAAGCCTATGGGTTATGACACTCCCAAGAACGCCTTCTGCATCATTCCGTATACCCCTCGACCTGCCTCGGTTGGCCGTCTATGGCTGAAGTCGGCCAATCCCAAAGATAAACCGATCCTTGACCAGCGCTATTTCAGTGATCAGGAGGGATATGACAAGGCTAGCAACCTTTTCATGCTAAAGGTGGCGCGCCGTATGGCCGAGGCCGAACCCTTCAAAAAGTATATCAAACGTGAAATTGCCCCTGGAGCTCACATTGTCTCCGACGAGGACCTTTGTGAATACGGTCGGAAGGTCCACAATACCGTCTACCACCCATGTGGCACTGCAAAGATGGGAAATGTTGAGACCGATCGCATGGCGGTTGTTGATCCGTCTCTTAAGGTTAGGGGAGTCAAACATCTTCGCGTTGCGGATGCCAGTGTATTCCCTTGCATGACTTCGATCAATCCTATGGTCACTGTCTTGGCGATTGGTGAACGAGCTGCAGAGCTCATCATCAAGGACGCTTGCCGAGCAGAGCGAGCAGTGCTCTGATTACTGTCCCGATTGGCACTTGTTCCATTTTATTGTGTACATATATGTGTTCAACCAAATTTTTTTTAGCCAGCTTCGACTTTGTGATAGATACATCCAGCAAGCGAAAATTAATCCCCACTATCTATGTCTGGCCAATTCATTTAGTTGTCCTTCTACAGTAGCATTATTACAACTTGAATATGAGGACCTGTGGGTTTGACGCCGAAAATGACCGCTTTTGTATCGGGGCAACGTATTCAAAGGAAACGATATACCAACGCAAGCTTAATTTCAAATTACTTTCCAATAAGTCAAATCTATCATTCGAGAATTCGATACTAATTTTATGAAATAGAACAGGCAAGCAGATATCCCTCATTCGGCGGCTAACGAGTGAAAGCTATTTAATTTGTTAACTATTAAGACAATTAATGACACCGAAGAGGATTTCGGTAGACAGCAGCTCCATTCTGATTAGTCAATAGACTCAACAGTTCCAGAATCTCTCTAGAGGGTAATACCAGAGGATACAAAAGAGCCGGGTTCTACGCCTTTATATAGGTAAGGCTAGATACGTCGAGTCAATAATTGGCTTTCAAGGAGATGACTAAATATACTATTCTCAATCGCAACAACGAAACTAAAATAGATACTATATACATCCACGAGAGCTAGGAATGGTAAACACTTGACTAAATTTCAAATCATCCGGCGCAGCAACCGGGTCCTCTTCTTAGACGTTTCCGATATTATTTTCTTGGATACTCGTGTTTTGGTAACCCCTACCTTGGGGTGCTTTGAGGCCCCTAAAGATCCAGAAACAGCGTCTCCTAGCCTGTATAGTTCGCTGTCCAAGCTAGACACATATCGAGTGACGCGAAGCCAATTATATAATAAATCTGTAGAATCATGTCCAAACAGGTCCTAGGCCTAGAGATGTAGGTCCGTAGTTGAGAAGCTGTGGCCACAAGGCCGTTGGTCCTAGGTCCCGTGATCTACTACAGTTGACCTAAGGCCAAGTACTGACGGCCGTACTCCCACTGCTGCCCATGTACCTTATTCTTTTACTTCCCTCTCTTCCTGCCACTTCGCATTGTTAAACATAACGGTAACTTTCATTTCCAAAAGTTCCAATATGGCAGGCTCGCTTGATCTGCTCTCTGTAGCTAGCCGCCTTCGCCTAGGAGTCCCATGCTCACTTGCTGACGAGCATCCTTGCCACGGCGGCTCACACCGCGTATTTGAAGTTATCTTTGAAGACTCCGTACGATAGGCTGCCCAAGTCAATACCGATTCCAATAATTGTAAAAACGAACTGCGAGCCGTTAGACAATTCCAGCATGTTAAACAGCAATGCGCAGAGATCAAAGCGCCAAACCTTTTTATGGAAGCAGAACACCCAGTACTGTACTCAGAATGGGTCAGTGGCAAGCCGCTAGCGATCTGGAATTTTCAAATCCCTCTAGTTAAACATCAGAGGCTTCTAGATAACCTCGCAGAATTTCTGTTGCAACTATAGACTACTCCTGTTCCTTCCGCCCTTGTTACAGAGAAAAATTGTCTATACTCAGTCTAGCTCACGAAAAGCCTAGACCGAGGTCTTCGAGGAACCCTCAATAGCACTGCTAGATAGGGCAATACTATCGACTATCTAATCATACAGTCGATAATCCCAAATTATGCTACTAAGTTTAATAAATACACTAGCATCGGCTTTACTCATAGGGATCTAAATGCGCACAATATTATAAGAAGCGACGACTTTCACTTAACAGGGTAGGCGAAAAAAATCGCTTCTCTACTATATAACCTCGTTCTAACAGACGGAATCAAACATTAGGTCATTAACTGGGATTGGATATCTATAGCACCGCTACTAGCCATTATTCACCACCCTTGATTTATAGCCGACATTCCTGGATAGAATAATGATAGTGTGGCAGAAGGCGAAAGCTTCACAGAAGACCGTCTTTACCTTAAGGATTCTATCAAGAAGAAAGAGCTTCCACAGCACCTGTCACTTATAGTGTCAACGTTACTAAATAACTCTAGAAAGAGACTGTTTTTCCAGTCAGCCTTCCACTTTAAAGACGTCCATGAGAGTTCTGTCAAGACGCACTATCCACGGACAGAAAAGAACATCAGGGCTGCGAGGTCACAGTTAGATACTATACTTCGTTTGTATCCTAAGTTAGAAGATACAGAGTATATACAGAAAGTCAAGAACCTACTCGGGAGAAGCGACGAAAAATGACGCCGGTAAAAGGAAGACCCTCTTTCAAATTGAAATAGTTCCTACTAGGACTTGGAAATGCTTCTCAGATTTAGATATGATAAAATACTACATAAATTACCTGACCCTTCGGACTAAGCTAGCTCTTCTCTTACGCCTCTAAGCTTTATCAAAAAACCGATAGCATTTTCTACGTGTCCGCTAAAGATAGCCGCAGCTTCCTAAGTGTCATACACTAGTACAAAGTATATTCGCCCCGATCCCTTAGTGCTGAAAACCCGGAACGTATTATCCGAGCAAGTACATTTCGTCTAAGACACGAAGCAGTTCTAGCGCACTTGTAAGAATCGGGAATTGTAGGTTACTAAATACATTTCCCAGTTGAAGCCGCCAGCGACTCCTGCTGATAAAAATACGTTATAGGATATGTAAGCATAGATAGGGGACAAGTGAGGAACAAGTTGAAGTCTAGTCCTGCCATTTGAGTTGGGTGTATTTTTCCTTAGGGGTCGCCCGTAAGGTTAATTGGCTGGCCCCTCTAACCTGGCGCAGAATATTTGGATAGCTCACCCAAATCGTGGGGCCGCTTTGGAGACAGGCCCTAGTTGCCGAGGCCATTTAAAAAATCTGGACGTAGACAGGATAAGGAGGGCTCCCGTAGCAGCTATGATTATGAATTTTCTATTTACAGAGAACTTCTCGATCTCAGCCGAGAAACCTATGTCTTAATTCAAGAACCAACCTTCCCTATACCAATCCCTCCACGATGCCTACTTCCCTCAAGCCACTCAGGTAGAACATTGCTCACACGCCCCAAACAAGCAGCCTCAACACATTGACCCAGCCCCCCAAACCGAATCTCCCGACCAGTCAATCCCTTCCCATAATGAGCATACTTCGCCGAGTTGGTCATGATAATCCGCGCCTCCTTAGGAATAATAGGCTCCTGAATCATGCACCAGCAACTATCCGTGATGATCTGTGCTCCGAATTCCTCCACGGCGGCGATCAATCCATCCCTGCAGGCTTGGGCGTATATCTCCCGATTGCACGTAACAACCAGTGCAGTAGAGGGGCTCTTAGTGCGTTTTCTAGTCAGATTGGCAAGCTTCGATATCTCCTCGTATGAAAAATGAGGATTACCGAGTGAAACCAGATCAATCGGCGTGTACTCCTCGTTTCCACTGAGATTGAACAGATGCCACTGCCTGGCTAGATCAGAGCGTGTGACATGAACTTTCGGGATCCCTCGCAAATGCGCATCAACATCGACGGTTTCTCGCGCTTCAACCGTAATCCCAGCAATATGGAACATCGGCGCACTGGACGTAGTAGCAAATGCCGCCCCAAACGCTTTCAAATCAGAAGTCGTAGCCAGCATCTTCTCAAGACCAGTAACAATCGGAATCCGATCCGCAGCAATATCACCCACGATATATCCCAAAAGCGGATAAAAGGCATCATCAGACCCTTCAACAGCATCACAATGAATCCAAACACTCGCCATCCGATGCTTGCTAAGATGACAGCCGGTATTCAACGACCGACCCGTCAAAGCAACGCACACATCCAGAAAGTCAGGACATTTAATCGTTCGCGCACCGAGAACACTATTCGCATACACAACCGCATTCGACTCTGCCCACATAATATTGTCGCCGAGACTAGGCGCGCTTTCTAATTGATACGGCGCACATGTGAAGCTTGCTTTCGCGCCTAGGTCTATGTATGTCTGTGCGAGTTGTTCTGATGGTTCGGCGATGGCAGGGTCAATACCTTGGACGCGCCATAGGCGTCTGTCTATCGAGATTGAGTTTAGGGTAGTTGGGATGCGGACTTTTGCGCCCCATGAGCGCAGCGTTTGTGCAAATTTAAGAACGGCTGGCCCTGTGTAGATACAGCAGTCTATGTGTGCTTGTTTTATGTCAATTAGGGAGGTGATGTTTTGGAGGAGGGCTGTGCGAAGGATTACGCGCATTGCGAACTGAGGGGCTTTGCCGTGGGCTCCATTTAACATTTCGCGATCCAGGGGGGTTAATGTTATTGGCGAGAAGTCGGGTTCCTTTGGAAAGTTTTGCTGAATCGGTGGTAAATTGGAATCAGATATTGATTCGTTTACTGGTTGGATATGATCCCCCACAATTCGGATCTTTTTGAGGTGCGAAATCGTCTCGAATGAGGTATCAGAGACCTGGAGAACGGGAATGGTCTTCTGGAACATCTCTTGGGCAACGATGACACCAAGGGTCAGGATTAACTCCTCCCGCTTGAAGATGAGCGCACGGGGGTTGCTCCCGCTCATGAATAATTCGAGGATCACGGCGCTCCCTGAACATGATCCTCGTCCACCTGGTATTGCTACCACTTTGCCTTTTATACAGCTCCCTGCTAGGGGGTGGTGGCTGTCTATCACGATTCCGGTTAAGGGGCTCACTCCTCCCCAAAAGCTGAGGGCGATGTTGCTCGCGAGGACTTCTCCTTCTGCAAAGCCGAGGGAGGACAGCGGATGCCCGGAGAGGGCTTGATGATGCCTCTCCATTGGCAAGATGGGGGGGTAGCTTGAGTCAAGTGGAAGCATGAGATGGAATTGAGTTGGGTTTTCAATTTCTACTGGGATTTATTCACAAGATCCAAGATGTGTAGTTACACAAATGAGGGGTGAAAGAAACTTGATAGAGTCGGCTAACGGTCCCGACAACGGCAGGAGACTCCGGCTCCCCGCAGCCCCACGTTATCTCCTTTCCAATATAACTCTCCCTCCCCTACCCTCTGGTCACTACATTCCCAGTATCCTAACAGATGGAAATGGCACAAATATAGACAAAACAAAATTATTTTTGCCTGCATCGCCTGATCCCTTATTATGACATCATGTCCTAGCATTTTCAGCCCCCAAAATTCTAACTCAAGATGGTTAGATCCCTGAGACTGACCCCTCGGTGAGACAGACATCTCATGTCTGTAACTTTTGAGAATATTCACTCCGAAACTCTTCAAACCTGTTCTCAAGATTTCATACCTCAAACCTCCTACTCCAACATGGTCCACACCTTCTATGACGGAACCATCGTGGTGGCCGAACAAATCCTAGTCTCCCTGTCCCACTTTCTCCAACAAGCCGAGAAACGCCCCAATGCTACCGATCTGCTCAATGCACGTCTCTCTGAGGATATGTATCCAGTGACCGACCAAGTGCGCATCGCAACCCAATTCTCTGAAAACCTGGTCGCCCGACTGACCGGCCGGGAGCCGGTAACCACTGAAGGCAAACCCACCACATATGCTGAATGCTACGAGCGGATTGAGAAGGTGCAAAAAGCGCTCAAAGAGGCCGACAGGGATGTTGTCAACCAGCACGCTGATAAGCTTAAGCCCACCCAATTGGGCCCGGACCGGGTGGCGGAACTTAGCGGTGCTATCTATGCCCACACCATTCTCTTGCCGAATATTTACTTCCATCTCGTGACCACGTATGGAATTTTCCGGAAGGAGGGAGTGCCGCTGGGTAAGCTGGACTATTATGTCGGGTTCACTTCTCAACTACTCGCTTGAGGATATACTTAGTACAACTAGTTGTCCATGCAGTAACATTGAATTTGTTGAAATTTAACATGGTTACGGCATGTACCTAGTCTCGCGACACACAGATGATGGCTTGAAGCCGATTGGTACTGTATCGCTTATGAGGGGGATTCCGCCAGATTCGGGTTATCTTGCCCCGGATATCGGGTTTGCTGTGTTACCCGAAGAAGGGCGGAAGGGGTATGCGACCGAGGCGGCAAAGGGAATTTAACCGAATAGAGCCCTAATCAATTGAACTAGGGTGAGAATAGATTTGTTACAAGTTTCCATAGATTCCCATAACTTATCGATATGCGAATATGATAAGATGTATAGCGCAGGTATATGCATGGGAATCCGTAACCGAGAGACGGACAACGTACAGAAATCTGAAATGGCTTGTTTACGATACGTGCTTCACGCCTGACTGAAGCTTAGCTACAGAGTAGATATTGAGGTTATTTGAATGAACAATTAGTATTCAAGTTCTGCTTGTGCATGTGGCATCGCCCCGGAAGTCTTTTCGGATGACTACAGGCATATTCTAGCTACATGAGAGTGCACATCTGACGACCAGCAGGTGATGACTTCTCGAGCAATGAAGCGTCGACTTCCGCATTTGTAGAAACGTGAGCATCGTTTCTCTTGATAGCATCCTCCGTTAAAGATTTGACGCCTGCCACCGAGTCGTCACTAGTTCCTGCTGCATGAGACGTCTCTGAGTCGGGCAAGGTTACCACTGTCATAGAATCCATGCGCGTTTGAGCTTCCGAAACACCAGACCCATCTTGCACGCTGCTACACAACTGAGATGGTTTCTCTTCTATTGCTGGCTGTGGAGGTAAAATCCGTTTGTCACTACTGTCTGTCTGGACGGAGCGAGTAGACTCAGATGAGTAGCTTTGCGCCATGGGTATTCCACCACTATCAGACTCAGAATAGACAGAGTACGATCTTTCCCGCCTTGGTCGACCAAAATGGCTCGAGGGCTGGGGCGTCGGAATACCGGGACCTGGCCATTCTGCAAGCCTCTGCATCAAAACCTGGACGATTTCATCGGCCAGTTCCCGCAAAGGCGGAGGATAGAAATCTGATGTGGAGTCTCTTTCATCAATTTCACTATAGCTATCGTATGTTCTGTAAGAGTCTCGGCTCATTGTTGAACCACTCGAGGTATGTCTGCTGTCGGTGCGGCCACTGCTTTCAGTCTCCAAGCTGGTATATGAAAGATTCCCGGGTGGAGATGGCACATGTGGAGGGATCTTCGGCCGCAGGAATTCACTTTCTGACTCAGTGGTGGTGGAGTCATCAGTCATACGAGACCCAAATGGAGAGTCGCGTCTAGAGTGCTGGGATACCCGTGGGCTTCCAGGCAATTGTTCGTGTTGTTCCTCTGTAAATTGTTCTCTTGTTACCGTCTGATGCCTCAAAGCATGGCGGGTAAACTGACGCCGTGATCGTGGTCTTGTTGTAGTATGTGCCCCCGCCGACTGTTTTTGGCCTGCTGGTTCTTCTCCGGTCTTCTGCGTTCTCTCGACTGATGTGTCACTCATCTGCCTCCTATGCCTCTCCATGCCGTGGCTGATGCTCTTCTCAACCAATTTGTCAACGGCTTCATTTTCCAGCCCCAGGTCTCGCAACATCTTCCGCTTAGCTAAATCCGTAACCGCTTCCATCCTTTGTAGCATTTTCTCCATTACCCGACTCTCGAACTCCTCACTCTGTCTAGCCCTTGTCTCTCTCATATTCTCTTCGATCTCCCTCTCCCTTTTTATCTTAGTCCGTAGCTCGTCCTCGAGGCGTTTGGCCTGCACCGCAGCAAGTCGCTCTCGGTCAATTTCCGCACGTTGCTTGGCATGTAGCTCTTCCCTCGCTTTCTTTTCGGCCTCGACTTTGATCAATTCGGCCTTTATTTTAGCCTCTTCCTGTTCACGGTCTATGGCCTCGAGCCGCTTCAGGACATCCTCTTCGGTCTGCTTCCGAATTCGCGCCTCAAAATCCTTCTGCTCATCTGCCAGTTTAGTCTTATGTTCGATAGCCTTCATAATCTCGAGCTGGGCTTCAACTCTAATTTTGTCGACATCCAGAACGGTAGTATCCGGTGGTTCTCGAGGAGAATAAGGTGATTGAGGAGGAAGATAAGGAAGGTCCATGTGCGAGTATGGCCATATTGGGGGCTGAAAGGGCTGCTGATACTGCGCAAAAGGGTTATCGTAAGAATAGAAAGGACCAGGCTGTCCGTATTGCGGATTTTGATATTGCGGAGGATTCTGATATTGCGGAGGATTCTGATATTGCGGAGGATTTCGATAATAGTACGAGGGATTATGATATTGCGGGGAATTCTGAAGTTGCGGGGAATTCTGAATTTGCGGGGAATCCTGAAATGGCCGATCTTTTTGATTCGAATTTCTGTGTGGATAAGCTCGGCGCGCTGGCGATATCCGTGGACGATTTGATGGGCGTGGGTGCAAGTTGGGAACACTCGGTCTGACAGTAAACGGTTCCGGATAGTTCACGCGATGGGACGGGTACGCTGTACTGGATAGCCCTGGCAGTGGTTCATAGTCGTATCCTCGGGGCGGCTCAGCAACGTGGCGATAGTCATATTGAACGCGGCCTCTTGGCATCACAGGCATAGCATATTCTACGTGAGGTCTTGACGGTCTCGAGAGCCTGACCTGAGGCAAATTAGGCTTCACTTCGACCTGTTTAGGAGTCGCTTCTCTCGGCACAGATTGACCAACGGCTGATAGATCAGAATTCCGAGGACTAGAAGGTCCAGTCCGGTGCTTTGAAGGAGGCCATATAGAGTCCGTGCTATCGTCCGATTCCTCATTGATTGGGCTCCTGTGGGGGCTGGAATTCGAGCTTGTAACGTCTGACACCGCCGTTGCGGTGTAGTGCTGGGGTTTTTCGTGTCGCGTTGTATCGTGGGACATATCGACGTGAAGTGTTCGCGGGGACCGGGAATGACTTCTTTCTGGAATGATGATACTAGCAGGCGGATTAGAGCGGGGATATCAGGTTCTCACGAAGTTCTTAACAGAATAGTGCCAAACTATGCTTGATTCGTAAGGGGTATAGATCAAATTCCTTCCCTTTTTATCAACCTCTACCTTTCAATCTCAGGAATATTTTTTCAGGAATCGTGACCACCCGGCAAGAGCCTCAATATGGAGTTTCATGGTGAGTAAGAAGCGAGGCATAAGGGGTAGGTGGGTAACTCAGCTTTGGCTTTGATGGCTTAGCGAATGGCTAGTGTGCCTGGATGTGATTAATGCAGCTTCTTGCATAGCCTAGCGCCGACCTGGGCGTCAGCTGAAAAAGACAGCCACGGACTGTGTGCTCCAAATGCGGGGCATTAATTTCTCATCAACCCTTCAGTGTGGAATAAATAACCTGTGTTGCTGCGCGCTTGGCTTTCATGAACAATATCGTTAGATTTCAAACGACAAACTTTAGAAATGTCCTCACTAGACCAAGGCTTAGTGAGACCATTTATCACAGCAGATAACAAATCGTCTGGAAACCAGTTCATTGCTGATGGCCATGGCGACCAAAACGTGGCTTTTGGTAATAGCCATCAAACCAATGACTACAGCGATCGTCGTAATATCACGAGTAGGTTGAGCCTTTTATCCCCCTATTTTGCATCTGTCAGTTTGCTTCAATTAGTTGCTAACAATCAGCATAGTCGTGACCTCCGATTTAGGCATGCCATCGATATGGCAATCAGTCAACGGAACAAGTCAACCAACCCGTATGATGATAAATCTTGGTAGTAAAGAGCGCTGCGACTGTCTCTGTTCTAACTATTGTCCAAGGGTCTGCCATAGTTGACTGGTTCATGCGTTCGCTAGGCCAAAGTCTCCCAGATGCTCACCACCGTCACAGTGAGCTATACAGCCAAGTGACACCCGGCACGGGTGAATGGGTTCTAGAAAGTGACCAATTTCAGACGTGGGAGGATCCATCAAACTCAACATGCATTCTACTAATGCATGGAATATGTAATTGACCGCCCTTTTCATGTTTCTCGCACTAGCTGACGAGTATATCATTCGAAGTGGGAGCTGGAAAATCAGTGCTTGTGTACGCAACCTCCGTCTCAAAACAATGGCAACGTGTGAGAATTCGCATCTTATAGCTAAGCCCTTTTAGGTCTATTATTATAAAATCGATCCAAAGGAAAATCAATTCCCAGCCTAACATTGCCTGTATCTACTTCCACTTCAAAGATGGAGATGACACTTTATCACCGGCACATCTCTGGGCGACCTTATTGGAGCAGCTCTTGCCGCGTGATGGCCAGGGATCCATTGCACCAAGGCTAAAGTCAAAGTTCAGGGATTCGTTTCAGGGCTCGAGACTTCTTTCTTCCAGTGAGTATTGGGACATATTCAAAGCTCAGGCAGATATGTTCAAGACAGTCTATTTAATACTTGACGCCCCCGACAGCTACCTCGGCGACAACGTGCAAGCTTGGCAGGGCATGTGGGATGCCCTGGCGAAGCTACCATCCAATATCAAGCTTCTTTTTACCTCTAGGCTTAGCTCGCCGACCCGCAGGCTCAAAATCGACTCCAAAATGGCTATCACGCCGAGGGTTGCAGATATAAAAACTTATGTAACGGACCGAATCAAGAGGGATACGAACCTGAATCAAGTACTGGCAAAGACCCACGAGAGAGAACCCGTGAGGAAAAGAGTTACCAGTCTCGCCTCAGAAAGCGGCATGTTAGTATAGCTATCCTTTTGCTCTTTCAATGTTAGGTGGCTCAACTTCACGTTACCCAGGCTGACAGAGCTGCCCTATATTATGATACTTAGGTTCCTTTTAGCCAGGCTGCATTTAGACAACCTCAGCAAGCATTCCGGTACCTTGGCTAGCATCAAAAACGCACTGTCCCATCTTCCCACTGATTCAAACGCTGTGTTTGAGTCCTCGGCGCTCCAAATGACCAAGTACAAGCCATTCGAGAACAAATTAGCTAAACATGTCCTTACCTGGGTCGCCCATGCAAAAGTCGGCCTCACCATCAGTCAGGTGCAAGACAGCTTTGCCATGCAGCAGCACAGCAAAGGGGAAAGCTACTACGATTCCATACCCTCCAAGGACTTGGTGATCTCCGTGAGCGCTGGACTAATAGTTGAGGACTCGAAAAATGGTACATTGCGCCTGGTCCACGAATCCGCACGACAAAATCTTCGCAGACACGACATTATACCTCAAAATGCCGACTTGACAATGGCCAAGACATGCCTAACTTGCCTTCTAATTGATGGAACAGAGGATGAGAAGCAAAGCCCACTTTTGGCATATGCTGCAAACCACTGGATATCGCACCTTGACCAGGATTGTCAAAACGCCGACGCGGAAGCCAGAAATTTGATAAAGAGGTTCTTTAGGAACAGCACCAAGCTCGCGCGAGCGTTCAACACCATGCAAGCCGATCCAGGATCTGGGTTAGACGGCATAACGGAACTTCATGCCGCTGTCTATTTTAATCTCCGTTTCTACACCAAGTACCTTATCAAGGCACGTTTTGATGTTAATGCGCGATGCTCCAATGGGCAAACCGCTCTACACTGGGCTGTCAAGCTTGGTCGATATCGTCTTTTAAAGGATCTCATCCGCAATTCGGCAGACACAAACATACGTGATAAGACCAAACACACACCACTTCACATTGCTCTCAAAGGGCCAGTGGCAGACACCATTCCCATCGTACAGAGACTGGTTGATGGAGGCGTCAAGCTCGACCTACCAGGTCCACAGGGATTGACAGCGCTATCATGGGCTATACGGTACGGACCTACGGCTGTTGCGGAGATATTGCTGAAAAGCCAGGTTAATTTGAACAGCGAAATTAGCCCGGGGTGGACTTCTCTGAGAGAACTGTTTTGTCACGACCACTCAACCGCAGAGCCACCAGGTACTTCAGCCTATACATGGAACTCGTTAAAAACTGCCGTCCAGGATCATGTCAGTTACCTCATTCATGTCGTGCTTGGTCTAGGCGTTGACCTCAATCGCCCAACGAGCCATGGGTGGCTGCCTCTAACACATGCAATCACTACCAATAGCCTATCAAGAGTGAGGGCCCTCTTGAAGAGAGACCCATCGCCGGCCGACGCGAACAAGCGTGATGAAGGGCGAAACTGGTCACCGCTCCGATGGGCTATCTTCCGTAAAAACCCAGCTATCGTCAAAGTATTGGGCGAACACGGAGCAGACATGAACGAGAAGAATGACGATGGGTGGATGCCTCTAATCCAGGCTGTCGAGGACCAAAGCGAGGACATTGTCCAGGTGCTGTTGAAAATGGGTACGCGGCCAGAGACTCTAGACCAACAGAATCGGCCCGCGCTGCTCCATGCTGTTCAGAGCCGCAACAAGAATATTATATGGCTCTTGGCTACCAGCGACTCTGAGTCAAATATTTGTCTCCATAGCAAAATGCTACTTGAGGTAGCTTTGGCGAACGATGATTATTCCATTGCTTGGCTGCTATGTGAAAATGGAGCTGACCCCAATGCAACGGATGGGCATATGACGTTGCTGCATAGGGCTTCTCGCAGTGGGCGTCTCAGAGACGTCAGCTTCCTTCTTAGCTGGGGTGCCGACGACAGCCGTCTAGACAATGAAGGGTTTACTGCTCTTCACCGTGCTGTGCTAGGAAACTTCGATACAATCGTTGCAGAGCTTGTGTCGCGGATATCGAGCCAAGAATACCTCAATATACGCGATCCAAATGGAAACACAGCACTTGTACTCGCAATCCTCAAGGGAAATAAACCAATGGTGCAGACGCTACTCTATTCCCAGGCCTCGTGCGAGATAGCAGACTCCCAAGGCGTGACGGCACTACATCACGTTGTGGGACTTGGATTGGACGAATTTCTGCGGCTGATGGTGCATAGGGTTAGCAATATCAATCTTCCAGACAAGAAAGGATATTCAGCATTGCACCACGCCGTAAGAAGCGACAAAAGCAACGCTCAGACTATAAGCATCCTCGTGGCTGGTGGGGCTGACCTGAATGCGAAGACAAACGACAACGAGACACCTTTGAGATTAGCAAGGCGCCTGAAGAAGGAAGCATTTGTGAGCCAGTTGCAAAGCTTGAAGGAATCTTCGAGAAGTCGAGCTAAGAAAGACTAGGCATATGGATAAGATGCACATATAAAGACAGCTGGAGCGATAGAATTATCAGATATGAGCGTCAAAGTACAAAATAACATTTAAACACACATGCAATTTTCCCCAGGGCTGATATAATGATTAATCAGTCTTCAAATTCATACAAAAGGACTCAGTTGTGGGAAAAATTAAAAACACCGCCAAAAGACGTCCCATTGATTTGTGTGGCTTTGTCGCTGGCGATATTTTGGTTGCCAACTCCGGTGTAGACATACTGCTTGTTCGATCCTGCACGCCCAAAGCCCACGGCCTCTTCATGATCTTCCTGTCGTATCGGTTCTTTTTTCTGTTTTATTTCCGCCACCAAACCTTCAACCTGCGCCCTGGTCGCCGCTTTGACGGCGTGATTCGCAGTCAGCACCTGCAGGTCCTCCATTATCCCACTAATGAGCTTGTCCACGGAGCTCGCCTTGGACTTCGCTTTCATCGCTATGAGACCCCTCGTCCACTGCGAAACACCCGGCGGTTGAACTATGGCCTGGAAGGCATCGTGGAGCGCGGTCGCTCGCCCCGTGGAAGCGTCAAGAACCTGCTTCAGCGCGGCTTGGGACGCCGCAGACGAGGGATCGGCATCGAGATTTTCTCGCACCAGGGTGAGACTCTCTTGAATGAGAGGGAGGCGCGCGGCGCTGTCGCGAAACGAACTTGGCAAGCCGGGTCCGCTCTCGAGGGCTTTATAAATTGTCACGGAGGCATCAATGAGGGTGATGACACCGGATATGAGACCTATGATCTCGATACCTGACATTCCGGCTACCCAGTTTCAGTTTCAGGTAAATGGTGAGATTAGACAAAATGTGAAATGAATGATATGCTCTGAGGATACTGCTTTTGAATTAGCGGCTGAACTCGCGGGAAGAAGATCATGGTGCGGAGCGGCACGCCCGTCTGACCCCAGCTGAGCGTTGGGCGTCTTACTGCATTACTTGGCCATTCAGAGCTGCATGGGTGACGTGTCTGCACGCCACTACGGCTAGCAATTGGGTATAATTTCTGGCGCCCGGGATCTCTTATGGCTCAGCCTCTCTCTGGCCTGTCATGACCTCGGCGTCGCCTTGTGACCACCCTTCCGTCTGCCAATGGCGACGCCGATTCCTGTTATGTCCTCTACATCTTATATATCTTGATAGAGAGTATCGGAATTGAGAAATTTGCTTGACTGGCCCGTTCAAGTTCGTCAAGCAATTTCAATTTCACCCAGATTGCCACTCATCCCGAGATCAACATTAAAACCATCGCGATGCCAGGCCCCGAAATTACCAAGGCCCACGCTCTCAGGCAAACCCGCAAAACACTCTCCGCCCTCAAGGCTGCTGCCGAGTTTTGTGGTACGGTTATCGGAGCCACCGATCTGCCTCAGGCCTTCTCAGTGGTCGCTCAACGGCTCCCTCTCAGCGTTGACATATTTACCTCGGTGGACACCTACCTCAACTGTGTCAGTGAAGAAAAAGACAACCAGGAGTTGAAGGACACATACCCCGTTATCAGGGAGGCTGCTGATGCCTGCTCTCACCACATCGAAAGTCTCGAAGTTCTCTTCGAGACAGTCGCGCAGAGTGACAAGGATACCCAAGACAAGTTGACGAGCTACCGCGAAGCAGTACAGTATAATGGCGGTAAACTGGTAGAAAAAGTTATGCTTGACCTGCTGAAAGACACTACCCTTGTGTGCGTGGAGCCCTTCGCAACGCAGGAGCAGATTCAAGAGCTGCAGGCGGCGTTGCAGGAGGTACAAGCACTCTCGCCGTCGCTGAAGGATGCCCTTGGGGCAGGCGTTGTAATGAACCACAGTGGTTCAGGAAATCAATTCTACCATGGCGGCAAGGGGCACCAGAATATTTGCTCTGGCGGATTCCAAGTTACGGGAGATAACCACAATGCTCATTATACCTATACGGGGAAGACAACCGAGGGCGCTATGGCCTAAGAAATCTCAGAATCATACTAATTATATGGTTCCTCAATGTAATCTTGTGGGGGAATACCCGGTATATTGCGCAAAGATTTCAGGTGAGATCAGTCTGAGAATCAAGAGTTAATTGTCGTGTACATTCGTCAATTTAGTAATTATAGTTGAGGCACATAGAGAAGATCAACCAAGACTTAACCTCCATCCTCGTAGGAGCATAATGTGTACCCATGACATAGTAATTTCAAGGTCCCGGGCTTGCCAAACATCTTGCAGAATATCAATCGCCATCAAGTTACCAGGTAATCGGTTGATTGAATACAAAGCATTAAATCGGTCAACTACCATATCTCGTTCCCGTTGATCATTTGCCGTAAGCTCTGATCCTGCAGTCAAAAGTGAAATTGCCTGCATGTTGGTATGCCAGTTATGGGTGGGGATGAGACTCAGATCTCTGACTGTCTGTAGAGCGTATTGTCTGATGACCTTCTCTGTTTCAATGTTTTCGACAGGCGAGTAATCACGCCTGCCTAAATCTTCCTCAGTTCGACCACCTGTTCGTCCACAGATTCGGTACAGATTGATCAGGCCATGGTTTCGGAACGCATTACCCAGCAGAATGAGTTCTGGACTTTTGGTAGTTGGCCGCCATGCCAGCAACCGTGCTTCGGATTCTTCCTCTAGCGCCTTGTCTCTGATGCCGAGATCAATGAATGACCTGCAGTACCGCCCGAGATTTGCAAGAGTGTACATGATCTCAGCCGAGTAGCCCATAATTGGATGAAAGTCCCCTGCAATCTTTGCCACTGCTTCTGGGATTGATGAGCTAGTTGCAGACTGTTGGTCTGGTTCAACAAGAAATGACAACGCCATATCCCAGTATAAATATGTACCAAGAGCCAACTGTGCGAATTTGCCATCGGTATTTGTCGATGGATTGATCATTAGCTCAATCAAAGCCCTTGCTCCATTCAGATGCTCATACCCAAATTGGGAAGACGAGGGATCGATCCAAGGTGTACTAATGCCAAGCATAAATACAGTCAGAAAGGTAATTGGATGTGGCCGTTGGCGTCCGGCCAGCTCCTCCTGCAAAAGCAACAACGCTTTCCCTCTCTCCTCAAGACACGTCTCAAGACGTTCCTTTTTGAAAAATTGTTCATGGGCAGCACTGATACTCAGAATAGTCGGCATGAGAGACGGGGAGATGTGCAGATATTCAAGAATCGGGAACGAGAAAGGGTTGGATTCAGGGTCCAAAACCATGATCTGACTGGCTTTCTCACACCAGTGTCTCAGTAGACGCATTTGTGAAGGCGAGGTGTTACCATGCAAAATCATCGGAGAAATCTCCAATTGCCATTGTGGTAACGAGCTTTCCGACTCGCACACCGTGCCCCGTTTCTGGCATCGGAGACAAACGGGGAATGTCTCATCGCATTTGACCCGTCGTTTCTTGCAGTTTTTGCAGCCCGAACGACTTCTCTGAGGCGGAGCGCCTATATCGGAAGATTCGTGACACTGTCCACAAGCGGTTGGTTTGTGGACATATACCTGCTTGGTTGGGGCGAATCGGACGTTGAATGTGCGTGGCATTTTACGGGCGCTAATTCGAGGGAAGCTGGAGTCTGAGGCTGAGAATGCCTGCACACTAATTCAGTTGAAAAGTAAGGCTTCGTCGTGGGATCGTCTATATTGGCGAAGATAGCTTCTTTCCTCGTTAGAGATAAGACTGCGTACCGCGCGCATGACCTGGAATTTTGCCTATCCGGCCTTGCGTATCCCGTACCATGATACTCTCCTTGTATTGACCTACTTGGGTATAGAGCCATTACATGTCTCTCCAGGGCAGCTAATTTGGGAGTGTGCGGGGAGCGAAGAGGAGCGATAAGAAAACTACCCCAGAGCCCCACTCTCGCGTCCTGGCCGAAATAGGCAACCCTAGGTTAATCCCCGCGATTTGCTATGGATTGGTGGCAAATGATCTAGAATAACCTGAAAAGATAATTTGTTTTACTACTAAATCTAAGCCATCTGGAAAGAAACCAAAGTCCTTGTGATACTCGGTATTCCTAATCAGATCCACCCTCAACTTTCCACATGAGGATTGGACGCGACGATGAGGCCGAGCATGGGAAATATCATTCATAGTGGGTGTTGTTATAAAACGAGTTATGGAGGGGTATCTAGATTCTCCCCTCGAATTGTTAGTTTACTTTCGGAATATATCCCCAATCGCACTTCGCTCTTGTATAGTACCTGAGACATGCCGGAGACCATCAACATCGACGCATTCGTCGTCGGCGCCGGCGTGGGAGGAATTTACTCCACGTACCGCCTGTCACGTATGGGATTGTCTGTCAAATGCGTGGACATCGCCAGCGACGTTGGTGGCACCTGGTATTGGAATCGTTACCCAGGTGCCATGAGTGACACCGAAAGCTACCTGTACCGATATTCATGGGACAAGGAAGATTTGCAAACCTACCCTTGGACTCATCACTATGTCTACCAGCCGGAAATTTTGAAGTACCTCCAGCATGTAGTCGAGAAACATGATCTTCGAAAGTACATGAAGTTCGAGACCGAAATGACATCTGCAACATGGAATGAGGACACTCAGAGATGGATGATTACCTGCTCCGGCTCTGAGGAGTTGAACATTAGCGCTCGCTATTTGGTCAACTCTCTTGGATTGCTCTCCAAAGTCCATTACCCCGATATCCGTGGTCTTTCGTCTTTCGCTGGTGACCTGATCCACACAGCACGATGGCCAGAAAACTTGAACCTTGAAGGAAAGAAGGTCGGCATTATTGGAAATGGATCTACCGGAATTCAAGTCATGACAGCACTTGCTCCAATCGTCGGAAGTTTGACTTCCTTCCAACGTCACCCTCAATACTCAGTTCCGAGTGGCCAGCGTCCCGTCACCAAAGAATATCGTGACAAGGTCAATTCTACTTACCAACAAATCTGGGATAATGTTTGGTCATCGGTTGTTGGTTTTGGCGTGGTTGAGTCCAAGCGCAGCACCATGGATGCTAGCCCCGAAGAGCGGCAGAAAGCTTTCCAGGAGGTCTGGGATCAAGGCAATGGCTTCCGTTTTATGTTCAGCGCTTTTGGTGACATTACCACCAACAAGGATGCTAACGAAGAGGCGTGCAAGTTTGTCCGTGGAAAGATTGATGAAATGGTGAAAGATCCCCGCAAGGCCGCAATCCTGAAGCCAAAGGACCTATACGCCCGCCGACCACTTTGTGACACCGGTTACTACGACATTTTCAATCGCGAGAATGTTGACGTGATCGATCTCAAGGAAACACCGATTGATCAGATTGTTCCGGAAGGCATTCAGACAGCTGATGGAACAACCCACCATCTCGACGCGCTAATTTTTGCTACTGGGTTTGACGCTATTGAAGGCAACTACATGCGGGTCAAAATTACTGGACGGAATGGAAAGACTATTCAAGAGCATTGGAAGAATGGCCCTAAGGCTTTTGGTAGTATTGCCTGCGCAGGTTTCCCCAATATGTTCATTGTTGCTGGTCCTCAAGGTCCATTTGCCAATTTCCCACCTGTCATTGAAAGTGAAATCAATTTCATTATGTCATGCATTGAATATGCCGAAGGAAATATTGCCGCGGCTCAGGTGGAAAAACCAAATGGGGCTGCCAATGGTGCTGCCAATGGTGCTGCAAATGGTACTTCCAATGGTACTACAAATGGTGCCTTGAAGACAACAAATGGATCTTGCATGACTTGCGTGAGAAAAGGACCACCGACAATAATGGAGGTGTCCGAGGCATCAGAAACAGCATGGATTGACTTGTGCAATCGACTGGTTGAAGGGTCATTGTTCACTACAACGGCAAGCTGGATCTTTGGTCAGAATATTCCGGGGCGGAAGCCAACCACGAACTTCTATTTCGGAGGCCTCAAGAGCTACTTGGACTGGGTGAAGGCTCAAACCTCAAATGATTTCCCTGATTTTCTTAGACGATAAATGATTAGTTGATTGAATGAATGTGTTATGTTTCAGTATACTTCCCAGGATAGTCCTTTAGCGAGAACATGTTATTACGTACGAATATATGAAGATACGCACTTCCAAGTAGTTCTAGGCAATTCAATCCAATTGGATAGTCCAAGAACCCGAAAGAATTCGGATATCTGCTGTATCTGGCAAGAGAAAGTGGGTCTATTTCATTGTTTTCCTCTATATAATGTCTGTATATCCCCAATGCCCCAGATTCCAGATCAGCCATTGCACACCTTTACTCTTCCATACCTCATCATCTCTAAAGATCCTTCAAAAGTCTGTATCCCACTCTGAGCCCCCGTAAAACGCCCTAGCTGACATTATCAACAGGAATGGCACCATCAATTCCCAACACCACAGGATCCGAATCACCAGCAGATGTCCCTTATGGGCCGTACACCAGTTTCCCTTGGGAGCCACTTCCCGAGTACGGTGGTGAGAAATCTATCATGTTTCGCTCAGCCGATGGAAAGGTCGTTGCAGCAGCAGCAAGGGAAACAGGAACTGCAACATTGACCTACCCATGTGATGAGTTTTTCTATGTTACCGACGGATGGGTCGGACTCAATGTTCACGGTGGGGAGCAATTTGTCCTGAACAAGGGGGAATTCGTGTACTTGAAGAAGGGAACGACGGTTGATTTCACATTTGGCCCTGGGTTTACGAACGTTGCGGTTTTCATGGACAGCGAGCGTGTAACCCTTCTTTGAGAAAGGGTACGATTTAATCATAGTGCCAAAGGCTATAGTTCATAATTTGGAATATGTCAGCTGCGTACCTAAATACTCTATTTGTATGTAGCTTTTACGAACTCCATTGTATTCACAAGTGACAAAGTGTGTATATGGTAGAAGGAGTGATATGATACTATATTGGAATATGCAAAAGGAGAAGCTCAAAAAAGAGTAGGCCTTATTTCGTCTTGCACAACTTGATTGAGTATATCAGAAAATACAAAATAAACGCATCAAAAGGAACATTAAAACCGCAAAAGACTATGCTTGAAATCACTAATATATTAGCCTAGTCGTATAGACAATAAGTATTTCTTATGTAGCTTTCCAAATATAAAAGATCTACAGGTCTATTATGGCAGAAGAGGAAGAGAGAGAAAGAAACATTTAATTCATATGAAATGACGAAGCTAGCTATCCATTTATATTGAGCAGGCCAGACAAAAGAAAGCCTGCAAAACATTATAGAGCCTCGAACATCTGCATCAGAGCATTTGGTCTTCCATAGGAAGACATGTGGTGTGTGGTGTTGGCTGACTACTCAAATTTCAAGCCGAAGTGCCGCCAGCATAAGGCACTGCATGAAATTTAATCTCTAGCCGATGACCTTTCGGTCCTGCGAGGTAAAAGTCGAGCAGCTCCATATCACCGTGCACATGGATAGTCGTGGTAAAATGGGAGTAAACTGCAGCAACCAAATATTTCATCGCTACAAAGCCAGTTAGTATATGGTCCTCGATTTCAGATCTCAAAGACTTACAGTAATATGCAAAATTGGAACCAATACACATCCTTGGCCCACTACTGAATGCCCAAAACCATCGCTTCATATTTGCGAGTTCTTCAGGTGAAGCATCGAGCCAACGCTGAGGCTTCCATTGGGCAGGGTCCGGGAAAACTTCAGGAGTCCGATGAAGTACGTATGCATATGATTGAACAATGGTGCCTGCTGGGATATCGGAGTATCCTCCAAGGGAGCAAGGCTTGGGGACCACTCTAGGCTGTCCGCCAGGTACTGCAGGCCAGAGACGAAGTGTCTCTATAATTACCGCATTCAAAATTGGGAGTGCATCAATCTCTTTTGGCTCGGTAATGTCGCCGATTTCGACTTTTCTTTTCAAGTCATCTTGTTGCGGAAGCTTTACACCACGAAGTTCCTCACGAAGCTTCGTCTGCCACTCGGGGTTACGGCACATCTCATAGAATAAATATGTTTCGGTGTTACCGCTCGTCTCAAATGCAGCTGAGCTGTGGGCAAACATGTCGCTTGCGATCTGCATCCTCTGTGGATATGCGCCTTTGCTACCATGGGGACTGCTCATTTCCTTGAGGGCTTGCTGGAAGATAACAGGCTGGTCATCGCTGTGAATGGTCTGGGAGTTTTCAAGGAGCTGTTGGGCACTGTCGCATTTTTGGAGATTCCAGTCTTCGGCAAGGCCGAATTTCTTGTCAACAGATCGGGGAATCAAGTAAATTCCAACCTTGCGAAGGAAGTTTGCCAGTCTTGGGAAATAGTACTGCCAAAAGAGGAACGGATAAGGTGCGAAAAATCCGTCGAGGTATAGCTTCCGCTCTTTGTGATCCTCGATGAAATTACTACCCAAGGAACGGCCGAATTGAAATTGAACGAAAGTATCCATTGAGTATGAATAATTCATTCCAAGGACCTCGACAGGCTTGTCTTCACGAGCGGCTTTTCGAATAATAGGCAGATATCTCCCAAACAAGACATCTCGAGTGGCTGCACGTGCGGTCGGAGACGAGGTGATGAAAGATTTGGAGAAAGTATTGGAGATCATTCTTTTGCGGGCGGAGTGTTCGGCGTTGTCTTCAAATGTGAAAATGTTCTCTGTGCTGTTCATGAGAATTAGCTGGTTTATTCCACATTGAGACCTTCCACATGAATGCACATGGTAACGTCTTGCGTTGATTTATCTATGTTCGTTCTATAAACTTACTTATAGATAGCAAAACCATGGAAGTAGAATTCAGGCTTCGGGAAACCCCCCTGATATATCTTTTTCACTCCATCATCAAAACTGTTGATGCTGAGAAGGCTTGGCGCAAGAAGAAGAGATGGTCCCAACTTCATGTGCTTGTCATAAACCGTGCGATTCTCCTGATTTGTCCATCTCAACCAGTATATCCAGATCGAGCAAAACCGGCACGACCAATGAGCTGCAGGAACTTTGGAAAGGGGCGAAAGAAAAGCGGGATATATGATGAATTTGTGAAGAAGGAGACCTAGGACACCGATAAGACCTAGGAAGGAAATATGAAACTGCATTTTGTACACCTTGCTAGCTAGTGCAAGGAAACAATCGTCTATTGTACACAGGTGCACTGCCACGAGTTATATATTTTTCTAATGAATAGCAGAATGTCCAACGTGAAGCTTGCAGTGTTTCGCTTGCCAAGTTGGGAAGTGAAGGCGGGATAGATCAAACCTATAATGGCATCGTGCCGAGGTCAAGTTTGGAAAGAAAACCCCCACACAGATTTGGACTTTTCCAGGGTGGTTAAATAGTTGAAATAGCAAAAATCGGTAACAGATGAAGTCATGCAGACCGGGCCAGAATGCAATGTTCTCCAGGGCTCTGTACATATTTCCTATTTAAGCTTGTGGGGCACTTTCCTGATTAGGCCACTAAGCGGACCCTGTGGTAAAGCAGATCACGTGAAGAGAGGTGTCACATGTATGGGAGATACGGTAATTTTACCTAGAGCCCTTGCTAGAGCCCTTGCATTCTTGAGACTGTCGACTGTCTGGTCAAATTCTACTAGGGAATTGTACTTTCGTGCATAGACAAATTTCTATGAGATGTTGCTACGGCTGAAATTTATATTTTTTGATTTCTTTTTCTGATTGTAGGACGTGAGCTCGAGTACAACGCATGACTTTACAACCTCGCGCTCAGATTGACGTGAACAGACTTGGTAATAGTAAACGCCTCGATACCTTCCTCACCCATCTCCCTCCCAAACCCTGATTGTTTGTACCCACCAAATGGCACACGCACATCATCATCGTTGCTACTATTGATCCAGATGGCTATAAAAAGAAGTTAGCACTGCCAGAGAACCAAAAAGGAACGCAAGAAGACTCACTGCCAGACTGGATTCTCTTCGATACCCTCAAAGCACGCGAGATGTCTCTTGTGAAGACGGATGCACCTAACCCAAAGACTGTGCTGTTCGCGCGTTCGATCGCCTCTGCTTCTTCGCGGAAAGGTGCAATAACCACAAAAGGACCAAAGATCTCATCCTGAACAATGGTCATACTGTCTGTTACATCCGCGAATACGGTTGGGGCGACGTAAAAGCCCTTGCCTTGAGCATTCTTGTATGCCTTTCCACCACACACTAACCGTGCCCCTTCCCGTTTTCCAGTCTCCATATAAGATACAACTCGGTCAAATTGATCTTTGGTGACCTGTGGGCCTTGAAAGGTGTCTGAATGGAACGGGTCACCAACCTTGGAGATTTTCTCCACTTCTGCCTTGAACTGATTGACAAAAGTCTCGTAGATATCAGCGTGTACGAAGATGCGACTTGTTGCTGAACAGACTTGTCCCTGGTTGGACATGATACCTCGGTGACCCCAACGGACCGCTTGTTCGATATCTGCATCTGGGAATACCAGCATTGGCGATTTTCCACCTGTCTCCAAGGTGACTCTTTTGAGCGTTCCGGCAGCACTCTTCATAATTTGTTTGCCAGTGGGGGTAGACCCAGTGAATGTGATCATATCAATATCGGCATGAGCTGCTATAGCAGCGCCGACCTCCCTACCGGCACCATTGAGCACATTCACCACTCCAGCTGGGATCCCAGCTTCCTTGACAAGATTTGCAAAGTAGAGAGCTGACAGTGGGGTTTGTTCGGCCACTTTGACGACGAGTGTGTTGCCCGCCGCTAGGGCCGGAGCTACCTTGGTCACCATATTCACAAGAGGGAAGTTCCAAGGGATAATGGCGCCACAAACTCCGATAGGCTCACGCATCACGTACGCCAATTTACTTGGATTCGGGTCGATAACCTTTCCATGGATTTTATCAGCCCAGCCAGCATAATATCGCAGGAGACTGATAGATCCCATAACATCTTCGTTGCGGGCAGCATTGAAGGTCTTGCCTGCGAACGAATTCAGGTTAGATGAGGAGAGATAACGCGTAGAATGGGAAAATCTCTTACCATTGTCCCAGGCATCAATGGTGGCCAGTATATCTGCATGTTGCTCGACCAAACCAGCAAGCTTGTATAACAGCTCACCACGCACAGCTGTGTCCAAGGCTCTCCACTCCCCGCTGAATGCCCGACGGGCAGCCTCAACGGCCAGGTCAACATCATTCGTGTCTGCTGCATGCACCGCACAGATCTCTTCTTCGTTTCTATTGTGTGTTAACAAGTTAGCTATTTCATAGTAGATATAAACTAAAACTCACGCAGGATTTATAGTCGAAATCCTCGCTCCCTTTGAGGATGGCCTCCATTCATTGTCGATGAATAGGCCCAAAGGTTGCTTGAATTTTAAGCCGTTGGGCGCGATAAGATAAATGTGCATGTCAGACATTGCGGCCAGATATTGAAATGGAACAGGAAGCAGGATAGAGAATCAAGTGGTTTCAGCTAGGCGCTGGCAAGGTCCTTGTCGCCTCTGTATATGATAAAACAAAATACAAATATTATTTGGCAAGGCTGAATAAAGCTAACATAATTTTATATTAAATGAATTACGATAATAAAGTAAGAAGTCAAAAGCTATGGCATCTATGCATCTTCTATCTCGCTTCCTGTCCCGATTAGGGAAGTAGAAGGAGATCTCCACATGGGCCGAGTCGCTGCGCCGCTAAATTAATAATTTAATCCACTCTACACCCCGGATTGCCCGTTAGAGAATATAGGCGATCACCAATAACCAAGGCATGGATATAGACAGAAGTAAGATAACGGAATTTTCTCCAGATACTTCTTTCTCGTCATTCACCGCATACTACAGTCAATTACTTTGCGGCTTTCTGATGCTTTGTGACAGCTCCATAATGACATCCTCGTTCCCACATCCAAATGGCACGGAGTCTTTCTGGCGACTTGAGACACAGGAGCTTGACAACTTCCGGTCTACACCAAATCTTCCAGACGAAAGCGACATAGTTATCATAGGTGGAGGGTATAGTGCAGCAGCACTGGTCACACATATTCAGAAACAATACCCCAATCACCCATCGATTTTGGTTCTCGAAGCTCGTCAGCTATGCTCTGGGGCATCCGGGAGAAACGGTAGCGATCCTTCTGTGCACTTACATAGGCAAACCACTGATGGAATATTTAAAACATCTAGGTGGACACATAAAACCCGATCCGTACCTTCATGCATCTGAGATTGCCACTCAGTATGGACTAGCTGCAGGCACCGAAGTCGCGGATTTCGAAGTCGCAAACTTGAACGCCGCTAAAGAGTACATTGAAAGTGAAGGCGTCGACTGCGATTTTGTGGTCACCAGAGCATGCGATGTTCACTTTTCTAGCAGTCAGGATACGAGGATAAAAGAGCGCCTGCACAATCTCAAAGCTGCGGGAGTTGCCGCTGCCCAAACGGTATCTGAAGTGGGAGAAGACAATGCTGAAATGGTGTGTAAATTTTCCTTTACATCCCACCTCAGTTTCAGAATCAATAACTTGCAGCTTTCTGACTTGAGTTCAATACTAGGTATCAGGTGTAAAGGGAGCCAAAGGATTCATCAGCTACACTGCTGCACATCTATGGCCATACAAATTGATTCACCACATGTTCACCATGGCATTGAAACATGGAGGTCTCAACCTCCAGACAAATACTTGTGCGACTTCTGTCTCCCCCGCTACCGACTCTCAAAGTAGCTGGGTGGTCCAGACCAACCGGGGCTCTGTTACAGCAAGCAAAGTTATAATTGCTTCAAATGCTTACACTCCGGCTCTATTACCTGAGTATCGGGAGCAAATCATCCCTTACCGGGCTGTGAGCTGCCATATCAAAACACCTAGCCCAGCACCACTTATTGTCAACACCTACGCCCTTCGGTTCAAGGATTGGGACTTTGACTACCTCATTCCCCGACCTGATGGCAGCATTGTTGTGGGCGGAGCTCGCTCAGCCTACTTCCGCAAGAAAGACCTGTGGTACAACAACACGGACGATTCCGAGGTTATCAAAGAGACACGAAAGTACTTTGACGGATACATGCAACGACACTTCCGTGGGTGGGAGAACAGTGGTGCAGAGGTATCGGAAATATGGACAGGCAGTAAGTATTATCGACTATTTATTTAAAGTCTGTCGTACTGACACATCATACTTTAGTCATGGGATATTCCCGTGACAAACTCCCAAGGCTGGGACCCGTACCTGGCAAGCAAGGAATGTTCATTATGGCTGGGTGGACGGGCCACGGCATGCCTCAGATATTCCTAGCCGCCAAGGGGATGGCAGACATGGTAGTAAAGGATGTCCCTTACCACAAAACTGGGTTACCTCGTGTTTTTGAAGAGACCGCAGATCGCTTACAGAACGCACCCAACAAAGTGCTGGAGACCTGGTACCAGGCTACTCAAACCCCGCGGCTATGATAGCTTTTTAATAAACATGTACTTAGTATGAATCTTACCAGGCAGGTTAGGTCTTTATCCAACACCAACTAATTGAAGTATTCTGCATTGAAGAACTGGAGAAATCTAAGGCCTCACGGCAGCGGATTTACTTCGAATACCTTTTGCTTTTATATGCTTACAGAAACCCCAAACTATGACATCGATATGACCGGGAATTATGATGTTGTAGGACCTAATTACTGCCCTTTCCAATATTTACTTGTCGCATCCATTAACGTGTTTGATTCCCGACGATTCCACAGTATTTATGCTCATTCCAAATCCAGATTTTTCACCCTCAAATGCAGAGTTTCAGACTAACATCGGTCTGGCAACTCCCCGCTCATTAGCAGCATCAAACGAAGGGAGGTCTACACCATCGATATCAGGAGATCCGTATAGTATCATTGACTCTGAGTCCGCTTCTAAATCGCGTTCCCATTTTGCCACACTGGCCTCAAATGCCTTCAAGTTATCTTCTTTGGTTAGATCAATCGGTGCTCTGTCATTGCCAATCTGCCGCATCTGCACCCCAGCCACCACCTCTGTCATACCATAGTCATATTGATCCAAACCGGCATTTATGGCTCCAGAGCGTATCCTTCCAGATACGATATCCAATGCCAAGTGTGGCTCCGCACAAAGTGTTCTAGCAAGCCCAACCCCATCTACAGTCTCCAAAGCTGTTTCCATGGCAGCAACTGTGAGGAAACCACCGGTGACATAGACTTTAGTCTTAGTAAGTACAGGGACTATAGCCTCCGCAAACTCCAGGAAGAATGCTTCCCGTTTTCGAGTGGAGTCACGCTTGTGTTCAAAAGCTGTGTCTTCGTACGTGCCGCCAGACAGCTCGACAAAGTCAAAGTGAGCTTCGTGCTCTAGCAATTGGCATAGCTCCCGGCATTCGTCTGGCGAGAACCCTTTATCTTGGAATTCAACGGAGTTTAATTTGATGGCGAGTATAAAACCAGAGGATGCCGGGATCTTTTGGCGAATAGATTGGGCAATTTCGATGATGATGCGAGCCCGGTTTCGTAGCGAACCACCGTAGATATCGGTTCGCTGATTGGTTTGTTGAGAGAGGAACTGGGCAAGTAGATAGCCATGAGCACCGTGGATCTGAATTCCGTCAAAGCCAGCTTTGAAAAGGAATTCCGCCGAGTGAGTGAACGCGTTGGTGATATTCTGAATTTCATCTATCGATGCCGCGTGCGGCTTGCCAAACTTCATCCCCCATATCTCCCGGTCCAGGTGCACATCCGATGCTGACACGGGGTTTGGAGAAAGCTTGATGTTCACTTGACGGCCAGGGTGGGACATCTGGCCCAAAAGAAGGCTCCCATGGACCTTTGAAGCCTTAGCCAGCGCCTTGAAGCGTTCAAACCGGGGACCGGAAAATGGGGCATCGGCGGGAATTGTTGCGTTTCCGGCAGACTCGAGGTTGATATTGTCCACCATGATATTCCCAGTCAGAATAACGCCAACAGAGCTTTCTCCCCATCTTTCATAGAGATTGACAAGTTCAAGGGATGGGATCCCCCGGTCTTCACTATTCACAGGATCCCATGACGACATGCGCTCCGTCATAGCGGCCTTCATCAGACGGTTTGGGGCGATACTTTGGGAGAAGTGGAATTGCGAACGCTCTCGCAACCGCACTGGGTCGACTTCACGAGTACCATGGCGAGGGATCATTCCGAAGATGAAAATATGGGAGATTGGTACAGAGGTATAGAGTAAATTCGAAAGAAAAAATAAATATGTCTCAATTTGAACCGAGGCTCAGATAAATATATACAACATATAACTAAGATCACTCTAAAATAAAACTTATACGGAGTATCTACCTAGGTAGGTAGCCCAGGGAACCTTAAAACTAAGTACAGCTTACAAATTGTGTTAAATGTCTCCGAGAACTGGGGTAAGTTCAGTTATATTCCAACATTGAAGTCATAGCATGGGGGGATAGTGGTGAATTCGTGTGTTGAGGAAACTCCCCGATACTCGCCAAGATGCCGAAATAGGAAGGTACCCGCGGGGTAGTAGACCCGCTTATAGTCTACGGATGAAATATTCAGCCGAGTAACATCTTTCTCATCTTCTCAATAGCGGCGTAGTTAACCAATCTAATTGAAGTAGGGTGACTCTTACATTCGTGATCTGAAATCGACGGACCCTGTGGATAGGGTTCTTGCTTCTTTTGGCATGCTGGCGATCTCCCCTCGTCATCGCATATGTTAACTCTATTACGGTAAAGTGAATGACAAACATTTGGGGGGAGGCCGGATGTCAATCATCCACTTGATAGAGCATGATACAAAAATAAGCATGAATTTCTCAAGTATATCCAGAGCTTCATACTTTCGGTTCAACAACCCACCCACCAGACCAAGTTACACAAGAAATCATGACTATCACGACTGAATTCCCAATCTCTTTGCGCGATCCTACTCTCTTAGATTCTCGGGGGTTGATAAACGGCGAGTGGCGCCACGCCAGCAACCAGAAAACATTTCCTGTCTATGAACCAGCTACAGGCAGTGTGCTTCACCCATGTGCCGACTTCGGACGTGAAGAGTTCGTCCAAGCAATTGATGCGGCACACATTGGCTACAAGAGCTTTTATAGCGGTACAACAGCCAATGAAAGAGCACAACTTCTTCGAAGATGGCATGATCTTATAATTGAGAACGTGGAAGACTGTCAGTTATGGAATGCCCCTCTTACCTCCAATTAATAGTGGAAGCTAAATTTTGTCACTCAACAGTGGCGATAATTCTATCTTTGGAAAATGGGAAGACGTTTGCCGAAGCCAAAGGAGAAGTAACCTATGCGGCAACCTTCGTCGCCTGGTTTGCTGAAGAGGCAGTTCGCAACTACGGCGACGTGATTCCTTCCTCATATGCGAATTCAACCGTTCTCACTTACAAAGAACCTGTTGGAGTGTGTGGAATCATTACTCCGTGGAATTTCCCTGCCGCCATGATTACTCGCAAGATCGCTCCGGCATTTGCGGCTGGGTGTTCTGTGGTCATTAAGCCTCCAAGTGAAACACCTTTCAGTGCGATTGCGCTCGCGAAGCTAGCACTAAAGGCCGGTATTCCCTCTTCACTCATCCATGTTATCCCCACCAAGGACCGCAAGGCTTCGCTTGAGCTAGCAACCAATCCGCTTGTGCGCAAGATCAGCTTCACCGGTTCAACAGCTGTTGGTAAGATGCTGACAAAACTAGCATCTGACACGATGAAGAAAGTCAGTATGGAGCTTGGAGGAAACGCTCCCTTTGTTGTCTTTGAGGATGCAGACCTGGACCAGGCAGTTGATGCGGCGCTGATCTGCAAATTCCGTGCATCAGGTCAAACTTGTGTGGTATGTATATGTGCTCCTTGCCCCCAACAATACCGTGTTAACCCAGTCATCGTCTAAGTGTGCGAACCGGCTCTATGTGCATAAACAAGTCCTTGAGGCTTTTGCCGAGAAACTTACCGCCAAGGTGCAGGCTCTCAAGCTAGGCCGCGGTATCGACAATGGAACGACTCAAGGTCCGCTTGTCAACGCTGCAGCTGTGGAAAAGGTGAAGGCCCACGTTGCGGATGCATTAGCCAAAGGCGGCCAATTGTGGACAGGCGGGCAGGCACCTAGCCATCTCTCTGGCTTCTTCTTCGAGCCAACAATCATCACTGGCGCAACACCTAACATGGCTGTCGCAACTGATGAGACCTTCGGGCCCCTAGCGGCTATTTTCCCATTCGAGAGCGAAGACGATGTGATAACACAGGCCAACGCTAGTGAATATGGACTGGCTGGATACTTCTTCAGCCAGAACGTCAGCCGGATTTTCCGCGTCGCGCGTCAGCTTGAATGCGGTATGATCGGTGTCAATACTGGTCTGATCAGCGCAGCAGAAAGTCCTTTTGGTGGTATCAAGGAAAGCGGCGTAGGGCGAGAGGGCAGTCGTTACGGCCTCAGCGAATACCAAAACATCAAGTCGGTTACTATTGGTAATTTGAGATGATGCTTTTGTGAGGGAGAGCTATAGAAAATCCAGAGCCTATTGCAAAGACATCTAGATGCATTTCCATCGAGTGCTACATAGTAGTAATTTCCGGTCGAATTATCTACAGTAATTCCATTTTTTTTTATATTAGAGATACGGTCGTCTTACCCTATTTGCCAGGACTACCAAGTAGCTATGTTGTAGTTGCTCTTTTCTTTTCCCCACAACAGTTGGTATCCTCTCTCTTGACCCACGGCATTTTCAATATATGTGAAAAACTACTCAACTTTGTTAGGAATGTCAGTGACAATGTGACACATAATGGCGTTGATAGAAATCTCCAAAACCAGTTGGCCGGTTCTCTCGAACTGTTCCCTCTACTCCACGACTCCACGACTCCACTACGCTAACGCATCCCCACCCACTTACCCAATTTGGACACTAAACGAACTTCGGTTCGTCACTTACACTTGCTTATATATCAATCGGGCTATATTCGGATTCATAATGTATTTATTTATAAGTAAATGACGGTGTCTAGCCCTTTGTCTCTGCCTTCCCAAACCCATCCTCTTACACAACCTTGTTAAGACATTTGATACCTACCTGATAGTTATGGCCTCACCAAAGAAGATCGTCGTGATTGGTGGTACTGGCATGTTCGGCGGCTCAGTCGCTCGTTCACTGAAAGACAACCCCGAGTTCGAAGTCGTGTTGACAACGCGCGATCCTAACTCGCCCAAAGCCTGCAAGCGTCGCGAGGAGGGATTCTTGTTGGTAAAGGCCGACTCATGGAATGCCTCCGAGCTCGATTTAGTGATGGCAGGCGCCTATGGTGTATTCCTCAACACCGACTCAGACGACCTGAACTTCAAAAACGAGATCGGGCTACCAGAATCCGCCATGGGCAAAATCGTGATCGACGCTGCCATCCGTCAAAGCGTCAAATACTTTGTTTTCGCAGGACTTCCACAGTCCAACCGCATCACGAATGGAGAAGTTTCTATCCTGTCCTTTGACAACAAGAGCGCCATTGCCAATTACGGACGTAAAGCTGGATTCGAGGCCTTTGTTGAGGTCAATTGTGGCTGGGCTATGGATATTTTCTTCATGGAGACATACGCGAATGCATTCGGCGGCTTTGCGTCCATTCCAGACTCAGAAGGCTTTCTCAGTTTGAAGATCTTTCCCATGAGCAATGACTCGGGGCTGATTCCATGGACCTCCGTGAAAGACGATTACGGCGATGCTGTACATGCTGTCTTCTTGGAACCATCAAAGTACGCGAATCGCATTATCTGGGCCATATCTGAGGCAGCCACCTTCCAAGATGTGGCTAATGCTTACAACCGATTGACTGGTACACAAGTGGCGAGATATGTACCGCAAACTGAGCCCCTCAAGGCTAGCACCCCAGGCAAGACCAAGGAAGTCAACGGACTGCGTAACTATTGCCACTACACAAAGGGGAAATACTGCAACAATCAGGTCACTAATGATCATTTGCTTGAGGAGATGAGAGAGCTCAAAACGCTTGCAACAAAGGCGCGAGGAAAAGGACATGCGTCCACTCGGTCTGTCGAAGGCTTTCTACGTGACAACCTCACTGTCAAATTGCAACCATCCTTGTCGAAAATTTGATTATTGTGATAGGCCATCAAATTAAACAACTGTGAAGAATATTGAATGCATAGGGTGCAAATTTGAGATGCGCCTGATACGCAAGTAGTTAAGATATCTGAAGGATTAGGCCAGTAGCTTAGAATGTAACTACTAGTTAGCTAATTCTGAGATCTTGTCTCTTCCAATTTTGAAATTTCCCCTCTAATCATTCGTCTAGTACTAGACTCCACTTAGCTTTCTAAAACGCAGAGTTCTAGAAATTTTCGTAAAAACACGACACATTTTGTGATTATGTTCAGTTAATGGGCCAATACTATGACGACACAGCATGGGTAAATGGCCCAGACTACCCCATATACTCTCTGAAGACATTACAAAGCAAAGACGACATGCTGGGGTTTCCTTTTTCAAGAGATTTGATTTGCTAGGTGGAGACACTTAGGGCTTCGCCTCGGATCTCAAACAGGAAGCTCGGGGCACCACCGGCGGGCCTCGTGTGCTTTTCATATTAGGCAAGTAAGCTACCCCTCCTTGGAAGCTTCATTATGCCCCTCATCGAAGTCGAAAGATTACTATGTCTAGTGACGAAAGTGGACGGAGCCGAGGGATACTGGGCACACATAAAGACAGCAAATCCCGCGCAAGATGCCGCGGTCTAAAGTATCTTGCAATATATGTCCAAAATGTCCTTAACCCAAACCATCACTGCACCCAATGGTGTGAGCTACCAACAGCCCACTGGTCTCTTCATCAATAACCAATGGGTCGCTTCGTCATCTGGCCAAAAGCTCAAGTCTATCAACCCTGCGTCAGTAACCCACCCTACAACCTCAACTTCGGCTTGAAACTGACGTATCATGTTTACAGGACCGAAGAAGAGATTACTTCAGTCCATGCCGCCACAGCGGAGGATGTTGACAAGGCGGTTCGTGCCGCCCGCGCTGCATTTGAAGGAGAAGAATGGCAAAGTGTTGTCGGTACTGCTCGTGGCAAGTTGATGCTTAAAGTAGCCGACTTGGTTGAGAGCCAACAACATGTTCTAGCCACCATTGAGGCACTTGACAATGGCAAGCCATACTCTCAGGCGCTGGGTGACATTGAGGAAGTCTTCTCGGTTTTCCGGTATTATGGAGGCTGGGCCGACAAGGCTTATGGACAAACTATCGAGACCAGCCGCGCCAAGTTTACTTATACCGTGCGCGAACCTATTGGTGTTTGCGGTCAGATCATTCCGTACGTTCCCCCTCAAATGTGTCTTTGGCAGCTGGACTTGTCCAATCTATCACCTGAACACCCACTTGCTTTCATTCGAGATCCTTCACAACCTAACGATTTTCTCTACCCTCATGTAGATGGAACTATCCACTCGGTATGGCAGCGTGGAAGTTGGGCCCTGCACTCGCTTGCGGTAACACAGTGGTTATTAAAGCAGCCGAGCAGACCCCGCTTTCTATCCTCTATTTCGCAAACATCCTGGTCGAAGCAGGGTTCCCACCCGGCGTGGTCAATATCATCAACGGCTATGGCCGCGAAGCTGGGTCAGCCTTGGTCCAACATCCTGAAGTCGATAAGGTGGCATTCACCGGCAGCACACCTACAGGGAAACAGATCATGCGGATGGCCAGTGATACGATGAAAAACATCACTCTTGAGACAGGAGGCAAGAGTGCTCTCGTCATCTTCGACGACGCTCAGATCCCCAATGCCGTCAAGTGGGCCCATTACGGTATAATGGGCAATATGGGCCAAATCTGCACCGCAACATCGAGGATTTTCGTCCACGAGAAGATTTACGATACCTTCATTCAAAGTTTCAAAGAATACGTCGCGAAGATCCAAGTCATTGGATGTCCATTCGATGAAAAAACATACCAAGGCCCCCAAGTCTCCAAGGATCAATTCGAAAAGATTCTCGAATACGGTCGCATTGCCCAGGAGGAAGGCGCTACAATCGTTACCGGAGGCAAGACTGCCGACGCTCGACCTAACGGTAAAGGATACTATGTTGAACCTACGATCGTGCGTGATGTGCAGCCGCATATGAGAATCTACAAAGAAGAGATCTTCGGGCCATTTGCGGTCTTTGTGAAATTCTCAACTGAGGTTGAAGCTATCCGCTTAGCGAACGCGACTGAATACGGCCTTGCTGCTGCTGTATGCACAAGTGATATTACCCGTGCTCACCGTGTGGCGAATAAGTTGAAGGCTGGTATGGTCTGGATTAATTCTAGCAACAATAGTGATTTCCGTGTGCCTTTTGGTGGGGTGAAGCAGAGTGGTATTGGAAGAGAATTGGGTCAGGCTGGGTTGGAGGCGTACTCGCAACTCAAGTCGGTTCATTTGAATCTGCAGCTAGTTGAGCAGATCTAGTGTTGTGATTATTTTATGTATTTAGTGTGGACTGAAAGAGCTGGATGAAAAGTATACTTAGAGTAGATCAAATACCTTTCAACTTGAAATATGTTGAATATCTTTTGATTTGGCTGAGAACAAGCAAAGATAAGTATTGGTTGAACACTGGTAGTTAACCTCCCAGTACTATCAAAATATCGTGGTGTATAGTAGGTGGCATTGTGGCATTGATGATGCCAGTGCGTTTTTGGTGGGACAAGACATTTAGACAGGTTAAGTGACAGTATATTATTGGGGCCGAAAGAAGGCAAATATATGTAACTCTAATAGGAAATTCACAAGTCCCGAATATTACATCGTCTATCCTTCCATCGTGACATCGTCATCCTCTTCATCGGTGTCAGAATCGATATTCAGGGTGGGCAATTCATCATCGCTATCATCAGCCTCCTCTGGAGCCTGCGGGTTCAGGCTCATAGATGTGGTAGACACCTGCGTTGAAACCTTGGGGGCCTCGGCGTTGGTGATGGTAGGAGCTGGCTGAGAGAAAGGTTGTTGGCTCGAGGTGCTTGCGATGATTTCGTCGAATCGCGCCTTCTTGATCTGAACCTCCTGCTTCTGCGGTGTTGGCTCCTCGGCCGTGGTTTCCTCAGTAAAGGTCCGCTTGTGGAAAGAAGGCGTAGGAGTTGCGGTCTTTGAATCGTCTGGCTTCGGTACTTGCAGGGGCGCCGACACTGGTTGCTTCAAAAATTCGGTAGTCTTTGGGGCGGCGTTGTATCCCTCATCGGCCATGTCCTCGTCCTCTGCTTCTTCGTCTTCATCGACATAGGCGTCAAGCTCGGGTGCGGTCATCAAGACTGGCATCCTAGGACGGATCAGAGCCTCCACCTCCATCTGATCGGCATAAGGTCGGGTCAAAAATGGAATGATGCTCGAGCCTGCTCCACGGCCCTTGACGGCGGGGACAGGGTTCAGTACGCTAGCCAACATCGCATCTTTGTCGGAAGTCAAAATGATCGAGCGGTCCATTTCAGCCCTGATGGAGGGAGGCACAAGCTCGGCGGGGATAGAAACGAACACGGCCTGCAACAGCGCAGATGCGTTTTGCTGAACATCTAAAGATGGAGAATCCGCTTGTGTCTGGCGGGACTTTTGAAGATCGGGGTTCAAAAAGGCGTCCGCATTAGCGGTTCCTTGTCCGCCCTTTGACTTTGCTTTGGAGTCAGAGCCCGAATTTCCCGTGGTGGAATCTTCGGTCGGCGGCAATATATCATTGCAGCAAGAGCGTAGGACGTTCGTCAAAGATACCACGCTCTGTTTTGTCATCGCAGGTCCGTTCACCGGCACTAGAGAACGAAGCAAAGCATAGACTGCCGAACGCAGGTCTTTATTGAAATTCTCGCCCTTGAAAGTCCAGACAGCCTGCTCTAGAATAGTCTGCGTTACTGAGGTTGCGCTGGTGGCCAAGATTCCGACAACGTTGGAAAGCAAGCTCATGCATGCGATGTGAATGCGAGGCAGCTCCATCCAAAGTGCCTCTCGCTCGTCACGGCTGATTTCCTGGTTGAACTGAATGCCAGATTGAGACGATGCGGCACCATTAGGCGGGACAGTCACAGCAGTAAGTCGGGAGGTCAAATCGAGGATAGAGCCTATCGGAAGGGCAACCGCAGCTGCGGATGGCATCGAGATGAAATCAGAGAGAATCTGCAGAAGTGCAACCAACCTATCCACGCCTGAGTGCAGTCCGCTCCAGCCTGGAAGTCCAAGACCATCCGGCCCCCCGTCACCCATTTCTTGGCTATAGTTTGGCCGTGTGTGTACCAGGCTCGCATCGACGGACTCCCACTGCTCTACAACGGCTCGGAAAACGTGGTCTGTCGTTCTGTGGATGGACAAAATCGTCGACTTGCAATCATCCTTCCATCCAGAGCCCGCCTGATCCTTGGGTGCACATTTGTGGAGAGATACAAGCAGCTGCTCGGCTGCGTCGATCACATGCTCGGGGAAATACGCAGGTGAAGAAGAGCCAATCACTTCAACGAGAAGAGTTCGGAGCTGGGCACCAAACGGACGGAATAGAGTGATATGTCTTGGGATCAATTCCAGCAAGGCGTGGAGGACAATTTCCATGAATGGAGTGTTGGGCTTTGGCTTTCGGACTGAGCCCGAGGGTGTCTTGGTGATGGTAGAGACCAAGTTCAACGCAGCGGTAATGAATCCAGGGAGCTGTGGGGTTGTGATCTCACGGACAAGTGTCGGGTACTGGTATGTGAGGTGGAAAATACGAGTAAGTGTGATAATACACATCTTTCTCGTGGAGATCGGATCCGGTTTCTAAAAACGCATAAGTCATGGAGCCAGCACGGATAGATACCGGGTCTAGATTAATTCATACCGCGAGGATGCTGATCAAACTGCGAACAATAGGCTCATAGCCGCGCAGGATTTCCCATTGACCAGCTTCGACTGTAGCTTTCACCAATATAACGGCGGTCCATCTTCCCTCAACACTGCGGTCCTGCAACAGACTGGCCAGTCTAGTCTTCAGTTTATGAATCTGAACAGCATTATCGGAGTCTGATTTGCCAGATTTCTGGGTTTGAGGGGTAGATAGCAGTTCAGCGCAATCGCTCAATGAAGTCGCAAGGAACGAAGCTATCTGGGGTAATTGCTCAACCGGAGTAGTTGTCAGGCGATGCGTGATGGCGCGCAGAGTAGTGGAAGACATATTCTATTAGTTTAGACCTATTTAGCAGGTCTTAACTCCAAAAATATGCCAATGGATAGAAAAATGAGAGTAGACAAAAAAGGTGAGAGTCTTATCGATAACATTTTTTTTTCATCAAAAAGCTCGGACCAACATAAACTGTCGTTAAATTACCGTCACGTACGTAATCCCTCTCCACCCCTGGACGATCATCGGCCTTCAGACTGACGATGTTGGCGAAGCTTGGTTGCTCTTCTCCCTTTTTAGATTATTCCCACAACTCTCCTGAATCATGGCTGTAAGTATCCCTCCTATGTCTCCTTCGGCATGTCCTAGTTTATATTTCTTCTTAAATTGTTGATACCACCCAGTATTTATGTTGACACGTGCGAACCAGGGAGGCAATGCCGAGAAAGGGCAGGGCTATATCGCGGCCTTGGACCAGGCGCGGAGTCAGGGCAAATGGGATGAACTCCCCGAATTGATTAGAAAAGTTACAAAACATGCACCGCAAAAGACTTGTACGCCACCGGTCCCTAGTTTATTGATCTCAGCCTAACCGAGCCGTCTCTAGGCCTGATACAGACCGCAACTGCGGAATCGCGTGTGATTGCATATCTTCAACAAAAGTCCTCCGGCGACTCATCTTCTTCCTCCCCAAATCTCGTCGAGCTAATTCCGGCCCTCTTGACGACAATTGAGAATAATGACGGATCACCACAAGAATTATTGCAAGCGCAGGTCTGTCTAGGGTGGATACACTGGGCTTTGAATGAACCTGGACTTTCGGCAGCGCGTCTCCCTAAGGATTTCGCGGCGACTATTGACAGCTTGGCCAGTGGAGGAGAGCAACCTACTTCATGGACCGAGGTCTGCTTAGTGAAGGGATGCTACATCAAGGGTATGTTTACTTTGTTTACTTTCGGGTGTAGCCAGCGCTGTATCTGACAGCAAGCCAGCAACCGCACAATTTACCGCTGCAGACATCGGTGACGCATTGGAGACATTTTCATCTCTAATTCCGTGGCTAAGCGGGGGCAAATTAGCCTCAATCACCACCCCGCAATTCCTAAAATGGTCCGAGTCACTTCTGGGCAATGGTGCCCTTTTGGCCAGTGATCAAGTGACCAAACGTCCACAATATTCAGATCCCAGGCATGCAGATATTGCCTTGCGATTACTCAGGTTGTGGGCGTCTCATCCTGCCGTGAAACAAGGGGTCTCTACTAACAACGCATCGAATGTGGATGGTTTCAACCCAGCTCCCCGGGCATCGGTATGGACCGCTTACTACAAACTTCTCACAGCGGTCCTTCAGAATGGGGTCACATACACCGGCCCCAATGACGGGCCGGACCGCCCACAACTTAGCAGTGAATTGCGCCGCGTAGAAACTATCTATGAACGCAATCTTCTCTCTGAAGTCATGTTTCCTACAGCCAGCTCGCAGAACTCCCAAGTCGAAGAGTGGGTGGAGCAGGTGATTAATAACTGGCAAGTCTTGTGTGGTCCTGAGTGGCAGGATTCAGACCTCGGCGAAGGGGGTCAGAATGCAGTTGGTCGTAATGTTCTAGAGGTGATTATAACAGCATATGCCATGAAGTCATGTGTACTAACATTTCTTATCCTAGATCCTATACCGGGCAGCGACAAAGACCTATCACTCTCATTTGGTACTTCGACGTCTCTTCCATGTTCATTCTGCGTTAGCAGACTTTGACCTTGCTGTGAAGGCGCTTGATTCCTATATCGAGATTGTCACTGCAGCCAAAGAAAGGGCAGAGAAGTCTGCTGCGTATGGTGAGCTGGAAAAGGATGAAATATTGCTGCAGACGCTTTCTGAGGGGGTCACGTTATTGAGCTGTCTTGGCTCGCTGGAAGAGGCAGAGAAAGCCCGAGACCTGACTGAAATGATAAGGGAGTATATCGACAAGAACGATACACCCCCCACAAACGGTCAGGTCAATGGCAATTCTACGAACTTGCCAAAAATCCCTCCCTCTGTATTGGCCTCCTCCTACCGAGCCATCGGTGTTGGACTTGCCTGCTGGGCAAGCTGGACTCCTGTGACCGAATCACGGGATGAAATTAGAGCGGATGCGATTGAATACCTTGAAAAAAGTCTTGACCCAGAATTGGGAAGTAGCTCAAGCTATTCTTCAATTTACACCCTAGGTCTTGTGTTGGCCGAGAACAGAGATTTGGACACTGCAATTGACTATGTCAAGTCAGCACTGACGCCAAGCATTTCGTCCACTGCGGTATCTGATGATCTTTCCAAAGAACGTGACTTGGTATCTCTATGGCATTTGCTTGCACTACTGCTGAGTGCGAAGCAGGAGTTCGAGATTGCTGGGCGCTCATGTGAGGCCGCATTCGAGCAGTTCCCTCGAGAATTATTCTCAAAGGGTCATCGCGAACGGAATCCGTCGAGGAACGCGCAAACCCCCAATCAGCGCTCAATCGTGAGCAGGTTGCAAGGCAGAGAAAAAGAACGCATCGTTCAAACCCGCATCACACAGCTTGCGTTCATCGAGCTCCTAGAAGGGCCCGAGGCTGCTGTCAACCATAGCACACAATTATTGAGTCTTTTCGGCACTCTTTTCCAGGACCTGAACCTCGAGGCTGGGGGCACTAAAGCCGAGGCAGACCATCTAGTACCGCCAAAGAGCTCTGCCGGAACTACCAAGAGCTTCCGAGGAAGCATTTTTGGCCGAAACAGAACAGTCCAATTACCAGATCGCCGTGCTGATCAGAGCAATGGCTCTGATACTGCTATTCCACCCACCCCAGCTATCCCAAATGGTCATATGACCGATCATCCGTCGATCCAGGTCACGGATGAAGACCCCAACAGCCGCCAGGGAAGAGCGCCAACGATTGGGAGAGCAGACTCTAAGAAATTGAAAAAGCGAAGTTCAAGCTTCCATAGAAACGAGAGGCCGCGCGTTGAAGAGCCCCCGCTTCCTAATAATGGGGGTGAAACACCCGCAGAAATGGTGGGCGTTGCATTTTCTGGCAACACATCACCAGAGTCGGCAATCCATCCTACCAAAGGCAGACAGCCACTGCCGAAGATGGCACACAACATGAACTATAAACAAGAAATTTCCCCCGCCGGCCATGAGGAACAACCCCCTAAACAGGATATCCGGCTCCCAGTCGGCCACCGCTTCGACTCTCCCACAAGCGCCGTCACGAAGTTTTCTCTAATCCAATCCCAGAAGCACGCCTTAAGTCTTCTTGTCAAAATCTGGCTTGTTATCGCTGGTCTTTATCGCCGAGCGTCACTTTTCGACGATGCCCGTGAAGCATGCGAAGAAGCTTCCAAACAAGCCGCGCGAGTGGAAGCACTTGTGGCATCACATGAATCCTCAGCTCGATCTTTCAGCAAGCGTGGCTGGGGTGCTTCAAAGAGCTCTGAGGAGCTCTGGGCGGATGTCTACGCGGAACAGGGTCTCTTGTCCCAGGCTCGATCTAACCCCCATCAAGCTATGAGGCATTTTGAGGAAGCGCTGCTGCGCTATCAGGACCACCCAGCAGCAACCATTGGGCTTGCTAATCTTCTCTTGGACATTTGGGATCAAAAATTGGATCCTGAGCCATCAAATGCCGACGTGGATCTTAACGCCTCACGTCTATCGTTGCTCTCGGAGACACCAAAACCCAACTCTGCGAAGGCTATCTCGACTGACGATCTGAAAAAATCAAGCGAGCCGAAAAAGGCGGTTCCCGAAGAGGCACCTCTATCTGCACAAGATGTTGAGCCTAAGCTTCTGCACCGTCTCGCGGCCCGCGATCGCGCCTATGGGCTTCTTTCGGCGTTGACGAAGCTCGGAAGCTCATGGGACAACTCCGAGGCATGGTATGCGTTGTCGAGAGCATATGAGGCCGGCGAGCAGATCGAAAAGCTGAAAGAAGTGCTTTGGTGGTGCATTGAACTGGAGGATCGAAGGCCAATTCGGCACTGGTCTAATATTGGGTCCGGCGTCTATGTTCTTTAATTTTGAAGGCAACAAAATCCTGTATCTTCCTGTATCTACTGCATTTCACCCCCTCTAGCAACGGACTTTTTTTCAACGAGATACCTTGTTGTTTATACCATGACGGTTATCAGAATTACTACAATCTTCATTGAAGCGCATTTTGAGAACGGACTTTTCTCATAAAAAATAATCACTACTGGCAAAACGTCTTTATATACATTTCCCAAATCGACAAATGAGTTGCCAATGGGTTGGAAAGGGAGACCGGGATCAGTTGAACGGCAAAACAAGTGGATTGATTCTGCTACTGCAAATAAATCTACCGCGGAGCAGCGGTAGGAGTCCAGGCAGCGATCTTGGGCCGGGTGCTAGAGTAACGTTAGTCGATGCGCAGGAAATACCAAAAATTTCAATGTTAGCATTTCACATACGTGCTGTAAGTCTTGAATGCTCCGCGGCTTTGAGTAGGGTTGGCGCGGTGGTCAGTCAGCTCCCAGGGACGGAAACCGGACTGCATGACCTTGTCGGCGGTCGGGGGCGCGTCGACGAGGTAGGAAATCCATGCGTGCCTAGTAAGGTTAGTTCCACATCATTGCAGGCGCATTTTCAATCCAGTTTCTCGAGATAATCGCTTACCAGCCAGGCTCAATGTGGGATGCGTCGTATTCGACCTCCTTGTAGTCGATCCATCGTGTTCGGACTAAACAGAGAAGTACAATTAGACCTTCATGTTTCAATGCGATAGTATGAGTCGAAGCGTCTTCTTACGAGGCAATTCCTCCAGGTTCTCGAAGTATTTGTTTCCGAAGCGATCGGTTCCGATCAGAGTTCCGGCCTTGGTATCACCTATAAGAGCGCATTGTCAGTAAACTGCTGGGCAGATGTTGGTAGAGTAGCAACGCACCGATGTACTATATCACAGCAATCAGGGACATAGGTTAGTCTCGAGCTCATTCAATTGACCTGCTATTCCGGGGGAGGCGTCTGTAACGGACCTGCATCTGGTGGGCGGCATCCTGGACAAGTGTGTTAGCGACCGATTTTCCATAGAGAATAAATTGCAGTTATACAAACCTTGAATCCGACCCGGCGAAGGTTGCGCAGCGTCCTCAAAACAGTCGACATCTTTGCTGGTATATCGTGCTAGAGCGAATGGGATGCGAGAGATTGGCGATTTGAGGTTGCAGGAGGGCGGTGTGTTTGCACTGTTTGCACCCTGCTCTACCATGGATATCCCGATTCAGAAAACCCTCGATCTTGGATATTCAGACATGTTGTGTCGCATTGGAGGACAAACGCTTCGTTGCGCTGGGCGTCGCCCAGTAGCACGTCAGAGACTGTGTACTCGCCAATTCTCCGCGCATACCGGTACAGGAACTGCGACTGCAGCATCCGCTCCTTCGCCTCTAGCAGGAATCACCGCGGAGCTAGACCGCATTGCTCCGCGATTTGAGGTGCCTGCGTCTCAGATTCATATCATTGACTCTCCGGCCAATTTTTACTCTACATTGAAGGTATGTTCTGTATGATTGTCTGCTAGAAAATATTTTGGACTAATCCCCAGTTCCGCAGAATAAAATTCGCAATGCCCGGCGGCGCATTTACCTCTCTACCTTGTACATCGGCAAGACAGAACACGATCTTGTCGACACCTTGAGCCAGGCTCTCCGCGGTAATCCGGATCTCAAAGTTTCCATTCTCACAGATGCTCTGCGCGGCACACGGGAGACGCCGAATCCTTCATGCGCATCACTCCTTTGCTCGTTGGTGGAAGAGTATGGACCTGAACGAGTCGAGATTCGGATGTTCCATACTCCTAACTTGACTGGTCTAAGAAAGAAGTGGATTCCTTCGCGCGTCAACGAGGGCTGGGGCTTGCAGCACATGAAGCTATACGGGATAGACGACGAGATCATTCTATCGGGGTATGTTACCTGCGCACTGGTACAAACGTGCGATATTAATAGAATCGCAGAGCAAACCTATCCGAGGAATACTTCACCAGCCGCCTAGATCGATACCATGTGTTCGATTCCAAGGTGCTAACCGAATATTACGCTAAAATCCACCATGCAGTCTGCAGTCTGAGCTTCCAGGTGCTGCCAGACCCTCAAAAGAAATCCAGTTACATATTGGATTGGCCTACCACAAACAAAGCTCCCTCTCCTCTTGACGATACTCAAGAATTTATCACATGTTCTTCAAAGCTCTTGAGCCCCCTCATTCAAGCTTCTGACAACAAACCTGCACTTCCCTCCTCATCAAGTCAAACCTATGTATACCCTGTATCGCAGTTTACTTCTCTACTGCAACCTGACGACACATCTACCGAATACCCTGCCATGACGACCATTCTCCATCTCCTGTCAAGCTCATCACTTTTTGTTGGTGCCCGCTGGCTCTTCACGGCTGGTTACTTCAACATGCACCCTGTTCTTTCCTCCCTCATGATTTCCAGTACAACCACCGCGTCTAGGACTCCAACCACCACGAAAGGTACTGTTCTAACAGCCTCGCCGTGGGCAAATGGATTCTACGGCTCCTCTGGAGTCTCGGGCATGCTACCAGCCGCATACACCCATCTCGCTGCCCGCTTCCTTGACCGTGTCGCCGATGCACACGCCACAGATTCAATCCAACTGAAGGAGTGGCGCAAGGGCACTGTAGGCACACCAGGCGGATGGACCTACCATGCCAAAGGTCTCTGGATTACACTGCCACGCGAGGAACACCCCAGCCTCACCTTCGTCGGTAGCAGCAACTACACAAAGCGCAGCTACAGTCTAGACCTTGAGTCCGGTGCTGTGGTCGTGACGAACGATCCGGATCTTAAGCAGAAGCTGGGTGAAGAGACGGAGCGGCTTCAGAAAAATGCTACTCCCGTCTCGAGAGATGACCTGATGCGGACAGAAAGGCGAGTCGGATGGAATGTGAGACTTTCTATGTGGATTGTGGAGAAGGTTGGCGGTGCCTTCTAGATCTCTTCTTGGTCTTTTGTATAAATATCTTTTGAACATAGCGAATTTGTAATATACTTGAGTATAGATTGATGTGACGGTTGAAGCTATCACATCATCCAAGAACATCTCATCTGAGTCATACACTATGGATCACTCCTGTTCCAATTATGTATGGATAACAATGGAATATCCTCGGCCTGAAATATCTCCACACCTAGTCAAGAAGCTGTCGCCTCAAAATTCTGGTTCGGCTTCGATCTAGATAACACAATCTATAAATTTCGCCGTGAGGACATACTGGCTGTCCTTGATGATGAAAAAATATGTCTAGCTTATATGATATCAGTGTATTACGAGTGAATTCATGGGCTGTTTTAGAAAATGTACTCGTCCATAGAGAGTAAGAATACACAATAGTTAGAGCATCGAGACATAAACATAACTTTTGGTCTAGCCATCAAGAGATATCAACCCTAACGCACAGGAATGCCGTAAAATAAATAATAAAAAGCCAAACGCCATGTCATGACTGGGGGTTCCCGTCGTCTCATATGCAGTGCAAATCTTCATCTAAGCTGTTCCGGAGACTTTGCCCTTGCCTCGAATCCGAGCTGGGCCAAGACCGGATCGCACCTCGTCGAGCATCCTGATGCCAATGGCCTCGTTGCCGTTCTTACCACGCTTGTGTTTAGCGCCGTGTCGCTTCGCCTGGCCACTGGTGTTGGGGTCCCAGCTGGAGAGGAAGTCGTCCATGACGTTGTTGAAGGTGCTCCGGCTGTGCACGGCATCACCATTTCCGTCGACCAGACTAGGGGCCTGGGATGATGCGGTGGACATGCCCGTCATGCCGGTTGCACCTGTCATTCCGCTGATCATGGACATGTTGTCATCGTATTCGTCTTCCTCGTCAAGAGAGTAGAGTTGCTCAACCTTGTCAAATCGGTCGTCAAGGAGACGGTGGCCAGCAGTACGAGCCAGGGCGGACGATGTCATCGAGTACGCAGACGGGTTAGTCAGAGCACCCTTGCGCTTCTTCCGGCGAATTGGTGTTCCGCCAGCGGTGAAAACGGTTGATGCCATTGTCTGTGATGCTGCGATTGTGGGTGCAGCAGGTGTGGGAGCATTGCCGGCCTTGGCATCTTTCTTGAACTTGGCGAACTCGCTCATCCAACTCTGGTCAGTGGGCTCCATGTCGGGAGCAGGCTTATCAGGCTCAGGCATCTCGCTGGGGTCCATTGGTGGCTTCGCGGGCCCTTCTGGCAGGTCATCATCGAATGAGCGCTCGGCCTTGGTGCTATCCGGCTGCACGGGCGCTTTCTCTGTAGCATCCGACTCCCATCCCTCATCTTCGACATCGTCAAACAGAGAATCCTCCCAGTCGCCCTCGTCTATTTCCTCCGCATTGGCTGTTAATTGGTCAAAGATTCCGTCATCGTCGCCGTCCTCCACGAAGGCTTCGTCCTCCAGGGCCTCCAGGGCCTCTCGCAGCCGTGGGTCCATGTCAGGCTTGAATCCAGCAATTGCGTCTGGAACATTCTGCTGGTCCTGATAGGTTGGCTTACGAACATAGGACGACGCAGTTGAGCGCATGTCACCATATTGGGAGCCATAAAGACTGGGACCGGCGGAGGCGCTCTGATAGGTATCTTTATCCACGAGCGAGACCTGTCGCAACGCATCTTCCAGCTTCATCCCTCGACCAGCTCTGCCCTTGGACTTCTCAGTCTTTGCTTCGACAAAGTACGCATCTCCGGTGCCGCTTCCTAGCTCGCGCAGATGCTGCATGTAATCGTAGTTGGAGTCATCGTAGTACACGCCGTAGTTGGCGGCCTCGCCCTCATTCTTGCGAGCACTGTCGCCATATTCGGACTGGAGATCAGACAAATTTGGCAATGGCTTCTTCGAGGTCTTTACGGAAGACGGTGCGGGAGCGGGCGCGGGCGCGGGGCCTCCGACCTGGTACAGGAAACGGTCATCCGCACTGGTATCGTGGATCAACGGATCATTTTGAGACCGGTGAAAGAGCTGGAATGTGCTCGCATTCTTCTTGTCACTATTAACATGTTAGCTTTGGCGCTATAGTGATCATCATACTATACGTACATCCACTGTTTGGGCGGCATCTTTGGTTTTGGTCAACTTTTTGGTATCGCAGAAAAAAAAGGGAAAAAGTGGGATTGATAGGGTCACGTGTGGCTTATCGCCCCTCGTTCTCCGGGGTCCTCAGAATCGAACTGATGTAGATGTTTTAAGGATGAAGTTTTACTCTATATTTAATTTTGATTTTACTCATTGTGCACCTTCGCTTGGAGACTTGGGTATTCATTGGGCTCGGCGATTTAAGGAGGCCCGCATCAATAGTACGATGTCATAGATTGGATCATAAACCCTAGCCATAGACCATATTATTACTCATCAACGGTTTCTACCTATGGTATAACTCAATAAGTTACACCTATATAATACTAATAGAACGATAGAAACCGACATAAAGTACAAAAGACGCCGTTATATACTTCCAAACCTGCCCAGAGACTTCTGGGCAACCCGATAGAGGGGGGATTAGTCAGCGTTATCTTATCCGTCTGAATAATCCAAAATTCCCTTTTTAGGTGGGGGTTGTGCCTCTTCGACTGGATTTTTTTACTTATCCAAGTTTTTGTCAATTTTATCTAAAGACATCACCATCATGGTTTTGCCTAAATCCAAGAAGTCCGTGGGACTGGGTTCCAGTCTCATGAACGATCGGTTCGGAAAGGGCAAATCATCATCTATGAAGAAGGTCTCTCACAATAATGCCATCCAGCGCACAGGTGTCAATGGTGAGACCTACGTCACCAACGAGGCAAAAGAGGCCTCATGGGTCAAGATGCGCAGTATCACTGAGCAGGCAGCGCTCGACGAATTCCTGAGTACAGCCGAACTGGCCGGAACCGACTTTACCGCTGAAAAAATCAACAACGTCAAGATTATCCACTCCGATCAGAAGAACCCCTTCCTTCTCACTCCCACCGAAGAGAAGAAGATTGCCATGAAGCACGAAAGGAACAAGGACCGTCTAACTGTTCCCCGACGACCCAAGTGGGACCAATCCACGACTCGGAATGAACTAGAAACTATGGAGAAAAAGAGTCTGTTGGACTGGCGACGAGGACTGGCCGAGCTGATCGAGAGCCACGATCTGCTGATGACCCCATTCGAGCGCAATCTGGAGGTGTGGCGCCAGCTGTGGCGTGTCATTGAGCGGTCCGATCTTATTGTGCAGATTGTCGATGCGCGAAACCCATTGCAGTTCCGTTCGGAGGATCTGGAGAGTTACGTCAAGGAGATTGATCCTCGAAAGCAGAACTTGCTGCTGGTCAACAAGGCGGATATGTTGAGTCTTAAGCAGAGAGAAGCTTGGGCTGAGTACTTTGAGAAGAACAATATCAACTTCCGTTTCTTCTCAGCGCATCTCGCCAAAGAGAAGAACGAGGCCCTCGCTTTGCAGGAGGAAGAATATGACACTGATGATAATCTTGCCAAGTCAGCACAAAAGATCAACATGGACATCCATGCCACTGAAGATGATGGATATAAGAAGGAGGATACAGTGGAGGAAGAAAGGGCTAAGCTTGCCGATCCTACGCGCTCTCTTGGACCACACATCCTGGACACCGATGAGCTGGAAGAACTTTTCCTAGCCAACTCCCCAGAATCACTACCACAAGACGGCGAGTCTGGCGAGACTAAGCGTAAGACCACAATCGGTCTTGTCGGTTACCCCAACGTGGGTAAGTCCAGTACCATCAACGCCCTCCTAGGTGCGAAGAAGGTCTCCGTCTCTGCCACACCCGGTAAGACCAAGCATTTCCAGACTCTCTACCTCTCCCCCGAGATTATGCTGTGCGATTGTCCCGGTCTCGTGTTCCCCAATTTCGCTACCACCAAGGCCGAGTTGGTCGTCAACGGTGTGCTGCCCATCGATCAGCAGCGCGAGTTCACTGGTCCCGCCGGCATTGTCGCCAAGCGTATCCCCAAGCATTTCATTGAGCAGGTTTACGGTGTGAAGCTTAGAATGCGTCCCATCGAAGAGGGCGGCACTGGTATCCCCACCGCCAGCGAGGTTCTGCGTGCCTATGCTCGCGCCCGCGGTTTCTCTACCCAGGGTATCGGTCAGCCTGACGAGTCCCGCGCTGCACGGTACGTTCTAAAGGACTACGTCAACGGCAAACTTCTCTGGGTCAACCCTCCCCCAGTTCCCGAGAACGAAACTCCAATTGATACCGTGGAGTTCAACAAAGAGCTATACGACCTCGCCCATCTTCCCGAAAGACGCCGAATCCAGCTCACACAGGCCAAGATTGGGAAACACACTGCAGCAGAAGAGGTCGTTGCAGACCCCGCCGCCGACATCGACCCAGAGAACCCCGCTGGCTCAGCCAAGATTTCCGTCGAGCCAGAGCTCGGTCGCACCTCCCGCAACCTTGATACAGGCTTCTTCGGCTCAGAAACCGGTCCCTCTGCCGGTCGTCTCACCCTCCCCTTCCAGGCTCGGTACACCCAACAGGGCCAGGAAATGCGCAAGGCGCCAACAGGCCGCAAGGAGCGGATGATGGTTGCTCTTGAGCGTGGCGTGGATGTCTCTGAGGTGAAGGGTGGCAACTCAAAGAAGCACTTCAAGGCAAACAAGCGTCTGGCCAAGGGCAAGCGCAACAACCCTGAGGATGACGACTACTAAAAAGTGATTTTTCTATTTATTTTGTTGCATTGTTGCGCTCGCAGGCGAGTCGGGGGAGGTCCTACCGCTCCCCTTCTACTCTACGAGATATCATTCTTGGTCTCACGGGGCCTGGGATGAATGAATTGATAAATGGTCTGGGGATTTGCATGTCATGTCGGGAAGGTTTATGTCCATGTTCATGCTCATGTTGAATCATCTTTTTGGCGTTTGGTTTTTACGAGTTGAATAACGATTTATACCAGTCATTCATTCACTTGATTCTATATCACTTCTCTTCTGTAATACCACAGACTCATATACCAAGTAAAAACGGAACAATGTGCATTCGACTATATAAACCAGGTATATCTATTCCTCAAAGGTGACTCTTAGGCTTGAACCCAGAAGCAGCAAGCAACCTATCAGCCTCCTCCCGCTGCCAGTTCAACTTAGCAATAACCGCATCCTTCCTCGACTTATTCTCCCGCTTACCCATCTGCTGCAAATGAACCTCATCAGGACCATCCGCAATCCTCAACGTCCGAATTCCAGCCCACATATATGCAAGCGGCGTATCCTGACACACACCCGCAGCACCATACGCCTGCACTGCACGATCAATGATAGTAAGCGCCGTCTGCGGCACAAGAACCTTAGCCTGAGCGATCTCCTTCAACGCGCCCTTCGCATCACCCTGATCGATCTTGATAGCAGCGTTCAAAACAATCAAACGCGCCGCATCAACCTCAATCCGCGACTTAGCAATCCATTCCAGGATAACACCGTGCGCAACCAAAGGCTTGCCGAATGTCTGCTTGCGCTCGTCGTTGACGCGGGCAATTAGCCATTCCAGCGCGCGCTCGGCGGCGCCGATTGCTCGCATCGCGTGGTGGATGCGACCGGGGCCGAGACGGCCTTGGATGATCTCGAAGCCGCGGCCTTCGCCGAGGACCATGTTTGAGGCGGGAACGCGCACGTTCTTGAATGTGATGTGACCGTGGCCGTGGGGTGCATCGTCGTAGCCGTATACAGTCAACATGCGGTGCACTGTGATGCCGGGGAGTCCGGCTGGGACGAGGATGACGGATTGTTGCTTGTAGGAGTCGGGGTTTTTGGCGTCGGTCTTGCCCATTACGAGGTAGATTGCGCAGCGGGGATCGCCGGCGCCGGAGGACCACCATTTCTATTGTTGTTAGATGTTGTTGAGGATGGGTGGTTGGGATCAGAGGTACATACCGAGCCATTCAGCACGTATTCATTTCCTTCCCGACGAATGTCAAGCTCGATATTTGTTGCATCGCTAGATGCGACGTCCGGCTCGGTCATTAGGAAAGCAGAGCGGATCTTGCCTTCCAGTAAAGGCTCGAGCCACTGTTTCTTTTGTGCGGCGTTACCGTACTTGGCGAACACTTCCATGTTACCGGTATCTGGGGCGGCATTGTTGGTAGCCTGATGATGGGAATGGTCAGCAATGAAACAATGCGTTTAAAGAATAGAACTCACCTCCGAGGCAATCTTGCTCTTGCCGAGCAATTCGGCCATCAATCCATACTCCAGGTTTGAGAATCCAGCGCCCTGGGAGAAGTGGTTCTTAGGCAAGAACATGTTCCACAGACCGAGCTTCTTGGCCTTCTCCTTCAGGCCCTCCAAGATGGCGGGGTTGGTGGTCCATCGCTTTTCGCCTTCGCCGAGCTGGGCTGAGAAGACGGCGTCGGCGGGGATGCAGTCTTTTTCAACGAATTCCTCGACCTGGGATTGGTGTTAGTATTGAGTATCAAAGCTAAACAAGAATGTTCATGTAATGGGGTACGGTATGGGTGGATTTACCAGATCAAGGGTCCGCTTGGCCTGTTCGCTAACGAATGGCTGGGCAATAGGTGGGATACGAGTAGAGGCGGCCATTTTGAATTGTGTAGGATATGAATCAAGATATTCAAGAAGAAATACAAAGAGAATATAAGGAGAGGTCAGCCAATTTGCGGAGAAGGTGGAGAAGCCGACGGATTCTGCGATGCCTCGGCCCAGCGATTAACCGGCCAACTTTTTAAGTCGAAGACAAGTACATCACCCCATTCTCATGTTATACATCACGATATTCGGCCAGAACTCCGATATTTTGTCTACAACTGTTGTATTTTGGAAAGGGCTAAGAATATTGCTGATCACTGTTTGCACTCTAGCCGAAACCTCGTCATACGATATTCAGAAGAGCAGAGACTAATAAGGAGAAAATCGAAGCAAGCTAGTAACGCAGCTCCTGGTCACTATAGCTCGGTCCTGGTCCATTCAGCTCTCCCCAAAGATTGCTGTTTGGATATTAGTATCTAGGGGGGCAAGGTAGTCTAGAGGTATACAGACTCTACAAAATTCCCAAATCAAAGCAAAAAATCCCAAGTCATTGCATTCCAATGTGCTCCATGAGATATCCCAATTACAATTCCATCCATCCCATACCCCGTACAAAAAACAAAAACAAAAAGGCATTGCAGGTCATCACAAAAAAAAAGTCCAACTCAAACGATCAAGATCTCAAATCTGCCTCTCCTCAATGCATCCGACCCAGCGACCGGCGCCGAGTAAAAGAGATTGAAGGAAAGACCATAGAAAGTCGAGTGGAAAGAAAAGAATAAAAGAAAAGAATAAAAATAAAAACATCTCGACCTCGGTCTTAGTTCTCGGCCCGACCCTGCTCGGCTGTAGATTGCTCGTAGCTCTTCTTGCCGAGCTTAGCGAACAGCGACTGGGGCTTTCCGGCACTAGAAGATTGTTAGTTTAGATATAATAGACAGGGAATCAGAGAACATACTTCTTAAACCGCTTGCCCTTGATATCGCTCAACTTCTTCGTGCAGGGACTCATGATATCGTCTGAGGGGGAGACATAGGAGGTTGGTTGTCTGTTATAGGTTAATCTCTTGTATAATGGATAATATTTGAGGATACATGTGTACTCACTCCTCGCCTGTTACTTTGCCCTGCAATACCTGACGATGGTACTCCATTGATGAGATGTCACCCTTCACGTCGGTCTTGTCGCTTTTCAGGTGGGTGTTGGTTGAGCGGTCGGCCAGAGGCTGAGCTGTAGTTGCATCCATTTTGTAGATATGGGATGTGATGGGAGATTTATGTAGAACTTGTAAAAGACTCGTGAATACTTGTAGAGACGTGTAGAGACGTTTGTGAGAATTGAGAAGGTTAAAAACAACTCGGATAAGATGAAAAATGGAAAAATGGGTGATTGTTGGCTGGGCAACCGAGTATGACGCCACATAGTCCCTCAATATTCTTACTGAACTATATATTACACACTTTTGTTCAATGAATGTTAAAAGAATGCAACTATAATAATAGTAAAGTGTTATTGTAAGTGGGAATCATAATCTAAACATATTCTCTGAAGCTAGTAGGCAGATGGGGAAGATGATCCTACAAAGGGAATTAGAAAAGATAATATAGTCTTGGCCCAATGCAGAGCGACCAGGCATACGAGTATAGCGATGAACTGGTAGAGCCGTCAATGATGAGCAAATATAGGAGCATAACGACAAATGACTTCTTGTGTGGTTAGATCGGGCCCTAAAACCCACTCGTCTCTGAAAGCGCAGCCGCGGTTCTGCTGGTGGTTGAAGTTGTTGCCATCTGTGTCCTCGGGCTTATCTACCCAGGTCAGATCCTGCTTAACCCTCTTACTTTCAAGTTGTCCCTCGTCACCATCTACGGGTCGCTTCTCGCCTTTATGGTCTGGTAGAGATCGACTGCTCCGGATATTGACTGGGTTGTCTTCTGTCGGCCGGAAGTACAAATCACGAAGTGTCTGCAGTTGATTGACAGTCACTTCGTCGAGGGAAGTGACCCTCGGACTTCCGAGGGTCATAATGCCTCGTCGCAACGTTGCAATTGGTGCCCCATGCCACTGTTTGGAAGTCGTAACGCCGAGATCCTCTGGAGAGATAAGACCTGGGTGTAGATAATTTTTCAGAAAAATTCGACGGTAGAGTCCACTAGTCGCACACTCTGAGATCTTGTTGTTCTTTATCAAATGGTCCTTATACATGGCACTTGTCGGGACCTTTCGATTAAGAACGCTGCTAGCGGTAGATCTCCGCTTTCTATCATCAAGTTCGAAATCGATAAAGTACTGCAAGTCGGTCGGTATGAATATAACACCTGGGTCGTGATCTCGATCAAATTGCGTGTGACAGCTTCCACAGAGCGGGATCCCATTTGCTGCCGATGTCAGGCTAAAGTCGATAAGGCTGGCGTTCAACCAAAGGTCCACCTATCCAAATATAGTTAGCCATATTCTATTCGAACTAGCAGCAATAGTATCACGTACCTGCTTATCTTCTTTTCCGATCACATCGCAGATCTGAGGATCTGTAGAATGACACACCCAGCAGGAATCTCCGGCGAGCCATTTGATTTCAGTTTTGGTGGCGGTCGAAAAGACGTCAGATCTCGGACAAGACTCAGTTGATGCTAGCGACATGACAGAGGAAGATGTTGTGTGCCTAAATGCAAGAGACCTGTCCTTCCTCGAAGCAAGTCATGATGGTGAGGAGTCGCAGCTGAGTGAGGGACAGAACCACGGTTCCGAGGCTGAATACAGCCAAGGCAAAATCCACGTTCATCTGTTGACGATGGACTCACATCGACTAGGCATAAGGCGGCGAGAGATCACCATTGGGTCGATGCACAACAATGTAACTACACAATAGCTCGAACCCCACCATGTCGCGGGAGAAGGTACCTAGATAAGAGGTCTAGACCGGTTGAGGTCACGAGACGGCGGTTGACGGCGGTGTGGCGACCAGTCACGGGACCTTGGGTTTTGGGCAGGAATTTGCCGGTTAGATGTTAGATTTAGGGGTTTTATACACAATGCAAGTTCTCGATTTATTCAAGATTGATACATAATACTAAAAATGCTTATCAATTGCTACTCGGCGAGTTTGAAATTAATTAAAAGTTCTGGTTGTTGGAATAACATATTGTAATTTATCGCTTTTACTATGCGTTCTGGGCTGCGTAACTTGCCCGTATAGGTAGCTTACTGTGACCCCGTCATCGCCTCGCATTTTATACTAGTAGATTGTTTCGAGCGCCAGTTCCTCGATGCCAAAGACATTCAGAACCCTATTAGGTTTAAAACCTCCGACGCGAGCTATATCGATGCACTAATTACCAATTTTTCTGGTATCGTCATCATACTATGTTGTAGGCTAAGACTAAAGGTCACGCAGCCGGATCCATATCCAAGTCAACAGGGCGCCCATTCAATACAGGCGGCGTACTATGAGAACGGACTGGTGGTGCCACCAAAGTAGACACAGATATATGCTGGGGAAAGGCGGGTTCTTCCACCTTCTCAGTCTCCTCCATATCTCTTTCCGGTGAAGAAGAAGACGTAGGAGTCGGCGGGGAATAGGCCGCGGTCGGACTAGAGGTGCTATCTTGGTCGGATGAGTCGGAGAGGTTTCTGCGATGGCCATTGTTCTCACGGTATGACGAAGTCCCGCGTGTCGATCCCGGGCTAGCCGACGGGGAGGCATAATTTGGAGATGAAGACCGAAAACTGTAGGACCGAGCGACCATTTTTTGAACGGCGGGGAATTCCATATAGTTGCTGCCCGAGCCGCGTGAGAATAGGGCGAGGGCAAAGCAGCAGAGGACCATGATGCTCTGGATCACGGTGACTCTCTTTTGGAAAACTAGTTCGTCGGCAAGGACACCAAGCTGTGCGCTGAGGGAGTGGACTTCTTGGTGGTATTGTATACGCTGGTGCTCAAACTCAAGAGCAACAGACTTCCACACGTGGTCGTACTGCTCGCGGAATTCCCTTAATTCGTTGAGTACAGTTACGTTGAGGTTTTCAAGAAAGGTAGATGTCTTTGCTAGCTGCCGCTTCTCAACCTTGTTGAAAGCATCACGCAAGATGCGAGACTGTTCCTCAATATAAAGAAGAGACAAGGTTGAGTTTGACTCAAGCATCTGAAGCCGCTTGTGGACAGATTTGAAGAAGGATTCTTGGGTCGTGGGGTTTGCAGATGGCGGCTGGGTGTTTGTAGGTCTAGTCGACTCCGGAGGAATGTTCTGCTCCTCTTTGGGATTTGTTGTGGGCTTCCCTGTGGTCTCGGATGTGGTGTTTTGCTGAGCAGCCTTCGAAGATATGATTGAGGCATCTGGAGGGGTCACGACATTTTTGGTAGGCTCACTCTGCTTTCGAGTACCCTCAGGTTTTGACGGCGCGGTTCCGACATTGGCCGCGGAGGGACTGCCTCCAACTGCAGTAGTAGAGTTCTGTTTCGACGGTACATTGGTCTGACCCACTGCGCCTGGCGGCGACGAAGTCAGAATAGGCGGCCCATCATTGATACCACATATATCATTCTGTTTCGCAAAAGGCGACACAGCCTCTAATAGAGGGTTCGGACAAACATCCACTGTAAGGCTAGGTTCTGCAGGAATGTATTTCTCGACCGGCACCTCGACAGGCTTGGTTTCCGGGGCTTCCGGAAGCTGGCTAGCTTCACTAGCCTCCAATTCCTCAACCTCAGCGCGCTCAGAGCTCTCGCCATGCTTATACTCTTCCATCATAGTGGTACCATGCACCCGAATTAAGCTAACAGGGCAAAAGAACTCATGTCCATAGTGCGTGAGGAACTCAATGCGAAGGTATCGAGCCCAAATAAGCGAGTTCTCTACTGCAAAAGCTTGCACCTCACGAGTGTTGCGAGCCTCATAAACCCCAAGTTCTTTCCACTGGTCCGGTTTCGCAGGATACCGATCCGAGACACTAACTCGGAATGTATGGAAGATAGAGCTGAAGAACTCATAGTTTGCAAGGACAACTGTATCAACCAGAATATCATCGCATAATTCCAAGATAAGAAATTTGTTTTTAGCTCGGCACTCGTTGAGCATATAGCTATCCTTATTCTCAATGAGCACAGAGGACGAACCTTTGCACTCGGGGTTCGTCTTCAACACTGTAGCCGCGCAGTCAAAGGAAGCATAGTTGAACCGCTCCTTGCAAGTAGTGCCGGCATCCTTACGGCGCGACGCATCTCTCTGCAGCGCACCCTGCCCTGGTACATCCCCATTGCCTCGTCTATCCGCGTGCCCGGCGTCGCGCGACGGGATATGCGAGTCCCAAGCGGCAGGACTAGCCTCGGGCGTTTCAGCGCCGAAGCCACCAAAGTCCAACTCAATCTCGGAATCGTCACCCAGTGAATCCAAAGCATTATTGATTCCTGTCGGCTGCCGACGGTCTTCCTTTCCAGCTGCCGCAGCACGTCTGCTCCCTCCGACATTCTCAGCTGATTGTCCAACCTTCGCTAGGTTCTGTTTCTTCCAGTCCTCAAATGAGAGGAAACTAGCACCGTCCAATAGCGAGTCTGTGTCTTGGTCTTGTTCCGCGCTCTGGTCAGGAGTTGTCTTCGCTGTCTCTTCGGGCGTTCCGCTCGAGACTGTAGATGAATTAACGACCGGATCGTCGGCTGCCGCACTTGGATCAGGCAATATTGAAGCAAGATACATATCGCGACCCGGTCCCCAACGCGTCTCCAGACATGGTGGTAGGTTGAAGAGCTCCGCCTCCATCTGCCAGGTACTCTTCGCCGGACATGTCAACGGTCTCGTAGGGAGAGCACCCTGCGCACCACTCGGGGGTGGTTGGGTAGTCGCATTGGAGAGCGCATTATGGCAGAGAGCCAAAAGGACGGAGGCACGGTATATCCAAGAAGTGAATGACCGGCCTGCGGTCAGCATGCTGTCGACTTGATTAGATAGTCACACTCGTTTAGCTCCCTGAGTTCAAGCTATGAATTCGACGCTATGCGCATTGTGACTGGGAGTAAGAACAATCGCGGGGGAGTTTTATCCCAAGTGCGAGATAGTGCGAGATACGAGATATTGTTGAGCAAACCCGAGCTTGGCGACAAATAGCGGTCTCCAGGAATCGGAAATGGCAAGTGGCATCATCAGGTTCTGACCGCCTTTCAACGACATGTGTATGCTACAGTATGCTAAAGTCAATATAAAACTACAAAGAACATCTAATCTATAAATTTTATAGTGAACTCAGTTCTTCGCGGATGATAATCAATTTTCCCTTTTGAAGGTGCTATATAACTAGTTACAGAATAACACGATCAAGGGAAAACGGCCGCGTTTCACCGAGTCCTCCCAGGATCGACTTCACCGCAACTCATTCCACTTTTTTCCTGGAAGAATCCACGCCATAGTTCGCATGCGAGGAAAGCCTCCCGCCAGAATCAAATATCCACCAGCGTATTCCGAGCCAGCCTTCTAACCTTTTTGTGGTTTTTCGTATTCGTAGTTTCCGCCCACTGTCCGTGACCCTCGGTCTGATATTGTACAGAAGAAATAAAAAAAACAGTTTGGACGAAGGAGGGTGATGCAATGAACGTGGCAATGCACCGTTGAGGACGGACGGAAACAAACGAAACACTCAATCCAAGAACAAAGAGACATAAGACAAGAAAGCGGAACATTAATTTATCGTGGGTAATTTTGAACTTTTTTTTCCCAACTGAATCGAAACATGCAAGCAGACATCAATGAGGGGGGAGTAATAGGGTAAGAGTAGAGTGGAGTGCGAGCAAATGCCGAGAACCCTAGAAGTGAGTCTCATGCCATCCGCCGACAAGATCAAGATCGTCATCGATGCTTCGATCATCAGGAAGGAAGCTTTTGGAGACATTGCTACGCCAATCCGGTTGTTCGATCAAATGGCGGCGACGAGCTTCCACGGGCGATGCAGGCTTGGTTTTGGTCTGGTATCCGGAAGTGCCTCGGCCCCAATCATGTCGCCTGTTTGCAGCAACGCTCTTGGGACCAAACACCTCACGCGACTTGCGAGGCTTGTACTTGCGAGATTCGTCCTCGGCTTTATAATTGCGTCGCACCTCACCAAGCATCGACCACTTATCGCCACTAGATTTCTCAGGTGGGGAGCTCCGCATGGGGCGGGGCGTGCTGCTCGATGCACTTGAGTCGCTGTCTTCGTCTAGGGAAAGGTCCCCTAGTACTTGAGGTTCCATCTTCAGATCCGCATCTGAGCCTTGAGGGCCTTGGTTGAGGGAAGCGGAGTCCGGCTCGCGCAACCTTTGGGGGGCAGCTCCCTGGCTCTCTTGGCTCCAACTGCGAGAGTTCTGCTCCCGGCGTTGCATCACGGCAAGATCCTCATTCTCAGACTCCTCTTCGTCCCACATGTCGCACCAGCTCTTTGAGATCTTGTCGGCACCTTTGTTGCCAAAGACCATCGACAAAGAAGGTAAGGGCTTTGTTGCATGAGACGGCAGAGATCCAGTGATGGAAACGGGATCAGAGCGGGGAAGACGTGGCACCTCACGCTTGCGAAGGTTGAGCAAGACGAAGGATTCACTGAGCTGGGAGTCCAACACAGAAGCGACTGATGGAGTTTCCATACGAGAGGAGAACCACGAGGTTCCCGCAGCTTCGGAAGCTGGGAACAAATCCTCGCTGTAGCTCTCGTTGTCCGGGATGGCAGATAGTTGACGGATAGCCTGGGGAGGGCTCGACTGGAGCGCCTTTGCCCATGGGAAAGAATCTCCCTGGTTGACATGGGGACTCTGGAGAGACGGGGTGCGAAGAGGCTCGCGATTGGCGCTAGCAGCAACCACCTCGCGGTCTTCGGTGCAAAACTCATCGAGAGATTCGTCGTCGGTAGTGAAAGAGACGGCGCGGAGAATGCAATCACGAACCTCCAGCAAAGATCTCTTGGAAGGATCAATGGCCAAAGAATAGGTCAGGATCTCATAGGTATCCTGGGACATGTTGGGGAAGATGTCGAACAGCGACTGGCGATCGCGCACAAAGTCCGCAAAGAGTACATCGGACTCTGTGGGGGTGACGAAAGGATTCCGAGCAAATAGAATGTTCAATAGACAGATACCAACAGACCAAATGTCGGCCTTAGCGGGGGAGTATCCTGTGCTGCTCGGGTCATATTGCTCGGGAGCCATGTAGCGGTCACTACCAACACACGCCTCGTGACACCATGATTCTTGCGTAGCGAGACCAAAGTCGCCAAGCTTCATGGAGCCATCTTGTGTCAAGAAGATATTCTCCGGCTTGATGTCACGGTGGTACAAGCCATTGGCATGCATGAAGTCGACGGCGCTAATCAGCTGTAGCATGAAATCGCGAACGTGCTCAGTCTCCAGTGGACCACGGTTAAGGCGAATGGCCTCGTATAAATCTCCATTGGCACAGTATTCCAAAACAAGATATTTGTGAGTCTCGGTGTCGAACGTATGAATCAGGTTGACCAGGTTCGGATGAAAACCAAAGCGTCGGTGACACTCGAGTTCTTCAAAGCGATCGTCATCAGAACTTGTTGAGGGGCCCTTGATTAGACGTTTGATAGCAACATCTTGACCGGTCTGGGTATCTGTAGCAAGGAATACTATTCCAAAAGACCCATGATTGAGGGGGGCCACAATTCGGAAACGACCATCCAAAAGCTGTCCCTCAACAAATTCTTCCTTCGAGCACTCCATGGTCGACATGTTGGCCTGATGATCCCGGAAGGATGGATGCAGAGATGAGATGAAATAAGAGGATCGGAATGATGTAATGCTCCAACAAAGAGATGAAGTGAAAACAAAATCTATGAGCCGCTCAAAAGAACACTTATGCGTGTTCAGAATGCGTCAAAGTGTGATAAGCAAAAGCAACCAGGCTAATGAAGATTAAAGACAACGAAGAGAAGTATCAGGCGCGGGATCCAAGGTAAATAGAGGATGGGCGAAAGAAGAGCCGGGTGTAGTCAGGAGGTTGAGATGAAATGAATCCTGACTTGGCTCGAAATGTCATATAAAAAAATGTACTGGTGAAAGTTGATGGACAGATGAAAAGAGGAGAGAATGATGGCGCAGTGGCGCAGTTGAGTGAACCCAGAAAGAGTTGTTGACGCTAAGGAAATGGGTAAAGACCGTTATGTGCTCATTTGAATATCGTTTTTCGTTGGTTAACGGGAAGGGGTCCCAGGTGGACGACACGAATGTGTCAGAAAGAGATGAACAAGTGTTTGGAAGTCGGCCTGATACCGGATGAATCGAAGATAGTTGAGGTAAAGCGCTGCGTGATATCGTAATTGGAAAAAGGACAAAGATGTATAGGAGAAGAAACTGGAAAGAATCCTATGAACACCGGGTTCAAGGTCAAGGGCCGTGACTCAAAAGTTGGAAGATAATTGAGATTAGTGAGTCATGAGAGGCCAGATGGAATTGTTGAGACAAGTTGATTGGTCGACTTGAGGGATCCGGTAGAGCACCCTTCTAATCCAAGCCGGAAAAGTAGAGATACTCGATGCCAGGTTGCCCCTGAGGTATGAAACTGCCGAAGTGCTCTCACAACAAGGTTCAACCGAAGAAACGTATGATTACCCGCGAAAGCAGGTAACACCTTCGTGTAGATTGGATGGACGAAGGCTGGATGGTATTGATAGCACAATAGCAATCCGATAGACCGATATTTGGACCCTTTTATAAAGTTGATGGAAGTGAGTCACCCGAGCTCAGGGTGGACCCAGAAGACCGAGGAAAAGGGGTTTAAAACGGAGATGCGAGAGAAATACTCTTCTGCACAAGGTAAATCAGGATTAGACCTTCGAGCTTGAAGTCGAGAGAAGAATATATATATACCGTCCAGGGTTGATAGTGTCTTGGGAGTAATGGCAAGCAGACACGGCAATCTTGGCAACCTTGGAATCGTTGGAAGTGATAGAAAGGTGACGGGTAAGTGATGGAGGAAGAGGAGGAGAAAGGTAGAAAAGGGCGGAGAGATGGAATATAGGAGAGCGAAGAAAAGAGATGATAGGGGAAAGGGAAGATAGATGTTGGTATAAGGGGAGTGGTAGAAGGAGCCAGGGAGAGAGATGTAGTAAAGCCGTGAGGGGAATTGGAGAGGCAAAATGATTGGTCATACCGTCTGATACCGTTACATACAGGTCTTCCCTCGTGGGCTGTTCATCCGTGTGATCTGCATTTCCCACTAAATTGAATGACGCCCGAGGTCCTTGGCCCGTTTCCGTCTCCCGGGGAAACTGGTAACGTACGGAATTAATACGAGTATTGAAATGGTCCAATCCAGCACAGTCTCCAAGTTTCATGAACCTTCCAGGCATTCCTTATCCTTGGTAAAGGGCGTCAAACGACTACGTGATCCCTCCCGATTATTTTTCCATCAAAATTATTCCCAAGGTTTCCCACGTTTGATAAACATGATAACGTTAAATCCCATTGTTGGTTGCCATTTCAACTCGAAGTTTGGACTATCGTATCATCTATCTTTTCAGAGTTCCCGATTTACCCAACTTCCCAACGTTGAACTTCCCAAACTTTTTCGAGATTCTGGTTCAAAGGGCCAGTCACAATGACGGTTGACATCAGCAGGGTCCTTTTGGAGTTTCATCGGCCGAGGGCGGATCAAGGTGGCGCACTATTCCCAATGCGTATAATTGCGCAGTCAATTCTGGGGAGATTAGCCAATCAGAATGAATTATCTGGCCACTATTTACAGGCTGCATGACGCGATAAAGTGGGATGGCGTGATCTTTTCTGATTGGTTCACCCCGGATACCGACTGCAGCCTAGTTCCAATTATGTCCAGTTATGCTGTCCAAGGTTATTCCTATGTGTTGTGCCTATGGGAAGGTACCCTTCCGCAGGTACAGTACTTGTTTCGGACCATCTTGAACTACCCTGGACTAGCTCTTTTGT